GGGACAGAAAGGGAGGAGGGAGGGAGGCAGAGAGGGAGGAAGGGAAGGGAGGGAGGGAGGGAGAGAGGGAGGGAAGGAGGAAGGGAGGGAGGGAGGTAGGGAGGAAGGAAGGGAGGTAGGGAGGGTGGGAGTGAGAGGGGAGGGAGGGAGGGGAGGAAGGAGGAGGAGGAGGAGGAGGAGGAAAGGGAGGAGGAGGAGGAGGAGGAGGAGGAGGAGGAGGGGCAGGAGGCGAAGGTGGCGGAGGAGGAGGAGGAGGAGGAAGAGAGGAGGAGGCAAAGGATGAGGAGGGAAGAGGAGGAGGAGGAGGAAAAGGGAGGAGGGGTGGAGTAGGCATTCTGCGAGGGAGGGCGGACCCGCCCTGGCAGGCCTCGGAGCACCGTGTGGAGGCGCGCGCCCTTCGAGAGCGGGCGCGGCGGCGCTTCTTCGACGAGGCTCGTCGCGCTCTGCGCGCGAGGGCTGCACTCGCTGGCGAGCGCCGAACCCTGCCCTCGCCGATCAACGGTTCAGGCAACCCGATGGGCTATGGGGTCCGGAATTCGGCAGCCACGTGGTGGAATCCGAACCCTACCCCCGCCTCCCATCGATTCAGAAGGATCGATGGTTGGCGGAGGCAGGGTTCGGATGTCGCCACTCGGGGAACAGATACTGGCGCAAACAAGCCTGCATTTTCGGAGCTCCGCGCGGATTTCTCGGATCGACGCTGGAGACCATCCTGGCGGCGCCTACGGCGCTGCCCCTGGCGCGCTTCGCGGGCCAGGGGAGGGGGGCCCAGCGCCGATCCACGAACCCCGCGCGGACCTCCGCCGCAAGGTCATGTGTATGCCATGGCTTGGTTTCTCGGGGCATCTCCTCCGCTTCACCATGAGTGTTTTCCAGAAGAGGGCCCCGCCTGCTATGTGTCGAGGGAGTCGAGAGGCTGGCACATCTTCCTCGACGGAATGCCAGCAGAAGGCGGCGGACGTGAAAGGGGGGCCACGGCCGTAAGAGACAGACAGGGGTGCACACAGGTGCAGACCGCAGAGTCAAGCAGATCTCCAGCAGGCGAGCACCAAATCAGCAGCTGGCGTTTGCCGAGCAGCTCGGGCGGCTGCTTCTGGCACCTGGAAGGTCCGTGCCAGGATGCTCGGGCTGTGGCCCGCCCGCCCCCCCCCCCCCCCCTCCCCGGAGGGCCACACCCCACCCCGCGCCCAGACCTCCTCTCCGCCACCCTCCGTGTCGGGCCACGTCCGGGCTCATCACAGGGCCGTTGCGCGCCTTGTGCCTGGCGGCCGTGGGAGCGCTCGGGCAGGGGGCGCAGGGCGCTCCCTGCCCCACGGGTTGCCACAGCCTGCCTCGCCGTGCAGGAGCGGGGTGCCGAGCCTTCCCTCCATGGGCAGGGAAGACTGCCTGAGTCAAACGTTTCGGGATCCGCGCGTGTCGCTGAAGTCGGCGCCATGCCACCTTTGGTGGCGCATCCGACGCCGATTCAAGGAGTCCTGGCCGACCTCCGAATGTTGACGATCATGGTTTCGCGTGTTACTTAATGTTGCCAGATGTTGGCCCGACAGGGACTTGTCTGGGCCCTGGTTTAGTACAAAACAGTTTTGGAGAGGAACGTTTGGATGAGAAAAGCTCCGAGATCCAGTACCAGGTTCTCTCAGGGCCCGACCCGTTTTCTTCATGCCATCCTCTCTCCACCGATGAGGAAGCTCATCGTCCTCCACCTCCCCCCGACCTTTCGAGAGGATTAGAGGCTTCGTGGTGCTTGGGTACAAGGTGAAGCATACAATCATGTTGACCAGCAGGAAAGAGCTGTCTCGTCGAAAACGAATGACGATACACTTGAAATACGTGGCAGAAGGTTGTGGACAACGGGTGCGAAATAAGGATGGATGCTGGTAAGGGTCGTGCAAGCATGAAGGTTAAGAGTTGGAAGGGGTTGATTGTATGTTCAATGGGGCTCGCACGTCAATTGCCAAACAGCGCGACTGTTCAAGGCACTTGGGTCACATAGTTAGTTTCTCCTCATTTTCCTCCTCCCGCCACCTCGTCCTCATTCTCATCCTCATTGGTATCATTCACATCCTCTACTTCCTTCACTCCCGCATCTGCACTCATTTGCTGCACTTTCTCGTCCTTCTGCTGATGCTGACGAATGCCTCCGCAATTACCTCACTCCCCCCCTTCCTCTTCATCCTTGTCCTCCCGCTTCACTTTGCCGCTGCTTCCTGGGACATCCCAGAGACCCAAGAACCCCTTGCAAGCCTTCTGCCAAAACTTATTTGGGCCCCTGGCCCCCCACCCCCAGAACCTCCTCCTTCCTCTTCACGCAGCGCTGCTCCTCCCTCGCCCCTCGACTTCATCTTCTCCGGCCTGCTTACTGGCAGATCTCAGCTTACAGCACTCGCTGTACATAGCTCGGGCCGGACGAAAGGGGGGGATTGGGAAAGGGGTGGTTACGAAATTTGCTGCGTGCAGCTGGTTTCGGCCTCACCGAGGGGCCCATTCCTCGATACATAGCCGCCTCCGCCGGGAGGAGCCGGGAAAATCAGCTACGTGAGCTGATTCTCAACCTCCCCATTTGCTATCCCCCCCTTGCCCGACCCTGATACCCGCGACGCGATTGCATAGATTGGCCAATGTGCCTAGGTACACAGCGCAATGTCTTGATTACTATTGCCTTACTTCTTGTTGTCCCCTTCATCCTCCCGCACTTTCTGTCCAAGCGGTGAAGAGCATGAGGCACACACCCTCAGAGCTGTTGCTGCCGCCTTGTTGGCGGAGGAGGGTGACAATGAGCAGCGAGGTATGTGCGACGCCAGCAGCGGTGAGAGCGATTGAGCATGTCATCTGCACGTGTGAGCGCATCAGGCGCATTCGGGCGAATCCTCCCGCACTCTCTCTCTCTCTCTCTCTTCCCGCTTTCTGCATCCGCGTGCCCCTCCGTCTGCCCCTCTTCTGCACCTCCGTACCGCCACCCCTCCCTTTGCGCCCTCTCCTCCTCGGGCCCCCGCCCCGCCCCCCCCCCACCCCCGAGACGTCGCGGCTGGAGGAGGTGCGGGTCTCTCTCCTCCCCGCCCCGTGCACGTCCAGCACCTCTTTTTTAAAACATTGTCCAGGCGAAGGGCCCAACTGTATGCAGTTGTGAGTACCGCAAGTGTGGGGCTCCCTATGGGGCCACGAAGCGCTGCACTGTGTGGGGGGGGGGACGCATGCGGGCGGTAGCACTGGGGCCGTCGGTGGAGCTCCGCACGTGGCCACAAAGCGCTGTACTGGGTGGGGCAGGCGCATGCGGGCGGTAGCATTGGGGCCGTCGGTGGAGTTCCCCATGGGACCACGAAACGCTGTACTGGGTGGGGGGGACGCATGCGGGCGGTAGCTCTGGGGCCGTCGGTGGAGCGCCGCCCCATGGGGCCACGGAGTGCTATACTGGGTGGAGGGACGCATGAGGGCGATAGCATTGGGACCTTCGGTGGAGCCCCGTATGAGGCCACGAAACGTTGTATTGGGTGGATGGGCCGCATGCGGGCGGTAGCACTGGGGCCGTCGGTGGAGCGCCGCCCCATGGGGCCACGAAACGTTGTACTGGGTCGGGGGGAGCATGCGGGCGGTAGCACTAGGGCCGTCGGTGGAGCGCCCCATCGGGCCACGAAACGCTGTCCTGGGTGGTGGGACGCATGCGGGCGGTAGCACTGGGGCTGTCGGTGGAGCTCGCGCTGGGGCCACGAACCGCTATACTGGGTTGCGTATATCTAGACATGTGTGTACGTTTGTATGAATGTCTGCAACTATGGAGGTATGTATGCATGCATGTATGGATTCATGTGTGCATGTATGTATTTCTGTATGTATGTATGTATACATGCATATATGTATGTATGCATGTGAATAGTTGCATATACTGTACGATTCTGGGCATCTCGATGCAGGGCGAAATTCTCAAAGTCAGCTATTGATTACTACAGATGCCTGCCATTGCCATTTTGTGTTGTGAGTTGGGAGCAGGCCTGAAGTTGCAAGCCATGGGCTTGCACAAGGGAGAATCCGTCTCTTGGGCATTCGTATGTTGGCTGATGATCGCCATGGTATTGCCCTTCCCTATCCAGGCATGCCCGCCATGATGGGGTAGCAGTAATGCCACTGCTTAGGATGGGAATATATTCCAAAGTGTGGAATTAGCGATATGTCCGGATGGTGTGCAGCATTGCGTTGGGGGCGTACTGCTCAACGCGCACCTTCTCTCGTCGTGATCCAGGTTGCCATATGCTGTCGGTACCGAGCATTCGAGAGCGGCCTTTTTTTTCACGTGGAATATCTACATTGTTCTGCAAAGGTTACGTGTATTGCAAGCCCCCCTGCCTGCCTGTCAAGACGACCACGCATCAATCCGATCATGACGACAAGAGTTCGCAGTCGCGTAGTGGATGTTCTAGCAAACTGATTGTGACAGATCCTGCCCCTGTCTGGGGGCAGGTTGAGCTGCCCGTCATTTTCAATGTTCGTGCAGATGGCACGCGTATTGACAAGCATGGCGACGTGTGGGCGCAGAACTTGCTGTAAGGCAGGAGCCTCAGGTACGATGTGTGTATACAGAACTAGAAATCAGTATATGTATATGCATGTGTATATGTATATGTGTATGGATGGATGTCTGTACGTACATAAGTAAGTATGGACATGTTCATATCTATATATATATATGTATATATATACTTACCCCCCCCCCGCGGGGTTCCAGGGCATCGCTTCCTCAGACGGCGGCTGCGCGTAGGTCCTCGCCTCGCATGGCCGCGCCTGGACATCCGACGAGATGTGATCATGCTCCGTGCGCGCCCAGAGGCCCAGACCCTTTCCCTGGGGCACGTGTTTCGCCCCAGACCCATTTTCGTTGGGTCTGGAGCTCGCAAGTCGCCCAAGAGGGCCGGCATCGAGGACCCCCCGCCCCATTGACAGAGGGGCCCGAGGCCCGCGGCTACTTCTTCGACCGCGAGCTGGGCCCCGACGGCGCCTTCCTCGGGCCCATGGGCTGCGAGGCCTTCGCGGCCCTCTGGTCCGGCCTCGCGTCCCGGCAGCAGGCCACGGGGGGGGGGGGCAGGAAGCAACAGGGGGGCAGGCAGGAGGAGGAAGAGGGGCGGGAGGGCGAGGAGGGGGCGAGGTCGAAGAGTGGGAGGGGAAGGGGGCAAGGGGGGGGGAGAGTTCAGGCAGGCCTACGCCCAGGATGAATCGCTCCAGAGCGTTCCAGGGCTCTTTGAGGAGGCCGCAGCGCCTGGTGAGCCCTCAGAGCCGCCAGCTTTCAGAGATTCCAGATTCACCTTGATCCGCCTTTGTCCCGATCCTGCCTTCGTTTTAAGACTCTCCCTCCTCCCGCTCCTCCTCCCTGGGGATGGAGCAAGGAGAGTGAGGAGGGAGAGGTGCGGGGAGCATGTCTCCCCCCCTCCCTCCTCTTGGGAAGGAATGACAAAGAGAAAGAGGAGAACGAGGAGGCGGAGGAGAAGGAGGAGGAGGAGGAGGAGGAGGAGGGGGGATGGGGACCATTTTGACCCAGCTGGGATGCAACTCCTTGGAGGTTTTATTGAATCGCTTCGCTCATTCCGCCGGCCCATTTCGCATGACTGAGCCTCTTGGGGCCGCTGGGGGGCCTCTTCAGCGTCGCTTGGGGGCCTCCTGAGGGCCTCTTGGGGGCTTTTGGGGCCTCTCAGGGACCTCTTGAGGCCTCCTGGAGGCTTCTTAAGGCCGAGGGCTCCAAGTTTTGTTTTGTGTTCCCCCTTTGCGGCATCGCTTGGGGCCCTCTTCGGCCCCTCTTGGGCCGTCTTGGATGCCTCTGGGGCCGTCTTGGAGCCCTCTTGGGCCGTCTTGGGACCTTCTTGGGAGCTTCTTTGGCCCTCTTGGGGCGATCTTGGGGGCCTCTTGGGCCGTCTCGGGGCGTCGGGAAGCCGAAAAGATGGACACGCCAAAATCTGCTCAAAACCGAAGGAACAGTAAGGAATTTTGCCTCTTGGGGTCCTCTGGGGAGTGCTCTTGGAGGCCTCTTGGGGCGTCTGGGGGCCATCTTGGGCGTCTTGGAACGATCGTGTGGCATCTCGGAGCACTCTTGAACCATCTTGGAGGGCTCTTGGCGGCCTCGTGGCCCTTCTTGGGGCTCTCTGGAGGGCCACGGGGGCGGCGCCCAGGAGGAAAACCATCTCGGACCCGAGTCTGCCGGGGATCGCCCGGGGTACTTTTCGTCCGGGGACCCCCAGGGACCGCCCCCCGCGCGCGAAGTAGAACTATTTGTTAGCAGGTACCGGAGATCTTAGTACGCCTCTGGCCCGTTGGGCCGGCGAATTCATATTCTTGGTTGTGCTTACAGAAGACACGCAACCGACAACCTCTCACAATTCACGCTGACCTCCAGAGCCCCCCACACATTTCGAGGACCACCCCAAGCTCATCCTCATCCAATCGAAATCTGCGGAAAACGCAGTGAAGGATCCAAGGGTGAGGGACGCGAGAAAAACTGAGTGTTGGGGATCTGGGCAGGGGGCATCTCGGAGAGCTCACTAATGCTTCTGGGAGTCTCTTCTGGGAGCATTAAGGAGCTTCTCAGGAGGAGTACTTGTGACCCTCTTGGGAGCCCTTGGAGGCTTCTGGGAAGCTTCTTGCGAGCTCTTGGAGGCCTCGTAGGGTCTTGGGAGCCCTTGGAAGCTTCGTGGGAGCTTCTTGGGAACTTTGGGAGGCCTCGTGGATGGCTCTGGGTGGGCCCTCTCGGTGGTCTCTTGGGGGGGTTTGCCTGGCCTCCTGGGAGCTTCCTGGGGGTCTCTTGGGGGCCTCTTGGGGCTTTCTTGCAGCCTGTTGGGGGCCTCTTGGGGCTCTCTTGGGGGCTTCGTGGGGCTACTTGGGGGCTTGTAGGGGCCTTTCGGGGGCGTGCTTGGGCGGGAGGCTCAAAATTTCCGTTCAGGTTGCCCTTGTGGACCTCAATCATGGGGCCGTCTTGGGGCCTCTTGGACCGTCTTGAGGGTTTCTTGGGCCTTCTTGGAGCGCTCTTGGGCCGTCTTTGAGCGGTCTTGAGGGTCTCTCGGGTCGTTTTGGGGTGATATTGGGGGCCTCTTGGACCGCCTTGAAAGGTGTGAAAAACGAAGAGGCGGATATGTTAAACATGAACGTTGTCCTATGGGAATGGGACGATTTTTGCTTGTGGGGGCCCTCTTGGGGCGCCGCTTAGGGACCTCTTGGGGCGTCTTGAAGGCCTGTTGGGCCGTCTTGAGGCCATCGCAGGCGCTTGGGGATGGTATGTCGGCGTCTCCCGGCTCTCTTGGACCGTCTGGAGGTCTTCTCGGGCTCCTCTTGGACCGATTTGGAGCCCTCCTGGGCTCCGAAAAAGAGTTTTTGGAGCGCTCTTGGAGCCGTCTTGGGCCTTCTTGGAGCGCCTTCTAGAGGGTTTTATATGGGCCTTCTTGGAGCGCTCTTGGGCCGTCTTTGAGCTGTGTAGAGGGTCTCTCGGGCCGTTTTGGGGTGATCTTGGGGGCCTCTTGGACCGCCTTGAAAGGTGTGAAAATCGAAGAGGCGGATATGTTAAACATGAACGTTTGCCTATGGGAATGGGACGATTTTTGCTTGTGGGGGCCCTCTTGGGACGCCGCTTAGGGACCTCTTAGGGACCTCTTGGGGCGTCTTGAAGGCCTGTTGGGCCGTCTAGAGGCCACCGTAGGCGCTTGGGAGTGATATTCCGGCGTCTCCCGGCTCTTTTGGACCGTCTGGAAAGCTTCTCGGGCCCCTCTTGGACCGATTTGGAGCCCTCCTGGGCTCCGGAAAAGAGTTCTTCCGGGTTGATTGGGCCTTTTTGCAGCGCTCTTGGGCCGTCTTTGAGCGGTCTTGAGGGTCTCTCGGGCCGTCTTGGGGTGATCTTGGGGGCCTCTTGGACCGCCTTGAAAGGTGTGAAAAACGAAGAGGCGGATATGTTAAACATGAACGTTTGCCCAAAGGGAATGGGACGATTCTTGCTAGTGGGAGCCCTCTTGGGACGCCGCTTAGGGACCTCTTGGGGCGTCTTGAAGGCCTGTTGGGCCGTCTTGAGGCCACCGTAGGCGCTTGGGAGTGATATTCCGGCGTCTCCCGGCTCTTTTGGACCGTCTGGAAAGCTTCTCGGGCCCCTCTTGGACCGATTTGGAGCCCTCCTGGGCTCCCGAAAAGAGTTCTTCCGGGTTGGTTGGGCCTTTTTGCAGCGCTCTTGGGCCGTCTTTGAGCGGTCTTGAGGGTCTCTCGGGCCGTCTTGGGGTGATCTTGGGGGCCTCTTGGACCGCCTTGAAAGGTGTGAAAAACGAAGAGGCGGATATGTTAAACATGAACGTTTGCCCATGGGAATGGGACGATTTTTGCTTGTGGGAGCCCTCTCGGGGCGCCACTTAGGGACCTCTTGGGGCGTCTTGAAGGCCTGTTGGGCCGTCTTGAGGCCATCGCAGGTGTTTGGGAGTGATATTCCGGCGTCTCCCGGCTCTCTTGGACCGTCTGGAGGGCTTCTCGGGCCCCTCTTGGACCGTTTCGAGCCCTCCTTGGCTCCGACAAGGGACCTTGCCAGGAGTCTGCCGGAAGTCTTCCGGGACCTTGCCGGGAGTCTGCCGGGACCTTGCCGTGACTTTGCCGGGGTACTTTTCGTCCGGGGACCCCCAGGGCCCGCCCCGCGCGCGCGAACTAGAGTTATTGTTGAGCAGTTACCTGAGATCTTAGCACGCCTCTGGCCCGTTGGGCCGGCGAATTATACGTTGGCATTTGTGAGTCTCTGGTCGAGAACTGGTCCAATCTGGCTGAATCCCGTTACAGCCAGCTTAACCCCGCTCAATCGATCTGGCTGAATCTTATTTAATTCAGCTTAGTCCCGGGCCAGACCCGGCCTAATCCGGCTCAGTGGCCCCTTCATCGGGCTGCCGCAGTCGTTGTCACGAAGGCTCGGCCCGAACGAAAGGGGGGTGGACTGGGACAGGGATTGGTTACGGAGTCTGCTGCATGCAGCTGGTTTCAGCCCCACCGAGAGGTCCAGTCCTCGATGCATGGGCGCCTCCCGGCGCCGGGAGGCGCTGGGAAAATTAGCTGCGTGAGCTGATTCTGAACACCCCCTTTGTTATCCCCCCCGTTCGCCAGGCCCGAGTCGTTGTCACGAAGGTCTCCCGGGAGTTGCCTCCTGAGCCTCGTCCGCAGCAGTCGCGTCGGGTGCCCTTTCTTGGGGTTGCTGGCAGGCCCCCCCTCTGGCGCCCGACGCGGGCTCGCAGCCCCCCAGGGGTGCGCCGGAGTGGTGAGGGTCTCGTTCGGCGGGCCGCGCCGCTCAGGGCCTGGTGGGGGAGGGCTCGCAGGGTGGCAACCTGGAGGGTCGAGGAGGGCACCTCGAATCTCATGACACGAGGGTGAGGTCGGAGGTTGATGGACCTCCTACCCTGACGCGTCGATTCAGGAATCGGCCGTTTTCGGTTCGCGAGAGGTCGTCGCGGCCGTCATGTTTGCGGGTCCAGGTCCGTCGGTTTCGGTCCCAGGCCGTTTTCACTAAAGGGAGTTTTACTAAAGGAAGGTTTGTCCACCGCCGAAACCTGGAGGATCGCGGAGGGCACTCCGAATTTCGTGATACTAGGGTGAGGGGAGTATCTTTATCCATGTCAAGTGCGTCTTGGGCTTTCTTGGAAGGGGCGTCGCAAGGCCGAGGCGCACTGGATCTGGACAATCATCGGGGGTTCGATGTGTTTCCATATCCAGTGCACCTCGGGCTTCTGGGGAAGGGGGCCCGAAACTCCAAGCTGCAGTGGATATGGACACAAGTCTTGCCCGCATTGGGGGGGGGCACAACAACCTCCCCGACGAGCAATTTTAGACAGGGCTGTCGTCTGCCCAGACCCCCGGCGAAACCCTCCAAGATTGCGCAAATCAGACCCCCAAAAATCAGACCACCCCCATTTTGTGTGACATCTGGAATACGGTAGGATGCAACACCTGAGAGGCTCAATTCAGCATCGGCGCCGGTATATCCGTGGTCGAGAACTGCATGATCCGTTCAATCCTGCTGAGCCCTCCCTAATACCGGTTTTCACCTGGCCTGGTTGCTGCCCCTTAATCGGGTTTCATAATCGCCCTTCATCGTTCTCCCGAAGACCTCCCAGGAGCTGCTTCCTAACATTCAGATCAGGACTCGCTGTGGACCTCGCCGAGAACGAATTCCTTTGACACACAGCGTCCCCTGCCCGACAGCGGCCGCTGTCGGTATTGGACGACCTCTGTTGTTGGACGTTTCCAGGGTACTGGTCGTGCCTAGCCAACCTCGTGGCCACAGGAAGTTGCCTTGGGAGGCTGGAGTGGTGGGAATCCAAGCGACCACGCTGAGGTTCGACCTCGCGACGGGCCCAGACGCAGGCGTGCATCCATCAGGCGGGCCCAGAGACGGGATAAACCGCTCCTGAGCGTCCGGGAACGCTCTCAGAGCGATCCGGAGCACTCTGGAACGGCCGCGGCGCTCGAGGCATCCTCCAGAACCTCTGGATCTCAGAGATCCCCGCCGCAGCACGGTCCGATGTGGTCCCAGTCTTGGCGCCGTCGTGTGCAGGCGTGCCTCGAGGCCGCCAGCAGGGGCGCGGAGCAGCGCGCGCCGTGCCCTCGCGAGCCTGGGCCAGAGGGCTGCCCTCCTCCAAGACAAGGAGGAGTACAAATAAAACACCCCGACTTCCAGACTTGGCGTTTATTGAAAGGCCCTGGGCGTTCACTAAGCAGCCCTGCCCTGCTCGATTCCTTCCCTGGGTGCGTTTGCACAACGGAATCGCTTGTCGGGGAGCTCATTCTGAGGCTGGGCGGGCGGCTCTCGAAGGTGCATCGGGGGAAGGCAAGGTACCGATACAGGTATCCCCGGGCCCATTGAAAACTCACATGGGTGATGCCGTGGTCGGCGTTTTGGGGGAGCGCGCCGATTTCGGCCAGACCTTCGTGTTCCCCGATCTCGCCCCTGCGAGCAGTGCCGACGTCGAGAATTCATGCCCGTGCGCACATGTACACATACGCGGTCCGCTTCTGGTGGCCTGCCTTTGAGCGCGGTCCGCTTCCAGTGGCCTGGGCTGCCAGTGTGAATTCGTTTCAGGTTCTTCCTCCTTCCCTCTCCTCACCCCCCTCCTTTTTGCCGCCGGGCCCTGCACGCGTACGTGAAACAATCGGGCCGAGCGAAACGGAGGGGATGAGGGAAAGGGGGGTTACGAAATCTGCTGCATGCAGCTGGTTTCGGCCCCGCCGCCGGGCCCAGTCCTCGATACATGGGCGCCTCCCGGCGCCGGGAGGCGCTGGGAAAATCAGCTACGTGAGCTGATTCTGTACCTTGCCCTGTGCTATCCCCCCCTTTCGTTCTCCCCGAAACTAGTGCACGCAGGACCGCGGAGGGCGCGCATGTATACTTAAGTCGAGCCTGTCCCTCTACTGGAGGAATATATTTATATATACACAAAAATAGTTCTGGATTATGTGTTGTTTTTTTTTTGTCGACAATCCCCTGTAGGGGGACAGGCCAGATTTGAATGTACACGTGAATCTCTGCCTGCTCGTCTAACCTCGGAAGCTGCAGCATATACATTACCAGTGGCGTTGTTTCTCAATCCCACGACTTTTTGAGGGTCGGGGACGACGTCGGGGTGGTGTGGTGTATACTTCTCCCCCGTTTCCCAGGGAAGACAACGAAAAATGCATACACCAGGATCCCGTAAACACCAGGATCCGCGTCCCTGTGCGAATTTCAGCGCAGGGTCGGAAAACGCGTCGGTTCATAGAGCTCGTTTCCCTACAACCAGGTCGGCCGACGCCGAGACGGCGCCATCAAGCTACGTGGCCGGCGGCGCGGCGCGCCTGCTCGAGAGAGAGAGGGTGCCGCCGCCTCGCTCCCCCCCCGCTCGCGCGATCGCAGGGACCGTACATGGACACTATGTTCGAACCCTGTGGCCCGAGATGCCCCCCAGACCCCCCGAACTTAATATTGATGGCGTGGCGACGGGGGGGGGCGTGAGTGGAGAGAAATAGTCAAACCCCAAAGCACCGCCATTACTGAGATCAACACTGATGTTGGGGGCGCGGGCCGTCTGCCCAACAGCGGCCGCTGTCGCTTTTGGACGACATCTGCTCTTTGGCATCGGACAAGTTTTTGTCCTACACGTGTCGGGCGTCCAGAGAAGCTCATACATGTTCGAAACCAGCGAAAGAGGGGGCCTGTGGCAGAGGCCAGATCGGCGACGCGACGGACGGACCACCAATACACAGAAACGTAAACATATAATTACTCTTTCCTCCTCCAGCGAGGTGACAGCACCGTCGCGAATGCTTGAGCGGGACGCACCTTGCGGATGGAAACCACACATATTTTGATATATATATATAGATAGATTCAACACTTCGTAGCGTTACCTACTACCTGGGCGGCTCGTTGGACGCTGCCACGGTGCGGTCCCGAAGGGCAGGCGCGGCTGGCACGTCCGGCCGTGAGGCGGGAGAGGGGATGCGGCAGCAGCGGCGGTGGAGGGGGAGGGTCGGGCCAGACGAAAGGGGGGGATCAGGGAAAGGGGGGGTTACGAAATCTGCTGCATGCAGCTGGTGTCGGCCCCACCGCCGAGCCCAGTCCTCGATACATGGGCGCCTCCCGGCGCCGGGAGGCGTTGGGAAAATCAGTGAGCTGATTCCCAAACCCTTCCTTTGCTGTCCCCCCCTTTCGCCCGGCCCGAGAGGGGCAGCTACGAGGAGCAGCCAGAAGGGGCGCGAAAATTGAGCAGCGGCAGGGGTGGATGGGAGGGGATGCTGGAATTCGGGGGGGGGAGGGGGAGGAAGAGGAAGAGGAGGGAAGAAGAGCGTGAGGGGAGCGGGCTGCAGGAAATCACAGAGGCGTTGCACGTCTTGCTCGCCAGTAGCTTGCGGCTTTGCCTCGGTATTCCCGGGGCTGGCGGGGACGAGCAGCATCGCCGGCGCGTGCATGCTCATGCGCGTGCCTCCTCAAGCCCGAGCGGGAAGAGTGAGGGCAGGCGGCCCGCGTTCGCGAACACCTGCTGGACCCGAGCAAGTTCTTCGGCAGGGTGCCCTTCTCCACCGTGGCGTTGGACGCGCCGGAGTTCAAGCCGACCGGCTACTGGCGCGGACCCGTCTGGCTTGACCAGGCCCACTTCGCCATCCAATCCCTCTTCTTTGTTTACAGATACGCAGCTCCTGCCTGTCGCACCACCAGGCTTGTCGTTACGGCGGCTGGGCGTTTCGCTTGAGGCTTCCTCACCACTTATGACCCTGAAGCGTGAAGTGTGCAACAGAGATGAGGTCACAGGGGGGGCTTTTCCGAAATGGTGCTCTCGCCTCAGTACTACCATACACGTCCGTCTTCAAATATGTGCAACAGCTAGACGGATGGAGAGGTGGGGGTTTGAAATAAGGCTTCCGCCTTGGCGCCACGCGCACTCGTCTGGAGTATGTTCAACAGTTGCAGGGATGGAGGGCGGGTGGTGTTCAAAACAACGTGCTCGTGGCCTCGCGCACACTCGTCGTAAACATACCAGACAGTTACACGGATGGGATGCAAGTCGTTTTCCAAACGGGGTGTTGGCTTTGGTACAACTTGCATTCGTGTTTAAATCTTCCAGTTGCTACTCGGATAGAGGGCGATTCGTTTTCAACACGGGGTTGTCGCTTATATTTCTTGGGGTGGGTAAGGCCCGAAGTTCTATGCAGCGTCTTAACGTATGCAGGGCGGGCGGTTTTCTTGAAACGGAATATCGCTTGAGCCTTCCCAGGGCTCGATCACCCAAATCATGAAATGTGCAGCGGCCACACGGATGGAGGGCATACCATTTTCAAAACGGGGCTATCGTTGTACATGTTTTCTAACGCTATGACCTTACCTCTTTGCACTTCTTTGGTCGTATGTACAAAACTGGGCCCCTCCTGCATGGCAGGCACGCGGGGTGATAGCTTGCCATGAGGGTGGGGCGCGTCCCGCAGTAGAAAGGAATACGTGCAGGGACAAATGAGAAGGGAATTTGGGACGGGAGTGTGTACTGTATTGTCGTTGGTGCATCTAGGTTTTCTCTTGTCCTGTTCCTCCCCCTCATCTTATTATCATGGTCGGCAACAAGAGGGCGTGGGAGAAGAATAACCAATGGTTTCTGGTCCGTATTCGATCCTTCTTCCTCCTCCCTTTGGTCCTCCCTTTCCTCCTTTTCCCTCTTTGGGGAAGTTTATGGGCCCTCATCTTCCGCTGGAGCTCCCTAGATCCTCCAAGTCACAATCATGGAGCCCCCTTCAGAACCATCGAAATGCATTCGCATCCGTTCAGCCTCGTAGCGTACGCCAAACCGCTGTCGTTCCCGAATATTGTTGGTGGACTAGTTTTCCACAGTTCGGGTTGCTTTGAGCGGGTTCGTTTTTGGCGACCCCAATGTTGTGTGCCAAAGCACAGCCTTGGTCGACTCCTGCCCTTCACCCCCCCCTCTCTCCCCGCCCTCCTGCAGCCCTGCGGACAATCACAACTCAGACGCGCTACCTTCACGGGAAGGCGGTGTCATGAGTGACGATGGGAAGCGGCTGAGGCGGCTGCAATGACCACCTCCCTGGGGTAATTCAAAGTATTCAAGAAGAAGCGCTACCTTCACGGGAAGGCGGTGTCATAAGTGACGATGGGAAGAGGCTGAGGCGGCTACAATGACCACCTCCCTGGGGTAACTCAACGCATTCAAGAAGAACGGGAGACTTCCGCTGCCTGCAGCTGTGGCAGGTGCTGCACTGCCTCAACCTGCACCGTGTGAGTGCCTCTCGTGCCCCTGCGCGGTCTCGGACCTCGCTCCCTCCCCGGTCGGTCTCGCTGCTCGTGGTCTCCCCCTGGCCCTCGCCTCGCCTCGCCTTCTCTTGGGCCCCTCGTCGGTCCCAGTCCCCTTTCGTCGCCGCGTTGCGGCTACAGTTGCCAGGGATTTGGCGCTTGGCTCGAGCCCACGTCCAGGTAGCACGGGCAATCAAAACTCTCGCAGAGCCTTCCTGCAACTCCCCCTCTTCCCCCTCCCTTTGCCTCCTCCTCCCGATCGCGCCGGAGCGTGCGAGCGAGGATGAGACGGGCTAGGATGAAGGAGGGAGAAGAGGAAGGAGAAGGAGAAGGGGAAGGAGAAGGAGAAGGAGGAGGTAAGAGATGGACGAAGGAGAAGTAGGAGGAGGAGCAGGAGCAGGAGGAGGAGGAGGAGGAGGAGGAGGAGGACTAATGGCTGAGGATTGGGCTGCCTCCTCAGAGGCAGCTCTGGCAAGTGAGGAGATCAGCACAGAGGGGCCCGCGCGCGAGCTAGGCGCCAAGGAGGACCGAAGGAAGAGGGAGGATCACGAGGCGGGTGGGGCGGGCCGACTACAGAGATGGAGACGACGAACGGTCGGCGACGGACGACGAAGGCAACACGAAAGTGGCGGCGCAGTCGACGACGACCCGCGATCACGGCCAGGCCTACTTCGCCATCCGCGGATTGCAGCGCTACGGCCACACGGAGGACGCCGAGCGGGGCCTACAGAAGTTGCTCGCGGAGGTGTCGAAGGCGCGGTGGCCGCGCGCGCGGGCGGCGACGCTCCGAAGACTCTCCGCCTGTTCGATTTGTTTTCTGGGCACCTTTTCAAGGCGGCGCGCAGAGGAGGAGGAGGAGGAGGAGGATGAGGAGGAGGAGGAGGAGGAGGAGGAGGAGGAGGAGCAGGAGGAGCAGGAGGAGGAGGAGGAGGAGGAGGAGGATAGTCTGCGCCCTAACGGGTTTCTACGCTGTGTTTCTTCACGCATCGCCGTTTTTCTGTTGCGCTCACCTGGGCCCGGGACTAATTTGTTGGCCACGTTGCCGAAGTTCCGAAATAGTGCTTGCAGCCAGGGGTTCTTGTCTGGTCTGTCTGAGTCGCCGGATGTGTCCCCATGATGTCCCCCGCGTTGGCGCCTCTGTCGCTCGTGGTCGCCTCGTGGGCGCCCCGCGCGCTGGGCGGGTTTCGCCTCATTGGCGCCCGTGCCCGCTCGTGGGCGCCTCGAGGGCGCCGCTCGCTCTGGGTGGGTTGCCCGAAGTTGTTCGCCGCGCGGGCGCCTGGGCCCGCTCGCGCCTCGTGGGCGCCCCCGGTGGGCACCCCCCGTGCGCCGTGTGGGTGTCTCGGGGGTTGCGCTTCGTGTGCGTCCGTGGCCCCCGTGAGCTCCCCGCGGGCGCCCCGTGCGTTGACGCCACGCCTCGTAGCTCGCACGGCACAGCTTTGAGCACGTCGTTCGCACCAGATGGCTGGCAGCGCACAGCTCACACCAGGCAGCTCTCACCACACGTCTTATACAGCATAGATCGGTGGGATGGCGTACATCGCGTAGCAGGCACTGCGTAGCTGCCATCGCACAGCTCACGCAACATACCTCACGCCACTTAGCTCACACAAGATCGCTCACGCCACGTAACTAACACTATAGCTTTTACCACACGTCTAACACAACAAAGAGCACACCGTACACACATATATATACATATATATGTATGTATACATACTATAAATACATACATACATGCACGCATATGTGTACACATCAAAGCACACGTAGGTGTCACAGCACAGCTTTCACCACATATCTTGCACATATAGCGTGCACCGCCTACTCTACACCTCAACGCTTACACCACATGGCTCGCATACCATAGCTTTCTCAGCACACCTTTCGCCTCCACTGTGCAATCCATCACAGTTTGGGGTCTACGCTGGCTGAGCGTTGGCGATGGTTCGTCGCGACTGCTCACTCCAGCCAGCGCAAGCAATTACTCGCCGCGGAGATCCCCATGCGCGCGTCTCATACTCCTGGCCCGTCTCCCAGAGGGACTCCGAGTGCGAACGTTTGCGTGCGAGGGCTGGTCTGCGTGGATCACGGGCGCGACGACGACGACGGCAGCAACGACTTCGGTGACGTTATCCTCTCCCGTCTGAGCATTCTCCAGGTGAGGTTGGGAAACCAAAGGACAAGAGCGCGGGATCATTGAATACGTAAAGTAGAGAAGGTTGTGAGTACAGTTACGCGTAAGTGGTCTGAGTGCTAGTGAGTCTCAGTGCGATTGAGTCCAGGTATGACTGAGTTTGAGTGTGAGTGTGAGTGGGCCTAGGCATACGAACGTCTGGGTACGGGTGCGTCTGAGTGTGCGTAAGTCTGAGTGTGAGCAGGCTAGTGTGTGAGTGGGTCTGAGTCTGAGTACGCGTAGGTCTGAGTGCGAGTGGTCCTTGGCGCGAGTGGGTCTGAGTGTGTGCGTGTGTGTGCGTGTAAGTCTGTGTATGGGTGAATATCGGAGACAGTGAGTCTGAGCCTGAGCGAGTCTGAGTGTCAGTGAGTCTGAGTGTGATCGTGCCTGAGCGTGAGCGAGTTTGACATGCTTGAGTCTGAGTATGGGCGTGCATGAATGTGCGTGCGCCTGAGTGTGAAGGAGGGAGAGGAGGAGCGAGATGAGGAGTTGTGGGTGTTACGAGTGGTTGGAGTGCGAGTCAGTCTCCGTGTGAGTGGGCCCAGGACTGATTGGGTTTGGACATAAGTTAGCCTAGGTATGAGAGAGTCTGAGTACGGGTGCTTCCGCGTATGAGTGAGCCTGAATATGAGTAAGTCTGAGCGTGGGTGAGGTTGTATGGGTGGTTATTTGAGCGGGTGCGTCTGAGAGTGTGTGAGTCGGAGTGTGAGTAAGTCCGAGTGTGAGTGAGTCTGAGTGAGGGTATGATTGGTATGAGTCTGAGTATGGGTGTGTCTAAGTACGAAGGGGTTCATGTATGAGTGGGTCTGGGGGCTGGCGGATCTGAGTGAGTGTAAGTCCGAGTGTGGGTTTCTCTCTCGCCTGTGACATCCTCGCAATCTTACCTGAACGCAGACGAACCTGGCCACCAAAAGCAGGCGCATCGCCTGAGACATCCACACAACCTGGGAGCGAACGGGCCCGTGATATGCCCCCTGACGCCTCCCCCCCGCTTGGTGAGCTGAACACAACGCCTCACCTGACACATCATCACAATCTGCTCCGAAAGGGGAGGATGTTGGCGACCAGGATTGGCAAACCACTCGAGTCCTCCAAACAATCGGGGCGCCAATGGGCCCGTGCAATTCTCCTGGCTGCTCACCTTTTGGAGTGCTGAAGCCAGCGCCTCGCCTGGACCGTCCTCACAAGCTGGTCAGACAGCACCAGACTTTGGCCGTCAAAACGGGCAACACCGCTTGAGACATTCCCACAATCTGGGCGCGAACGGGCCCGTGCAATACTCCCTAGTGGCTCCCCCTTGGCAGTGTTGAAACCAGAGGCTCGCCTGAGACATCCTCGTTTCCCAGGGGCAGACGGTGGTCTGATTGTGACTGAATGTGAATGCCAACGAGTGTGAGTGAGTCTCTGTGTGTGTGTCTGAGTATGAGTGAGTCTCAGTGTAAGTGAGTCTGAGCCTGGGTGAGTCTGAGAATCTGTGAGTCTGAGTGTGAGTGAGTCTGTGGGTGAGAGAGTTTGAGTATGAGTCAGTCTGAGCACGGGTGAATCTGAGTGAGTCTGGGTGTGATTGAGCCTGAAGGTGCGTGAGTATGAGTGTGATGGGTGAGGCGGAGGAGGAAGAGGAGGAAGGAGAAAGCGCCGACGAGGTCCGAATAACAGCAATAATCCCTATCGCAGGATATGTGGAAAATGGTACACTGACAGACAACCTGCACAGTCATACGCTCTCGGAGGTCCGCGCGGATTCTTTGCGTCGGCGGTGGACCCTCTGGCGCCAGGGGGGTGGCGTTGCAGAGTCGATCCGAGAAAGCCGCGCAGACCTCCGAAAGCTAATGCAGGTTTCTGATCTACGAGAGGAGGATGAGGAGGGTCGAAGGATCGAGGTCTTAATGAGCTGTTGGGCATTGTCGGGCCTCCTGGAGCCGTCCTCGTCGTTACTTTTTGATTCGAGTCGAGATTCCGCTCAGAGCGCGCCCCACGACAAACTTAGGGGCTGATCTTTTGCAAGGGGACCCAGACATCTAATGGCTCAAAGCAAGAACGCGATCCCTGAGAAAAGGAGTCGCGAGGACGTGCTCAGGGGCAACACGTTGGGGGATAGGCTCACGGGGGATGCATCGACCGCCAATCACCCACGAGTGGTTTCTCTGCGGGGTCATATAATCCATCTATCGGTGATGTATCGCCGATTCTATAGCTCCATGGCTTCCCCCCTGAGCAGGCCCCGCCCAGACATTCTCCCTCGGGACTGTGAGCCAGTCACCTGAAGAGGCTGGGTCGCCGGAGGTACTGAAGCGTAGGCCTTGAAGTCTGCGGAGGCCCTCGCCGTCCCCACCCTCGCCCTCAACCTCGGTTGATCCGTTCTGTTGATTATCGGGAGCCGCTGCCCCTCTGGAGCGATGCGATGGTGCAGGAGGCACGGTGCTTACACACTTAGGGGGGAATTCGTGAATTTAGTATGTGCCGGGATCGAACTGCCTCGAAGGAAGCGAGCCCACCCGAGTCGCAAGCATTGGTATGCGTGCGGGCCGCTGACATTTTGTCTCCGTCGTCGTCATTTTCCTTGGTTCCTTCTCCTTTCTCTGCACCCTGGACGGTGTGGGAGGCGGCCTTAGGTTCCGGCGGGGGAGCGGTCCTGTCCCTTCCTCCTCCCCAAAAGTCCTCGCTCCTCCTGTTTGCCTCCCTGCTCCACCAGCCGTCGCCCCACCTTGTCCTCCCTCCCTTCTCCAAGAAAGGGCAGGTGATGGGGCCGCGCGCCCGCGCTCGTATTGTATATACCGCCCGTCCAGTCTCCAAGCACAGCGAAGCGGCCAAGTGGAGGGCGTGGCCAGTGCAGGCTTTCCGCGCGGGCGGCAAAGGCCGCCAAGCACAGTCGCGATTCACATGTATAGTTTTTGGTGCCCGCGGCGCGGTCCGCCACCGTGCCAGTGCAGTGGTCTCTACGGCGACGCTGCGTATTATGTGTGCTCAGGCGTCCGTGCCACGTGACATCCGTCATGTTGTCGGGCTGGTGTCGGGCCCTCCTGGGGGTTATGTCGGGGCCCTCTTGGGACGTCGTGGGGCCGTTGGGGGCAGCCTTGACGCCGCGTTCCACGGTGGCCGCCTTGGGCCAGTGACGCGTGTATGGGCAGTCCTGGGGGGGGGGCCGCCCTGGGCCAGGGAAGTGTGTATTCGCATCCCCCCTAGCGGATGACGTCGACGTCGGTTCTGGTTTGTCGGAGTGCGAAGTAGGGGTACCTTCGAGGTGGCGAGCGTTTTTTTCTGTTTCAAAGTACACAGATCAAGGTGAGATCTGTGTACGCAGCTCGTGTCTTCAACTGTGCACGTGCGCGTGTGGGTCCACCGTTCACACAGATCGTGGCGTGATCTGTGTACACAGATTATGCTCCCATCTGTGTATTTGGAGTGTGCTCCTCGCGCGCGGAGATGATTTGGCGGGATTTTTCGCGTTTCTCTCGGCTCGTCCTCGGGGGGGCGCTGCGCGCGGGCGAAATACACAGTTCGTGTCTCCAACTGTGCACGCGCTGCGCGCGAATCGCTGGAGTTGCCACTGTGTTGGGTTGTCCGCAGATTTCCCAGCCGGTCACGGATCGGGGCGTGGTTTGGGAGGGCAAAGCGCGCGGATGTTGGGGGATGATGCCTTCTGTGGGGGGACGAGAGGAAGAGGAGGAAAAAGGAACACATGTGCTTGGGAGGAGCTGCGGCGCCGGTGCCAGCATCATGGGGACGAGGGGCACGGGGGGGAGCAAAAGGAGATGATATGAATTGCGCATGGCCGTTCGGGGGGGGATGGCGAGGGCGCGGATGAGGTGGCGCGCGTCAGGCGGAAGGAGGGCAAGGAGGAACGCCATGCAGTGGCAGAAAGGGACACGATAATGAAGAGGAGGAGCATCATGAGGAGGGGGAGGGTTCGGATGGGCATGAGGAGGACGATGCGAAAGGGAGGGGGCACGGGCGGGAGGACAGAGATGGTCCATGAGGGTGAAGCGGGCGCCAATTAACGCTCATTTGTGCGGTGTTCTGCGCGCCCGTGCAACACCCGAGAAACTGAAGTGGCGGCTGCGGAAAAACGCGCGATCAGGGTCGTCGTGCGCGTTGTGCGTCCAGGCCAAACGCTCGAGTACACGACGCTCCTATGAGTCGCGTTGATGCCGCCCGTTTTCGCCAGACCGCGCATGCACAGATGGGCTGAATCCGTAGGCTTACTTTTGCCTCACGGCCCTTTTCTATAGTAACAGGGCAACGTTGGAACCCAAGCTGAATCGCAGGTCCTTGGAGCTTTCGATCCCTTCCCTGGAACCGGCGTTTCATCCCGAGCCGTTTTTCCTCATGTCGGAGGTCCAAGGCAGTGCGCACCATTGTCACGCTGGTCGGACCACCGTGTGCGCGTGGCATTACCGAGGAGGCACCACTCTGTTGCACACGATGCGGACCACTGCGGGCGCCACTCATGTACTTGATTTGTCTCGAATATGCAATTGCTCGCGGCGCGGGGCTCCATATGTGCATCCTTTCTTTGATTAAGAAAGGGGTATTCTATTTTGCATGAGCGTCTAGCCATATCAGCCATATGTGCATCTAATATTGCAGGGTAGTGCTATGGTGGACATGTGTGTACGATCGTTTTTCTAAAAAGGTTGCGTCTACGTGAGCGACGCGCACACGCGCGCGCAGTTCGGCTGCACATCCAACACATGTAAAGGTTCATCCGCCATCTGATTTACCAAACACGAAGCACAGCTCCTCCCTCCTCCTCCGCTCGTATCCCCCAGTCGTCCTACTCGCAAGGTGAGATTTTATTTTCCCAAGCTCCCTCTCCAGTTCGAACGTCAGCGAGAAAATGAACCTTGGCAAGTGCCGTTGTCCCGCGGCTGAAGGGTGAACCTTTTTTTTTCAATCTCCCCTTTTTTTCAGCCCGACCACAAGAGGGAGAGTGAACCTTTTCCAAGTTCCCTCTCCCCCGCCTGGGGAATGAACGTTTTCAAGTTCCCTCCCCAATTCGATCGCATACTGGGAAGTGAACCTTTGCAAGTCCCCTGTCCCGCGAGTGAAGGGTGAACGTTTGCAATTTCCCCCTTCAGTCCGACCACGCGAGGGAGAGTAAACCTTTTCAAGTTCCCTGTCCCTGTCTGGAGAGTGAACCTTCTTTCAAGTTCCCTCCCCAATTCGACCACAAGCTGGAAAGTGAACCTTTTCAAGTTCCCTCCTCCGCAGCGAGAGAGTGAACCTTTTCAAGTTCCCTCCCCAGCCCAAAACGCACGCGGGAGAATGAACCTTTATCAAGTTCCTTCTCCCGCTGACGACGACAAGATTGGAAAACACCACGGAAAGAGAAAACAACATCCCACGGTGACACAAACCTTGCGCCGGCAACACCTGGTCACTCCTCCTTGACCGCCGTGCGCAACGGGGAGAGCCACTCAGGACACAACGCAAAAGCAGAAAACAAGCAAACCGCTAGAGACATCCCATCAGAAAAGCGACGAACGGAGCCGTGAAAACACCCTTGGCGGCTCCCTTTAGGTAGCTGAAACCAGCGCCCCGCCTGAGACATCCTCACAACCTGCTCTCCAACCGAAGGATGCCGAGATAGAAAACAGGCAAACCGCTTGAGACATCCCTACAGAACGGCCGCGAACGGGACCGTGTCATAACCTTCGGCGGATCCCCTTACGGGTGCTGGAACCAGCGCCCCGCCTGAGACATCTTCAGAATCTGCTCTCCAAGCGAAGAGTGTTGGGACAGATAAAAAGGCAAACCGCTTGAGACATCCCCACAAAACGGCTGCGAACGTGACCGTGTCATACCCCTTGGCGGTTCCCTTTAGGGGTGCTGAAGCCAGCGCCCCGCCTGAGACATCCTCGCAATCTGCTGTGTGTTGAGTAAGTCTGACAATGCTAAGGTCTGAGTATGAGTAAGTCTGGGTATGAGTGGGTCTCAGAATGAGTAAGTCTGAGTATGAGTAGGTGTGAGTATGAGCAAGTGTATAATATCAGGTCTGAGTTTGCGTAAGTCTGTGTATGAGTAAGTCTTTGTATACGTAAGTCTAGGTATGAGGGGGAGGATGAGGAGGAGGAGGAGGAGGAGGAGGAAAAGAAGAGGAAGGAGGAGTAGGAGGCGTCCAAGTAATAACAAGAACTCCATCTTAGGATAGGGGGAACAAAAACAAGAGACAAGCGTGTCAAGGTTCATACAATCACGGACGTGGGACGCTGGGACATGGAGGTGGCGCCATTTTGTGGCAGTTTCGGGGAAGCGCGCGAGTGCTGCGACGCGCTGAGCTACGGCGTGAATAACTTGCTATATGCTATATCACTGTGAGCTGGTGGCGTCACTAAGACTCTTCGGGGAAGACAACATCCAGCTTCACCTTTTCGAGTTGACAGACGTCTTGCACTTGCGCCCCCCCCGTCGAGGATCCCGTGCCCCGGGAAAACTACAACCCGGTCTCGGGCGCCGGCCTGGGCGCACAGTTCTTCGGGTGGTCCGCTGCCAGCCTCCTGATGCTGACCACGCCCGGGCGAGAGGACCTGTATCGGCCACGCGCAGATCTAGGCCTCCTAAATGGGGTCGGAGTAGATGGTGTCGGAGGATCGCGCCGCATCGCCGATGCATCGGCGATGCGGTTCGATGTGGAGCCCGATGTTCTCCACGCTGGCATCGCCGATGCATCGCCGACGTCGACGATGCGTCGCTGGTGCATCACCGATGCATCGCCGATGCATCGCAAATGTATCGGCGATGCGGCGCGATCCTCCGACCCCATCCACTCGGACCCGATCTGGGAGGCCTCTAGCATAGGGAAGCAGGGGGAGAGGGGAAGGCTTCTTAGAAACAACCCCACCTCTTAGAAGGCGCGGGCTTTGACTGTAGATGCCGGGCCGGCGCGTTCTCAGAAACAACAACCTCCTAAGAAGTTTTCCCCCTTCCACATACTCCCTCGTGCGCGCCGCCAACTCAAGGATTGCCCTGCGATCTGGGCGCAGCAGTTTTGTTCACACAGAGTGTCTAGCTCACTGAACGTCTTCTTCATGCTTCGGGCCGTGGGGCCCTCACAGATCAGCCGTGGGAGCAGGGAAGGGTTGTGGGCGTTTTCAGCTTTGTTGCGCCTCTGGAGGCCTCCGAAGAATTCCGCGGAGACCTCCTTGGACTGCGCAGGTCTCCGAGGAGACTTCCAGATGCTTACGTCCGCCACCGCTCCTGGCCTGCAGGTTTCCAGAAGTCTGGATTCCCTACGAAGATGAGGGCGGCCTCGCTGCTGCGTTCGATAGCTTTGGGAGGTCTGGCGTCCCTTTCAAAACGTGGGGGCGGAGGATCCGCTGTCCGGGCCACGCCCGTCCGGGGCCCAGGTTCGGCAACATGCGGAGACCCGACGTAACGAGAGGAACCGCAGCGCCAGGAAAACAGATGGCATCCAGCTGTGAGGGGCCATGTGGGCCCGACATCCGCCTGGGGTATGGACCTTCGGGAACGTCGGCACGCGGCGGAAATGGGTATATGGTCCCAGGTAGAGTGTTCACAGCCCCCCCAACCCCCCAGATGGGGTGGATCCCTGGGTTCCACGCCCCCCCCCCCCCCAGGTGGGAGTGGGGACACGACGAGGACGACGACGACGACGACGACGACGACGACGACGACGACGACGCCGACGCCGACGGCGACGCCGCCGACGCCGACGCCGACGCCGCCGCCGCCGATGACGACGACGACGACGATGACGACGACGACGACGACGACGACGACGACGACGACGACGACGACGACGACGACGACGGCACCGCAGCACCACCCCGCACCCACGGGGGAAGGGGCAGGTGCCCCGGCACCCCTCCTCCACCACGACCAGTGGGGAGAGGGGGAGATCCCATTCGCGAGACCTTCGCGAGGCTCACGTGCGTAATTACCCATCCAGCCCAGCGGGGGGGGAGGCGATCCCATCAGCATTGGGGTGGGCAGAGCCCTGGATCAAAAATGCGTGCCCCCAGGGGGGGGCCAAGTATTTCTAGGTCCACCGGCTGCCGAGGCCCCAGAAGCTCGATCCCTTACCTCGCACGAAAGCTGGGCAGGCCCGAAAGCATCCGAGATGTTCGGCCCTCCTCCTTCCTCGATGCTCGGTCTGCTTCGGCCGTGGCTTGGGGAGGGGCTCGACATACAGACACCACGTCGTCTGTCGACCGAGCTCTCCCTCCGATTTCCACTTGGCACCCGAGCTGACTAGACGATTCGGTGGATCCAGACCTGCGACATCCTGATTTGCTCGGCACGGGGCTCCCTGAAGTCCCGACCCTTTCCCGGGGCCGGCATCTCGCCCCGGGCCGTGTCCTGAAGGTCCCGGGGCCCGCCGACGGCCTCCAGAGACCGAAAACGACCAAGAAACCGCCCGCCGTCAGACGGGGCTAGCACGAGGATAAATCCGCACGTCGATACACACACACACACACACACGCGCACGCACGCACGCACGCACGCACGCACGCACGCACGCACGCACGCACGCACGCATGCACGCACGCACGCACGCACGCACGCACGCACGCACGCACGCACAAACACACACACACACACACACACACACACACACACACGCACACACACACACACACACACACACACACGCACATCGGACAGGGCTAGGACGAGGACAACTCCACCCCAGAGCGGCTCCAGAACGCTCTCAGAGCGTTCTGGAACGCTCTGAGGAGGCCGCCGCTCCCGAGATATCTTCCAGAACCGCCAGATCTGAGAGCCTCCCGATCGATGCCCGCTCGAATCTAGCTTCGCCCTGGCTTCGTCTTCTACAGGTCGAAGCCCATCCGAGGCCTACCAGGCCCTCGTGGGCCCGCGGGGGGTGGCGCGGGGCGCGGGGTTTTTGGCGCCTCGGCCCCGCGAGAGGACCTGCCGCCCGGCCTTGACGACGGCGATGCCCTGGGCACGGGCACAACCCGGGGAGAGGCGCCGGAGGCATCTACGAGAAGGATGGAGGAGGGAGGAGGGAGGAGGAGGAGGAGGAGGAGGAGGAGGAGGAGGACGCGGAGTAGGAGACGGAGGAGGAGGAGGAGGAGGAGGAGGAGGAGGAGGAGGAGGAGGATAAACCCAACAGCTGAGTGGCTCGTATTTGCCCAACGTTGACCAGGACGAGGAGGAGGTAGTGAAGGAGGAAGAGGAGGAGGAGAGGAGGAGGAGCAGGAGGAGGAGGAGGAGGCTGAGGAGGCGTCCATGGTCACCGAGGGCCGACAAGAGTGGCGGAGAGGGGGGGGGGGCATCGTCGGCACCTGTGTACGGTGGGCGCGCCTGTCGAGAGGGCCCTTTGTTGTCGTCTGCCCCAGCGGTTCGCGGACGAAGGGAGGGGCGGCGAGGGGGGTGGGCAGCCGTCCTTGAGATGGGCAGGAAGGGAACCCTCGGAGTGGATCGGACGGCCTTTCATCGGGAGCAACGTTGGGGGGAAACGTGAGGTTGATCAGTCTCCTTCCCCCGCCCCGAGATGCAACTCCTCGGAGGTTAATTTCTGAATCGGCGCTGGTATACTCCTGATCGGAACTGGCCTACTCTGGCGGCGCAACCCCGCTGAATCCGGCTTCGTCCTGGGGCTCCATTCAGCCTACTCCTACTCAATGAACGGCCCCTTCATCGGGCTTCATAGAGCCCGTTTCTTTATTGCTTGGGGCATGACGGGCGTCATGGCCCCCGCTCCCCCCCCCTATGACGTAACGTTCCCTCCCCCAGTGCGCTCCGGGCACTGCCGCCGTGCGCATTGGGAGCCGCGTGTGAGTCCGCATAGCAGTCGTCGTCCCGATTCAGGGCTATTAGCCCTTGCTCGTTCTCGCGAAGACCTCCCAGGAGTTGCCTCCCCCCCCTCCCCCGACCGCTGCCCCCCCCCCCCCGCCCCCCAGGCGAGCCCTAGACTGCGCAGTGCTGCCCTCCTGCCGCGGCCGCGCCCAGCGCGCGGGAGAAGGGACGCCGCTGGCGGGCGCCTCCGGCGCCCCTCGTGCGCCCGAGGGGCGTCGGCCGCGGAATGCAGGCGCTGGGGGCTCCCAAGGGGCCCAGGGGTGAGGCTTCGCGGATCGAGGCTACGAGGTTCGAGGATTGCGGATCGAGGATCGAGGATCGAGGATCGAGGATCGAGGATCGAGGATTCGAGGATCAAGGATCGAGGTTCGAGGATCGAGGATCGAGGATCGAGGATCGAGGTTCGAGGATCGAGGATCGAGGAGGGAGGTTCCGAGGATCGAGGATCGAGGCCTCCCACTGGAATCGAGGTCCGATGTTTTCGGACTTCTGCGCTGGTGCCCGGCGGTTTTGCAACCTCGGCGGTTGCGTTCCAACAGCTGCTTCGCGCCGAGAGCGTTCTGGGGGTGCCCAGGTCGCCCAGAGCAGCCGCCAGAGACCTGTGAGGTGCGACCCGGATACCAGAGGCATCATTAGGAGAGATCGAGAGGTCCTCAGTGGCAACGTTAGGGGGGATAGGCTTAGGGAGTATACATCGAGCCCCAATCGCCAATTGATCGCCGATCTTGGCAGGCCCAGAGGTTGACACCAACAGCAAAATCGGCGGTGTGCCTCCACCGAGGGGAGATGATCCCGATCTCGGTGATGGTGGTAATATTCTAACTCCCTAGGCGGCCGAAATTTTGCAACCAGCACCGACATCTATCATCGTCCCCCCCCTCTAAGCGCACCCCCCTGTTTTGGTGGTGGTGGTGCCCATTTCGAACGCTACCGCGGGCCTCTCGCCGATCCATCGGCGATGTGCGGCCGACTCCAAAGGCGATGTTCCCCCCCCCCCCCACGAGCAGGTCGCCCCCTCGCTGCTTCCCCTCCACCCTGAGGTCTTGGCGACGCATTTTCTCCTCCACCCTGAGGCCCCTGCGTCCCCTCCACCCTGAGGTCTTGGCGACGCCCTCGTCTTCTTGCACGGGGCGACCTCGCCCCCACTCCGGGGCCCCGGGCCCCCACGGATCGATCCGGCTCGAGGAGTGCCGCAGAGAGGATTGGGTCCGCAGGGCTCCGTTCGCTTGGGATCGCTCGAACGTGTGCATTTTTTCTCGGCGAGGACCGTCGAGGAGCATTTTGCTCACCTAGGGAAAAAAACAACCACGCGCGAAACCGAAAAATGCACAGGGAATGGACGTCCGAGCCATGGCGAGGTCGTGATTCCCCCCAGGATGCGACTTTCCTCGTGGCGCCGGATCTGAGGGGACGCGCTCGGGAGCGGGCCGCGGGGAGTGGAGGGTGGGATGGGGGCGGGAGGTGGGGAGTGGCGGCTACCCTTAAGTCGGGCCTGTCCCTCTACAGGGGGGTTTTCGACAAAAAATTACAAATACGAGAGATATTCTAAAATGGCCAAAACATCTGTTTAAAAACAGTCCCCAGACTATAGTTTGACTATTTTTGAATATTCCCCCTGTAGAGGGACAGGCCCGACTTAAGGCTACCCAGACTTCCGATGTTTCGGTTATTCCAGCGTGGGGTCCTTGTTGGATGTCTCGACCCCTCGCCCTCCCAGTGGCCAGCTTTTTGATCCCGCGCAGTTCTCCGACGGTCCCGGAGCCGCCAGAATTCCGAAGCTGGCGGTCTCGTTTTCTCCCCCGATCCGGTGGATGATTGGGAGTAGCGGGGATTGGGCGGCCAGCTGGAGAAAAGTGCACATCCCTGCGAGTGGCATCACCCTGGCTCGGTGCCGATCTTGTGGATCCGTTTGTTGTCTGAAGGGTCATTCCTGATATTGATCAGCGTTTCGGGCTGGCCGATCCTGTAGGGATACCTGGATACACAGGCATCATCCTGAGTGATGTTTTCCATCCGCGGCCCCAGAAACGATCCACGTGTCCAGTGCAATTGTTCGTCCCGTGTCTGGTTTTGATGGTCCCGCGGGGCCCGATGAGGCCGAAATCGAGGCATCGTCGTCATCATCATCATCATCATCATCATCATCATCATCATCATCAGCAGCAGCATCAGCATCAGCATCATCAGCATCATCATCAGCATCATTATCATCAGCATCAGCATCATCATCAGCATCATCATCACCAGCACAATCATCAGCATCATCATCGTCATCATCATCATCATCATCAGCAGCAGCAGCATCCGCATCCGCATCAGCCTCAGCATCGTCATCATCATCATCATCAGCAGCAGCAGCATCCGCATCCACATCCGCATCCGCATCAGCATCGTCATCATCATCATCGTCATCATCATCGTCAGCATCAGCATCATCATCATCGTCGTCGTCATCATAATCATCATAATCAGCGTGATCATCATCGTCATGATCATCGTCGTCGTTGTCGTCATCATGATGATCATGATCATCGTCGTCATAATCATCAGCAGTATTTTCATCATCATCATCATCATCATCATCACCATCATCATCATCATCATCATCATCATCATCATCATCATTCGACGGGCCCGATGGCCGAAATCGAGAAAGCAAGAAGCACGCACTGAGCAGCATCACATCATCGGAGGTCTGCGCGGGTATGCGGGCGAGGTCCGAGGCGTGCGAGGCGGCGCTGGGCGGCGCGGCCCGCTTGCCGAGACGGGCGGTGCACACCCGCCCGGGGGCCGCGAGGGGTGCGACCGGAGGCGGAGCAGCTGCCGCTGGAGCAGGCGGCCGGGGCTCCGAACAGCTACCGGGTTCTGCGACGGTGTCGCATGTCGGCACAAACGAAATGGGTGCGGACAGAATGGATGTATATTCTCCCCTGGATTGATCTGGGTTCTGGCTTCGTCTGACGTTCCCCTCGCCGCCTCTCTCGGTGTCCGGGGCGGCCCCCCCCCGGGGCCCGTTCGAGGAGCAAAGCTCGCTCCGAGAAGCCAGGGTCAACGACAGGGGAATCGGCGTCACCCCGGCAGTCGCCCTCCAGAAGGGGGCGACGCGCGCTGGGATATCTTATAGTAGATTCGGCACGGACGAAATGGGTACGAAAAGAATGGGTACAATGCCCAACAGCGGTCCCTGTTCATTTTGAACAGGGCTCTCTGCCCGCGCCGCCGCGGCCTGTGTCCAGTTGAGACAGACGGCCGCCTGCCCAACAGCGGCCGCCGTTGGTTTGGGACAACATTTGTTGTTGGGCAGTGTTCCCATTTCTTCCGTACCCATTTCGGGCGTCCAGAGCATGGAGGCTTCGTGGCAGGCCAGGCTCTCCAGAGAGAGTCTGAGCAAAGACGGCACAAGCGTGGGCTCCAGACAGGGCCGCCCGAGTACGCCGTCTGGGAAATGGGGAGGGGCGTCGTCGTCGTCTTCGCCACGCCCGCCTCCCGAGCCTCCCTTCTCCATCGCAGAGCAGCAGCAGCAGCAGGAAACAGAGGGGCCAGGGAACGGGGTGCCGCAGGGCGCACAGAGTGCGAATGGTGAGAATGAGTTGTTGTCCACCCTGGCGTGTCTCCTCGATGTTGCTGAGCTGCGATACGAGCTGCGCGTCGAGCCTGTCCCGGCACATCCCGAGGTGTGCCTCGCTCCGAGGGCTTCCCCGCACTCCGCGGCTCTGTCCTCCTGGCTCCTCCAGATCTGCCTCCCCCGCCCGTGCCGCGAGTTGCTTCGCACGCGTCCCATCGTAGCCCCACCGCATGTCGGAGCCGAGACGCCGCTGATCGAACAGGAGCCTCGATGCGGGGGGCCGTTGTCGGGGCCCGGGGCCATCAAGCATGGATCCAATCGGGGCGAGCATGTATTGTCAAGACGCTGAAGTAAGGACGGCTTTGGGCTCAGGAAGGGCCCCGACTTTTGTCAGGAGGGAGAAAAGCACTCAAACAATCGTCGATTCCCCAGGAAATATGGGACAATATGGGAAGCTGGGGGGAAGACAAAGACCCAGAACATGTTGAAAGATCTAGGGAATCCGGTCATGTGTGTCTGTTTGCTTGTGTGTCCAAGGGCCCCTCCATATCGGGCCGCTCCTTGTGCTGCACGGATGTCGTGGGAGCTGCTTGTGGGCGAGGCCCGCCGTGGTCACGCAAGCCCCTTCGCTCCTCGGCACGCGTTCCAGCTGGTAGCGCGAGGAACCTCCGGGGAGGGGCGCGGGACCTCGTGGGTCAGGAGAGCGGTTTCGGGCTGGGAGGCTCGGGCTGGCAGAATTGATCAGGTCATCCCTGTCATCGAGTACGCCTCAGCGTGCTTGTTACACACTCGCGCTCTGTATCGTCCCAACCTTAAGTCGGGCCTCTCCCTCTACAGGAGGGTTGTTCAAATCTAATCAAAAACTAGTATGGGGACTTTTTTATGGTATGTTGTTTGTTTTGATGTTTTTTGTTTTGCTTCTCTTTTTCAAAATAAAAAAAACATCAAGATGTTTCGCCCCACATCCGCCTGCAGGGGGACACGCGCGACCTAATCCCAACCCCTCCCCCCCAACACGACCGCTGTCTTTCGCACTCGGGGGGCGGCGCGTGGCAGGAAGTCATTGGCAGCCGCGCCGCCCTGCGGGGTCGCTCCAGGGTGCCCGCGCCCCGCCTTCTCCGCGCGGCCTCGACCGCAGAGGCGGGGAGAGGCTGTCCAACACGGCCCAAAAGCTGCGCTTTGGTGTGTTTTGTATTCCTGTGCGCGCGTATCTGGTCGCGAGGAGCTGATGCGATTCCTGGCCACGCACGCGACGCCCGATTTCTCCATGTTCCCCGTCCTTGAGATCTTATGCATGTGTTGAAGACAGATGTCCGTTTCCCTTGCGCGTGTGAAGCTTCGTTTGTAGTTCGCGTGCTGAATGACAGGCCCAGCTGAATGTGCATGCGTCTGTTGCCGAATCGCTTGCGACTGTACTGGCATGGAACGAACCAACATTTTCTTGAGGCCCAGAACCCATGGGGCCTGGCCACTGGGGCCCAGGCTGTCCATCCCGACCGCGTCTGGAAGGCCCAGAAGCCTGGGGCCCTGCCCCGGAGCAGCTCCCGTCCTCAGGAGAAGAAAGAAACATATAAACTTGAACTTTTGGCGCTCCGCGCGGATTTCTTGGATCCGCGCTGGGCCCTCCCCCGGCGGCGCCTCCGGCGCCGCCCCTGGCGCGCCCCGCGCGCCAGGGAGAGGGGGTTCCAGCGCGGATCCAAGAAATCTGCTCGGAGCGCCAAAAGTTTATGCCTGTGTGCTTCTTTCTTCTTAGAATGAGGGCTGGTCCGGGGGCAGGGCCCCAGGGTTCTGGGCCTCCCAGACGTGGTCAGACTGGATGGGATCGCGCCGCATCGCCTGTGCATCGGCGATGCGGCTCGATATGGAGCCCGAGTTTCTCCACGCCGACGGCGCCGATGCATCGCCGCCGTCGCCAGTGCAGCACCGATGCATGGGCGGTGTATCGCCGATACGGCGCGATCCTGCGACCCCATTTGCTCCGACCCCATCTGGGAGGCTTCGAAGGATTCGAGACCCGTTTCCCTCAGGACCCGTTTCTTTCATGCCGTTTGCAGGCCCCCTAAGCCCTCAGCCCAGGGCGCCGGCGTTGGCTCGGCGGCACGCCGCCGGCGGCTCGGCGCCGGCCGATCTCTCGAAGGATCTGCGCTTAATCCGAGAGCCACCGACCGGTGGGCGAAAGCATGCCCTGATCCACGGCCTCGTGGGCTGGGCCCCTGGGCCGCGACCCTGCGGATGTGAAGCACTTCTTCGCGGACGTCCCGCGCGGAGCGCCTCCGTGCGACCGCGCATCTCCTCGGGATCGCGCCCTGGAATCCAGACTTCGGCTAGACGTTGGAATGATCTTTCGCCAGAGTGACCTCTGGTGCGGGCCCAAGGGGTCCCCCGATCGCTGAACGCGAAGCAATAGCAGCGGCTTGCGCGCCCAGGTTTCGCCACCCCGCCTCTCTCAAAAAGTCGCGCACCAAAGGTCACCCTTGCCCAGGGTCGCTCCTGCGTGTAGCCGAAGACTGCGAGGGCGTGGATCTGGTGGCGAACGATCCACGCGGCGCCATGGGCCCGACGGTCGACGTCCGATCCATTCCCCCTGCTGCTGCCCGCCTTCCTGAGCGCCGGGGGGAGCAGGGCAAGGATGGAAGAGCGTGGCCGGGGAGGCCCTGGATCTATCCACACCCCCGCTCTTGCTCCTCGTGGGGGTCGGCGGCGTGAGCAGGGGCTGGGGCAGGGGTAAGGGGAGTCGATCGCCTGTCCTCCTCCTCTTCCTCCTCCTCCTCCTCCTCCGCCCACCGCGGCTGCTCAGGGGCGCGGGGCGCTGCGTCGCCGGCCGACGACCTCCAGCTGGGAACATTGGACGAGGCGGGCGGACGCAGCAGCGGCCTGGGGCCTCCCGGATGGGGTCGGAGCAGATGGGGACGGAGGGTCGCGCTGTGTCGCCGATGCAGCGGCGATGCGGCTCGATGTGGAGCCCGAGTTTCGCCACGGCGGCGTCGCGGGTGCATCGCCGACAACGCAGGTGCAGCGCCGACGCCTCGCCGATGCAGCACCAGTGCGGCGCGGTTTTCCGACGCCGTCTACAGCGACCCCGTCTTGGAGGCATCTAATCAGTGCGGGACCAGGACAGGGATATCCGTCGTCCCAGAGCGTCCCGGAACGCTCGGGAACGCTTCGAGAAGTTCGCGGTGCCCGATGCAGTTTCCAGAGCCTCCGGCTCTCAGAGATTCCCGATGTATCTTTGTTCGTCTGCCATGCAGACAGCCTTGCTTTGCCTTTGCCGTCTGTGTCCCGCGTCACCTGACCATACTTGCTTATACTTTACATGTGCGTCGCCTCCAGAGGGGTGGCGCGGACGCTCAGCAGTTCTTCTAGTAAATGTTTGGTGGCGGGCGCTGTGTGGCCATACCGGGGTGTCAATTTGCCATGTTGTTGTTGTGCCATGTGATCTTGTCGGACGCACGCCCCCCAGGAGGACACACCGTAGTATTAAGTCGGGCCTGTCCCTCTACAGGGGGAATATTCAAAAATGGTCAACAAATGCTCAGGGGAACGGGCCCGACCTAATATTAGTATGTCCTTCTGCGCCCCCTTTGGTCCCTGTCCTGGCCCCCTCTGGGTGCATCGCAGGTGGCGTGGCGGGCCGTCCAGGCGCACGCGAGACGGTGCGGCCAGAGGCGGCGCGGGCTGCAGGCGAGGCCGCGCCAGGGAACGGGCTGCCTCGAAGACAGCGGCAGGCGGGCAGCCTCATGTCATGCAGGAGGGGAAAGAGCACGCATACACTCGCTGAGCGCGTTTCACTACTCGCAAAGTGCCTACTCGCAAACGTTCCAAAGACATTTGTCTGTTTTGATAGATTTAACCGTAGATCCCCTGTGGCGGATCCAGGCCATTTGCGAGTAGCTAACTACTTTGCGAGTATTGGAACGCGTTCGTCTATACACGATGAATCGTCGACTCTCTGGAGAATGCAGGAAAACATGGGAAGTGGGGGGAAGTCGAAAACCCAAAGCGTGCAGGAAAATATGAGGAGTCCAGGGACTCGTGTCCATTTGTTTGTGTGCCCGTGGGCCCCTTTTTGTTCTTCGTGCAAGCACAGCCACTTCTCGATATCATTAGCGATTGCCTCAACTTCACATCGATCCGCGGGGCCGCTAGAACCCAAACTCGGCATTCTCGCGTCGGAGGGGTGGGTGGGGGGGGAGGCGTTTTTCAGATTCGCCCTCGCTGCCCTGGGTGCAGCGGAGGTCCCGACCTGTGCCAGGGATGGGTCGTTTCGGGGAACGCTCTGCCGTGAGGAGGAGGAGGAGGAGGAGGAGGAGGAGGAGGAGGAGGAGGAGGAGGAGGAGGAGCCCCACTGCCGATATCCGTGCTCTTGGCCGCCCCCCCCCCCCCCCCCCCTGGCAGAGCGGCGGGGCCCCGCCAGGCGGGAGGTGCCGCCCAGGGAGGTGCCGAAGGCCGCGAGAGCATGCTGCGCGGGCCGCGCGCGGCCGCCCCGCGCCTCCCGGGCCCGCGGGCCGAGGCGCGGGGCCGTGGACGTGCGCGCTCGGGGAAAAAGCGGACGATGCTCGAGCAGTGGCGAAGCGTCCTGGCGTGCCCATAGGCCTACCAAGCGCTGTTCTCAGAGCCGTTGTTGTGGTTTCCACGGTGTTCGGAAATGGGAGCATGTGCATTGCCAGTGGCGGGCTGCTTTGCAATCCCGGGACTTCTTGAGGGTCGAGGACGACGCTGGGGCGGTGTGGTGTATACCAATTTCCCCGCTGTCCCAGGGAAACAACGAAGTACGTACACACCAGGATCCGGTCTCCAGTACACATTCCAATGCAGGGCCGGAAGACGCGTCGGTGTATAGAGTTCGATTCCCTAGAAGTGTTCTTAGAGCAGTTCCGGCCGGGAGTGTCTTGTTTTAGCGCATCGGTTTCTTGTTCTTAGAACATGCCTGGGTTCAAAGAACACTTCGTGGCAGGCCTACAGGAATGCTGGGACGGTCGGTCCCTGCTCAGGGAAAGGGGCGAGGCCAGAGCGGGAAGGGGAAGGCGGCACAGACCGCAGAGGAAAATCGGCATGGGCACAGACGTCACGTTTCGGAGGTCCACGCGGTTCTCTTGGGTCGGCGCTGGTCCCCCCGGAAGCGCCTCCGGCGCCGACCTTGGCGCGCGGAGCGCGCCAGGGAGGGGGGACCCACGCCGACCCAAGAGAATCCTCGCGGGCTTCCGAAACTTTATGTTTGTTCAGTGGTTGTTGTCCTCTAACATAGAAGGAGAACGGTAGTGACGGCACAGGAGAGAGGCAGCAGTACCCCCCTCTCCCCGTTGTCCTCCTCCCGTTTGGGACTTCCTGTTCTGTTTCCCCCGTCCGAGTGCGGCTTCCACAGCCCAGCACTTTTTTGTTTGTCCCCTCGCAATTAGTCGTGCTCGCCTCCACGTGTTCTGCACACTGCCATTCAAGTCTTTATGATCGAAGACGCCGACGGCGAATCACCGCCGCCCCCTGCCTTCTGGAAGCGCCGATGTGGCCGATCTTTTTGTCCAGGCTTGGAAAGGCTATCGAACTGAGTACTATTCCACTGGAGGATGAGGATGAGGAGGAGCAGAAGCAGGAGGAGGAGGAGGACGAGGAGGAGGGAGGGCTGCAATCGTGAGTCGAGGAGGAGAAGGAGGAGGAGGAGGGGGAGGAGGGGGAGGAGGAGGAGGAGGAGGAGGAGGAGGAGGAGGAGGAGGAGGAGGAGGAGGAGGAGGAGGAGGGGAGGAGGAGGAGGAGGAGGAGGAGGAGGAGCAGGAGCAGGAGGAGGAGGAGGAGGAGGAGGGAGGAGGAGGAGGAGGAGGAGGGAGGAGGAGGAGGAGGAGGAGGAGGGAGGAGGAGGAGGAGGAGGAGGAGGAGAGGAGGAGGTGAGGTGTGAGGAAAGGGGGCGGCGGCGAGGGAGGTAAGGGAGGGTGGCGAGCCGCTCGGGCGGTACCTGCTGCCCGAGACGTTTGTCGAAAGGCTCCGCGCAGGGTGTGGGGGGCCCTCGGGGATCCAAGCTTGCCCGTCTCTCCTGCTGTGCTTGGTGGTTCGCGGCGTGCAAGGACCAACAGCACCTGCCCTCCACCGCCCTCGTGGCCTCGGCTGGGCGCCTCGAGAGCCCGGCCGGGGCGCGCCCCCCCGGACGAGTCGGGGGATCCGCGCCTCCTGGACGGGGTCGGCGTAGGTGGGGTCGGAGCATCGCCCCGCATCGCCGATGCATCGCCGACGTGGCTCGATGCGGAGCCCGATTTCCTTCACGTCGACGTCGACCATGCATCGCCGGTGCATCGCCGATGCATCGCCGATACCTCGCGGATGCATCGGCGATGTATCGGCGGTGCGGCGCGATCCTCCGACCCCATCTACTCCGACCCCATCTAGGAGGCCTCTATCGACCTTGGCGACTCGTGGAGGGCCGCGCTTGGCGTTCTCGGGCGGGGCCAGGGCGAGGACAAATCCGTTCCAGAGCGTGCGACGACGAGAGTGACATCTGTCTTGCCTCGTCATACATCCCACGTGCGACTTGCCGGGACAAATGGTTTATCATCCCCCCGAAACCCCGAGCTTGATTATCCCCACGGGTGTTATCATCAGGGGTAGGGGCGGGGCTGGGACGAGGATCAATCTCTTCCAGAGCGTTTCTGAACGCTCTCAGAGCGTTCCGGAACGCTCTGAGAAGGCCGCGGCACCCGAGACATCCTCCAGAGCCGCCGGATCCCTAAGATTCCCGATTGTATATTAGCCTGACGTTCCCCTCGCCGCCTCTCTCGGTGTCCGGGGCGGCCCCCCGGGCCCCCCGGGGCCCGTTCGAGGAGCAAAGCTCGCTCCGAGAAGCCAGGGTCAACGACAGGGGAATCGGCGTCACCCCGGCAGTCGCCCTCCAGAAGCCGGCGACGCGAGCGCGCCGGGATATCTTGTAGTAGATTCGGCACGAACGAAATGGGTACGAAAAGAATGGGTACAATGCCAAACAGCAGTTCCTGCTCATGTTGAACAGGACTCGATGTCCGCGCCGCCGCGGCCTGTGCCCATTTGAGACAGAAGGCCGCCTACCCAACAGCGGCCGCTGCTGGTTTGGGACAACATTTGTTGTTGGGCACTGTACCCATTCTTTCCGTACCCATCTCGGGCGTCCAAATAGATGGTCGGTGGCGGGCGTTTTCTGACCATACCGCTCGGGAAACGATGTACTACAAGATGCGTGTGCTAGATGTTCGGGTCGGAGGCACGCCTCCGAGACGGATGCACAGTACTAGTATGTTCTTGTGCGTCCCGGGGAAGACTTGGCTCAGGGTGGGGGGGGACATCGACCCCCACTCGCCCATGGATCACCGATGGCGGCGGCCTGGTAGCCCACCCTCGCCCAGGAACGTTCGGTTCCGATTTCGCTTTCGGATGCGTATCTTCGATATGTCGCCGAATGAAGCTCGATGTTCCCCCCCCTGAGCTGGTCCCCCCCCTTTTCGCTCCCCTCAGGAGAGGAGTCGAGGGCTCTGGGCTGGCTGCTGGTTGGAAGCAGACAAGGGGGCTGGGGGAGGTCGCGGGAGGGACGCGACGTGGAGGCTCCGCGGTGGGAGCGCGGCTGTCCAGGGATCGTCGATCAAAAGCCACGTTAGTTTGGGGGGGGGGCAGGCTCACAGCAGGCATCGGCCCCGAGTGGCCCAGCGATCGCCAACACAGGGGCCCGATATTGCGCACCCCGGCCCATGAACATGTGGGTCTTCGGCCGTCGGCGGGCCTGTCGCCGAGCTGTCGGCAATCTGCATCGCCTACAGGCGGCCCGGATTAGTAGGTCGACCCTGCCAGATCGAGGGTACCCTCGTGTCCTGTGTCTTGCGACCCATGTCTCCTGCATTTCTGTGGCAACTTGGCCCCCGGAAGGGTCTTGTGTCCTCTCGCGTGTCCTCTCCAATCAAGTCCGACTGTATTCCGGGTCGATGTCCCCCCACCCCTGTCAGTCCCCCCCCCTTTCGTCCCCCCCCCGCCTCCGTGAGTCTCCGAGCAGGGCAACGGACCGCCAAATGCGGGAGCGAGAGGCGAGGGCGCGTCGCCGCGCAGCACTCCGCGCCGCGAGGCGCATCGGCAGCAGGTGGCTGCCGACGGATGCGGAGTGTTCGAAGTCCGGCGACACGACATGCGCAGTGTGGGGTGGACCAGTTCCCGTGGCCCCCCCAGGCTCAGGAGCATCCGAGATGACGCCGAAGAGGTTTCAGAGGACGACGACGGCGGCGGCGACGGCGGCGACGACGACGACGGCGAGGACGAAGGCTGAGGACGAGGGGGGCCGCCCGTCTGCAGGCCGCGTGGTTTCCGTGGTGCTGGGCGATAACGTCATCGGAGGCGCCTTCGGCGGACGCCCGCGCCCCCTCGCCGAGGAGCAACGGCACGAGTTCGCGCGTGCTCAGGCCAGGGTTGCTCGGAGACAGGTCCCCGTCGTGTAGGACTGAGGCACTTGCGCCCGAGTGGGGGCCGGAGACGCTCGCTGGATTGCTCATGCAGCAGGGGCTGCGGGCACAAGGGAAGACAGCAAGCGCGTGCGCGACCCGCAGTGCGCACACGTAGAACAGCACGAGCCATGATTTCACGAGCATGGTTTTCGGCGGGCCAGCGCCTGACGGGCTAGCGCCTGACTCCGCCGCCGCCTCCGGCGCGCTTCTGCGGGCCAGCGCCGACCTGAGAAATCTAGCGAACCTCCGAATGTATGTGTATACAGTTATTGTTGTCATGCTCTGAGGTCCCCTCGGGTCTCCAGTGGCCTTCGTAGGCCTCCTGGGAGGCCCAACAAGGCCCCCACAAACGCTGAACAGCATTGGTATGCCCTCTTCTCCTCCCCCTCCGTTATTGCTGGTGGGGACCGTCTCAAACCGCTTCAGTCCCTATTCCTTATTCGTGTCCTAGCCAGCCGATAGCCCCTCAATTCGAGACGTACCGTTCCACCTATCATATAGAACAGTTTGTAATACTCAAACCAGGGACGGGAGTGGAACGGGGCTCGCATCTCGCGCGAAAGGGCGAGATGCCGATTGTGCCTCAGTGCCGCGCTCACTTTTCTGGAGAATGGAGCTCCAACGAGGGCGTGTGCACACTTTCGCTCGCCAATTCGTTTACAGCGGAGCCGCGCGAAAATGTCCCTCTCGCCTCAGCGCCGCGCGGACTTCGTCCGAAAGCGGCGGTCCAGGTTCGGCGCGGCGCATGTTTGTCACCCGCCATGTCTGGTGGGGGGAGGAGCCTCGCGCGAGCGGACGACTTGTGGCCCTCGCAAAATCTCCGTTTATATTTCAAACAGCATCCGTGGCGGTGGCTCGCGTCCCATCGGCCCGCCCCTATTATCCGGAAGGTTGTGCGTCTTGGGCATGTTGGAGCGAATATGCATTGCGTCCATGGCATCGCTACCACCGCCCGCTTACCGCTCACAGGCGTGACCAATTCTCTTCCGTCGTAGGTGGCGGCGACGTGATTCGGTCCACCCCATGCACGAACGCGTTTCTCATCCCATGGTTCGCCATCTGCGTGCTGTCTACCTGGTCGGCTGGCGCATCCCCAATGTACGGTAAGTTCATGCGGCGTTGGCGCGCCGGCGACGCTGGCGAAGGCATTAATGGTTGAATTCTGCGACGCGGAGTCACCGATGGACACGGTATCGCCGTTGGGACCGACGGAATTCGAGCTTGAACGATCGGGGTCGCGATAGGTTCAAGATTGAACGATCGACGCGTGGTCAGAAATTGTTTCGCGTTCCGACGCCGCACGAACCTACCGTAGTGCCTTCGGGCATTGTTCCTGATCCTCAGCGCGACGGACGGTCTCGGCCTTCTGGGTCTTGCAACCGTCTCTGTGACGTCGTATCTCGACACCCGCTGTCGGCGGTCCCATCTCGGTGGCTCCCTTGGCTCAGTCGCATCAGCCACGGCATTCGCTTGCGCGACAACGGCTGCTGTCGCTGGAGCTTCGAGCTACTTGCGCATGCCTCATTTCGCTCCTCGCCTTGCCCTGTCTCGTTGTACCGTTGATCAACGTGGGTCCGTCTCCGCCGGTTCCTTCTTGTTTGGCCTTTCGGGCCCTTGTTTTCGCTCTCGCGCCTCGTTTGCTTTTCACCCGCCTGGCCAGCTCCCTCCGCGGCGCCCTCTCGGCTCGCCGTTGGTGCGGTGATTGCTCTTCGGCCATGACCGCGCCGAAGGGAAGCTGTGCATGTGTCGTTCGTCTTCAACGAAGGCCGGTGTCCCAGTCGTCAAGGCAGGATGCAGTCAATATGTTTTCTTTATGTGCATCTTAGATCGCGGTTCTGGTGTCACATCGACAGCGGAGGAGGATGTGTCGCTCGCTTTCGCCTGCCCCTACCCAGATTGCTTCGTGCGCTTTCGTCGCACGTGCGATGACAATGTACGTTCAACGCTCCCCGTTTGCGTTTCACCGATCTGTGCTGCGCCGTCGCGGAGGAGCAACAGTGTGTAGCGGGTGGTCTTGAGAGGCCCTCCTCCCGTTCGGCTCCCCCTCCCCCCGGAGAGGTGGGTGCCCTGGTGGTGGCCCCCCTCGGCATCCCGTTGCAGCCTCATTGTCCCGACGATCACCTCGGTCTTGAGGCATGAGGCATAGGGAGAGAGGGAGCGCCGAGAGGGGGAGCATGGGCAGGCCGAGATTGATGGATGATTTTGTCCAGCAGGGGACCTCCAGCTTGGGACCACTGGAGAGCCATGGAGAGCGCCGGGGTGGGCGCCCGAGGGGGGGACGCCCCAGGGCGGAAGCATGGGGGTGGGCGCCACGGGGTACGGTAGAGACCTGAAGGTGGACGCACACGGGGGGGGGACGCCACGGTGCACAAGGCCCAGGCTTCCATCGGAGGTTGATCGCGCCCCCTCTCCTGCCAAGTCGATCAGCGAATGATGTACCACGACTCGGCGCTCGAGAGGGCGTCGCGGCCACAGCTTCCGACGACCTGCCGCCGAGTCTGGCCCCAGGTCTTTTTCACTACCACGGGTGTCTTGCGAAAGCGGGCTCTGCCCACCCCCCGATTCCAGGCGGTCCAGGTTGCGCGCGCGCAACGATGGCACAGGCAGGTGCCGTGCTCCACGGTCGCAGCAGAGTGCTGAGGCATCTGCTGGGAAGCGCGAGAGAGACGCAGCAGTTCTGCCTCGTCGTGGCCGCTTGCGCGGATCCTCGAGCGGCTTCGAAGGGGCACCGCGCGCCGACGCTGGCGCCGTCCCCTGGCAGACTCACCGGCAGGAGCTGTCGTCGCCGAGCGCTCTGGGGTGCCCTGCTGGTGGGGGGTCTTCCCGCGAGGGGGCTGCCCGCGGGGGAGCCTGCAGCTCCAGCGCCGGGAGCAAGCGCCGCAGTTCCCGCAGCGTCTCCGCAGGCCCTCCTGCCGAAGCCCTCCATGCCGCCACGCTGGTCCCGGGCAGGCTGTGCTGTCCGGCGGAAGGGTCGGGGGCGGCAAAGAGGGGGGTGATGATTAGGGGGGGGGGGTGATATCATGGCGCGGGCCACGATGTTTCCTCAGATTGCATGGCGCCTCTTCTTGTTCCATGACGTCCCTGCCCCCCCCCCCTGGGCCGCGCACATGCCGCTGGCCATGATTTGCACCCCCCCTCTTGGACACCCCCCTCTTGGCCGCCCCCGAAAGGTGGCGAGGAACGCCCAGGCGGGAGGCCAGGGCCGGCGGGGCGGGCGGGCGGGCAGAAGATGGGCCAGGCGGAGGCAGCAGGCAGGGAGCAGGAGGAAAGGACAGGGAGGGAAGCAACGAGCAGAAGGGTTGGGAGAAGGAGGACAAGGAGGAGGGGAGGTGGAGCAACCGCAAGCAGTCAGGCCGGGCCAGGGGCCGGGAAAGAAGAGCCCCCCCGCGACGAGGCTAAGAGCCCGACGAGGCCTGCGCAGATCCCGAGAGGGGCAAGAGGCGTGAAACCACATCAGTGTCGCCAACGGCCGTGAGGTAAAGGAAGCGCAGGGATGAGGGGGAGGAGGAGGAGGAGGAGGAGGAGGAGGAGGAGGAGGAGGAGGAGGAGGAGGAGGAGGAGGAGGAGAGGAGGAGGAGGAGGAGGAGGAGGAGGAGGAGGAGGAGGAGGAGGAGCGGCAAGAGGAGGAGGAGGAGGAGGAGGAGGAGAGAGGAGGGGGAGCAGGAGGGGGTGGGGAGGAGGAGGAGGAGGAGGAGGAGGAGGAGGAGGAGGAGGAGGAGAAGGAGGTCGCCGGCCCACGAGAGCGGGCCCGGCGGTTTCTCGGCGCCCCTGTCTACATCGCGGACACCGTGTGCGCCCCTCGGGGGGTCCCCACTCGGGTGGTGGCATGCGCCCCTGGGGGTGGGGTGGGGATCGGACCGGCGCGCGGGAGCGAGAGCTGGATGTATCGGGCCGAACGAAAGGGGGGGATAGGGCAAGGAGGGGGGGTACGAAATCTGCTGCATGCAGCTGGTTTCGGCCCCGCCGCCGGGCCCATTCTTCGATACATGGGCGCCTCCTGGCGCGGGGAGGCGCCAGGAAAATCAGCTACGTGAGCTGATTCTCAACCCCCCCTTTGCTATCCCCCCCTTTCGCCCGGCCCGAACGCATTCCAGGTGCCTTCCAACAACAAGAATCGTCGAGGACGGACGCACGGCACAGACATAAACTTTTGGCGCTCCGTGTGGATTTCTTGGATCCGCGTTGTGGCCGCCCTGGCGGCGCCTCCGGCGCTGCACCTGGCGCGCTCCGCGCGCCAGGGAGGGGCTTCTAGCCCAGATCCAAGAAATCCGCGCGGATTTCCACAAGTTTGTGTTTATGCCTTTTTTCTTCCTCTAGATCGGGCGGCGTTCCTTGTCTCTTGTTTTTCCGGGGGCGGGTCAGAAGCCAACTGCTCGCAACGCCTTCCTGCGGCATGCTGCTGCGCGCTTCTCCCAGTAGGGCGATCACGGTCGGTTGACTGAAGGTCCTGCACCGCAGGGTCAGAGAGGGTGCTTGCGGATCTACAATTCGTCATCACTTGTCCTCGAGGAGGCGGAGGAGGAGGAGGAGGAGGATAAGGATGATGATGATGATGATGTTGTTGATGATGATGATGATGATGATGATGATGATGATGATGATGATGATGGGGAGGAGGAGGAGGAGGAGGAGAAGGATGCTGATGATGATGATGATGATCAGGAGGAGGAGGAGGAGGAGGAGAAGGATGATGATGATGATGCTGATGATGATGATGATGAGGAGGAGGAGGAGGAGGAGGAGGAGAAGGAGGAGGAGGAGGAGGGGGAGGAGGAGGAGGAGGAGGAGGGGAAGAATAATAAGGAGAAGGAGGAGGAGATTACGTGATCGGCATGCGCTCCCGGGTTTCGGTTCGGTCGCTGCCCGTGGCTGGCTCGTCGCCGCCGCGTGCGCGGGCGGACGTTGCGCCGTGTGGCGCTGCCGGGTCGTTGCCTATGGCCGCCGCCGTCGCGGCCTCGTTTTGCAGCCCGTCGTCGCTGCACAGCTGTTGCGCCTCAGAGCTCCAACACCATGCATACTTAGCTTACGCTGCGTAGCCTGCACCACACCGTTTGCATCACGCAGCCTCCACCACTACGCCACGTATTTTTTACCTCACGTGTGTTTCAGGGTCCGGCCCGCCCCCCCCCCCTTCCCGCAATACCCAATATTATTGGGTTCCCCCCCTTCCCCGATGGGCCCCCTTCCCGCCGCGGGAGTGGGGGGGTGATTCTGCGAGGCCCACCCCTCACCCCTGTTGGTGTGGTGTGGCGCTGCAGAAATTTCCCTCCCTCCCCCACTCTGGGTCTGGTGTGGTGCTGTGGTGCTTCATGGAAGCAGGGGGGCTGCAAGCTCCCAGCAGCACACGGGGACTCGCCCTCTAGGAAAGGTACAGAGGGCGTCGTCGCTGTTGTCGTCGTTGCCCCCCCACCCCCAGCCTCCCATCCATCTGGGGGTTGGGCGCGGGAGCCCTGTGGCCCATTCCTTCTGGGGTGCGTGGGAAGGACCCTAACGCCAGCTGTTGGTCCCATGTTCACCGTTGAGGCATTGCTCATGTTGACGTTGCGAGGGCAGACTCTGCAGGGGAGCAGTGCTCTCAGACCCTCGTGCCCTTGCCTTTCCCGTCCTACGTATTTTCCTTCCTGTCCCCCCTCCATCCTTGCCGTGCCTCGCGCTACGTACTGGTCATCTGCCTCCCCTCTCCTCCTCGTCGACGTCGTCGTGTTCCCCCTCGACCCTCTCCTCCCGCCTCCTCCCCTTCCCCCACCTCCGCACGCTTCGCCGGCCTCTCTCCTCCTCGTCCCCCCCCCCCCCCTCCGCCCCCCCCCCTCACCCTCATCATTCCCCGCTCGAGAACACCCAGCGCGTTCCACTACTCACAGAGTGCCTGCTCGCAAACGTCCGAACAACGAATGTCTGCTTCAATGCAGTGGATAGTGAGCTCCCCGCGGCGGATCCAGGCCATGTGCGAGCACGGCAGGTCCGCGCCGCGTTGACGCGGCGGCGACGCCAGCTCGGGCGCTACAAGCTTGCACGCCGCCAGTGTCCCGGAATCGACCGATACCGGCAGATCGGCGATGCTGGACGGCTGCGATCGTGCAAGGTTGAGCAAACGGCACGGCGACAGAAACCATTGACGACGTCATCGCTACGGGAACCCGCCGCTGTCACTCTGCGAGTCCTGGAGCGCGCCGCTCGTCTACGAAGGGCGGAGGGCAGCTCTCCTCTCGAGCAACGGCGCTCCCCCGCCCAAGCGCGGCCAGCCCGATGGCGGGGGTCGCTCGTATCTCTCTCTCTCTCTCTCTTTTTTGTTTCTCTCTTTCTCTCTCTCTCTCTCTCTCTCTCGGAGGAGGAGGAGGAGGAGGAGGAGGAGGAGGAGGAGGAGGAGGAGGAGAGAGGGAGAGAAGAAAAGGGGGGCGGCGCTTCCTTCGCACAGCGAGGAGCGGCACGTGCGTGTGGCAACTTGTGCGAGTCGGGGGTGCCCCAAACAGTGTGGTGACCACACCGACGGGGTGAGTCAGTAGGGATGCAGGATTTTTCTACCGTTTCGTCGGCTCTGGGGGGTGTTCCAGCCTCGGGATGCCTTCCAGCGGCTGCGCCTCGCCGAGGGCGTTCCAGGGTGTCCGGATCGTCCCGAACGGCCGCCGGAGCGTGGGACGGCGGGTGTGTTGCAGTTGGAGGCGGCTGGGGGTCTGAGGTGGCCCAGCATTGGTTCCCAGCAGCAGGAAGGGGGCGGGGGGGCGAGGGTCGAGGTCCTGGGTTTGCCAAGGTGTCGTGATCTCTGGGGGCCGCTCTGGGCCGATGGGCCAGGGAAGACGGACATCAGTGGGAAGGGCACGGCCAGGGCTCGCCGGACCCAAGGGGGCCTCCCGCTCTGGGTAGGGTAGGCAGGAGGACGCAGGGAGGATACAGGAGGGGCGGACAGAACGATGGAGACGTGGCCTCTTGTTGGTCCCCGTCTTCGCATCAGGGGTCATAAATCTGGTTGGTTTGGTTTGATACAGCTGCAGGAAAGCCCCCCCGACCCCTGTCCCTATTTTTTTGCCCTCCTAACGCAGGTCCTCTCCCAGAGGATTGGGTGTACTTTCACTGCTTATCGAAAGGGGGACGAGGGCGGAGGTGTGAGGGATGGAGAGGAGGACCAGGGGAAGACGGAGGAGGGCAAAGGAGGGGCGACGACGACGAGGAAGGAATCGGATTCAGCCAAGTGGCGGGCGCTGGGGCAACACCACCATTCCTGGACTCGGGCCGACGCTGCAGTAGGAGCACCATGGTCACCATGTTGAACGACCAAGAACATCCGGTGTTACAGAAGGCCATGTGAAGCATCAACTGTTGGAATCCAGTGTGTGAAACGCAGCATGCGGGAGGAAATGCGCCCCGCGCGATTTTCATCCAGAGAGAGAGGAGAATGGTAATATCTCATATGTCTGGGTATCTGGGGCACGCACCCGCGCCAGGACACACTCCCAGATTCCCCCCACACCCTCTCCCGTTCGTGGCCATATAGATTTGGCACCCCTTCTGGGGGGTCCTGGGTCTCCCAACGGGCCGCTCCAGACAGCCACGGGGCGCCCCAGAGAACGCAAGGAAGCCCGCAGCGTGCGAGAGGTCCCAAGAAGGCCCCCTGGACTGAAGTGAACCCACAAGATGCCCACAAGTGGCGAGGTCTGCATGATTCTGGCATGCTCGCCTTCTGGGTCTTCAGGGCCTCCTGCTTCGGCCCAAGCAGGCCCAACACGCTTGAAGATGGCCCAGGGGGGCCCACGCCAGCCCAAGACGGCACATAAGGCTCCCAGGACGGATAGCGAGAGGACAACATGGTTTTGATACGGATTGGCCCGCTTTGCTCCACAGCGATGTCTGCTCCACTACGCACATGCTCGGGAAAAACCTAAGATCTATGCATATACGCTCCACGACGACCCTGGATGTACCAAGGTATGCCTCAATATTGTCCCCGACAGCCCCCGAGCGTTCAAACACGTACCCAAGGCGGCAGGTGGGCGCTCCTAGACGCCCTCATGAGGTTTCAAGGTGGAGGCTTTGAAGCCATACTGAGCGATCTTGGTGGCATCTAGGGGCCTCTGGGGACCGTTGGAGCCTGTTTTGCACGTTTCAGGGCCGTGCCACGTCATTGCTTCCAACATTTGGGGGCACCGTTAGGGTTCTAGAGGCAGCTTGGAGCCAGCAGCAAGTGGCCCCCACATGAGAAATGCATGTTTCAATGCGTGTATGAATGGAGGGATGGATGGATGGAAGGTGTAGAGAGGGGGGGCATGGACGGATGGATGCATGTGAGGCTGGTTGGATTTCGTCACGGGTGGATCCCTTCTGGTTTCTGGGCTGTATGGATGAAGGTATTGATCGAGTTTGGACAGTTGGATGCTTGGGCGAGTCTTGTTTGGTGCATGAACGGAGGATTATATGGATGTAGACGTGAATCTAGACCAGAGTTAAAGGTTCTAGAATCTAATCTCAATTTTAGAGATGGGGGCGAGTGAACGAGGTGGAGCAGGAGGAGGTGGAGGACGAGGAGGAGGAGGAGAAGGAGGAGGAGGAGGAGGAGGTGGAGGAGGGGGATGAGGAGTTGGAGGAGGAGGTGGAGGAGCAGGACGAGGCGGAGGAGGAGGATGAGGGGAGGAGGAGGAGGAGGAGGAGGAGGAGGAGAAGGAGAAGGAGAAGGAGAAGGAGAAGGAGAAGGAGGAGGAGGAGGAGGGGAGGAGGAGGCGAAGAGGAAGAGGAGGAGGAGGTGGCGGAGGAGGAGGAGGAGGAGGGGGAGGGGGAGGAGAGTGGAGGAGGAGGAGGAGGAAAAGGAGGAGGAGGAGGAGGATGAAGGAGGAGGAGGATAGTGGAAGGGAGCGCCCTTGGGCTGCAGAGACCGCAGAAGTGGTCTGGGCAGGAGGACGGGGAAATGAGGAGGCGGAGGAGGAGGAGCAGGGTGAGGAGGAGGAGCAGGAGCAGGAGGGGGGAGGAGGGAAGAGGGGAGAGGGAGGCAGGACAGGAACGAGGAGAGGAAGGTGTCAGAGAGGATCGAGGAGGATGGTGAATGAGGGGGGAGGATAGGGGATAATGTTCCGACGACATGATTTCGCCCGATGTTTACATGGCGTTGTTGTGAATTTTCGCGCGGCCAATTCGATTCGAATCCAGCGTCATATCGATGCGGCCCAATTCGATGCATTTTTCGATGAGATCCGATTTGGCGATTCGATGTCGATCGGGCCTGCCACACCCATTTCCGTGTTCCCCGACCAGAGGTGCCGCGAGGGTTCTGGGCCCCCGCGTGCGCGCATCTCCCCCCCCCCGCAGAGGTACGACCGGAACTGCTTCCAGTTCAACATCTCGGGGCCCCGAAAGCGGGGACTTTGCAGACCAGGACTGTGCCAGGTCGGGCGGGAGAGACCGAACAATGGAGACTGTCACGACCCGCGGTTGCAGTTTCTTCGGATGTGCCAAGTCGAGCGGGGCCGGGACCGGGATAACTCGTTCCAGAGAGTTCTAGAGACTCCTCCAGAACCGCAGGGTCTCAGAGATCCCCGATTTGCCAAAACATTTTGCCCATTGGGGGGCATTTCTGGAGTATGGTTCATTTTTCGCCCCAATCCCCCTGTAGGGGGACACGCCCGACTTAACCCTGGCTTCGTCGTGCCAGTGTCCTGGTTTGTCAAGGTCCCAGCTTGCGGGGTGCCCGGAGCATCTGTGCCGTGATCAGCAGCCACGTGGACTCGGAGCCGCACCAGGAGGGGCCCGGGTTCCGTGGCCCCCCCCCGCGCCCGTGTCTGGAGGAGGGCATGGGGCGAGCTGGGGGAGGAGGCCTTCGGAGCCACAGCCTGGGGCTCACGCGCTGCGCAACACTGCAGAGGCGCACACCTCGTTCATTTCTAAGTCTTCGAGAGTTCTTTGATTTCTTTGGGGGGCAAGATCCTTTCGTCTCTAATCTTTCTGTCCTGGGCCTCTTCCTGGCCACTGGGGGGCCAGGAGCAGTTAGAAGCGAGCAGAATTAGAAATGAGCACGATTTGGAATGAACGACGTGTAGGGTGTATCGGCGTCTTGACAGGTCTGGCCGCCGTCGAGCTCGAGTGCGGGTGGGAGACCCAGAGAGCTCGCCGTGCTTGCCCGCGGGGCTTCGCACGGTGTCGCAGCGGTGCCGCTGTGGCTGTGCCACGGTGCTGCAGCTGCAGGGCTGAGGGAGCCCCCACCCTGCCAAGTCGATTCGCGAAGTCCCTGCCGCCGGCTTGCCGAGGCGGCCCCACTTGCTCGGGCCTGCGTCCGCCAGGGCTCAAGCAGTGGCGAAGCGCCCTGGCTCGCCTTAGAGCCCTACCAAACAATGTTCTAAGAATCTGTTGTGGATCTCAGGACATGTTCTTAGAACATTTCTGGCTGGGACTGTTTTGTTTTAGCACATCGGGCTTATGTTCTAAAAACATTGTTTCTGTTATTCGAACATTTGTGGGTTCTAAGAACATGTCGTGGTAGGACTACAGGAATGCCAGGACGGTCGGTCCCTGCTCAAAGGGCTGGGTCGTGTTCAGCAGAGGGCGTTGTGCTACACGGAGTGCTGCCCGGCAGCGAGCAGCAGCGCGATGACTTTCATCGCAGCGGGGTGCACGGACTTCGCGCTCGGTCGCCCTCCCCTTTCTTCCCACCCCCTTCCTCCTCCTGGCCCTCGTCGGGCCGGCCTGTACGAAGCGTAGTTGCACGCGTGCGCGCGACGGGCACTCCTGTTGTGCGGTCTCCTCTTACGTAGTCAGCGAGCTTCCCGCGTCCGCCGGTCAGGGTTGTGTCTCATAAATGAGACCATCAAGCAGTGGCGAATCGTCCTGGCGTGCTTATAGGCCTACCAATAAATGTTCTAAGAACCTTGTTTGGTGGTTTCCACGAAATGTTCTTAGAACAGTTCTGGCTGGGATTGTTTTGTTCTAGGTTTCTTGCTCTTGTTAATGCACGGTCGGTCCCTGCTCAAAATATGATGCATTTGTTTAGGGTGGAGGCTTCGGGAGCGCGTCTCTGGCGCAATGCAACAAGCATTCTGGGTTCGGGAGCGCGACTCTGGTGCAATTTACAGTGGCATCTGGTCTCTTGAGCGCAGATTCTAATGTAATTTAACCAGGCGTATCCCAGGAGCGCGAATCTGGCGTAATTTCTGGTGGGTTGAGCTGGAGTAAGGCATCGGGGGTGCATTTTAAGACATGTTTTTTCAGGTGCGTTTTGAGAAGTGCCATTTTTCACATCCCCCCCACCTACCCCACCACACCCACTTCGCGCGGGCAGAAACAATGTACAGTTGGAAGCAGAAGGCACAAGTATTTCAGATGGGGGCTGGAAATTGGAATGCGCGCAGGGCGCAGGAGACCTCATCCGCGCAGCCTGGTGGCCCCTCCGGGGCGCCGGTGTATACTAGTTGAGTCTTCTGTGCTACATAATGTTATGTTATGATGTGTCGTTGTCCATTGTTTCATCCCATGGAACTATATGATGGTCTGTCTGTTCTGTTACGTTTTTCTGGTGGAGTACTCCCGCACTTGTGTATTAGAGCAGTATATGCTTTGTTATATCCTGCTTTGCCCTGGTATATCATGTTCTGTCCTACTCTGTCCTCTCCCTTTTGTAAATTACTATTACACGTTTGTTTCTTCCTGAATTTACTGAAGGTATGATATCTTCTATGCTGGTCCTGACCGTATATGGTTTGTTATGGTATGTTCGAGTCTGTCCTGCCCTATATTGTTGCAGTGTTTTGTCGTATGTTATTGTATGTGCTCCGTTTTTAGATTCGCTCATTAATCTTGTTTATGAGTGCCCTTGATTGTCGCCTCCTCTTATACATGATTATGTTCCGTTGTATTATTATGATGCTGTATAGTTGTAAGTTTGTGACGCTGTGACGGCTGGACGGTATGATGCTGTGCATGTCTTCGCAGACGCGACGCGGGCCATTCAGGGACCACCGGTGGTGTTTATGATATGGCTGCCGCGGTATGCAGGGTATGTGAGGTGGGTCGACAGCACTGATGCTAAAATCTAAATAGCAACCGTTGATTTGTTGTAGTGCATTGTAAAGGTGCTGCTCAACACTGTTAAAGTATATCGTATGGCATTGCGGCATGTTAGGCTAGGTTATGCTATCGTCGGTCCTACACTATCGCATTGCGTTATATGTTACCCTCGTCGGCATTGTTGATTTCAACGCTCTTAGTTTATACTACATCGTGTGACTTGCTACGTGCATGCTGTCTTATGTTATCTGATGGTCTGCTCATTTAGTTCCCTGACGTTGCCAAGTGGGTCCTGTCAGAAGAGGCACACCATGTGGCAGCTCCATCTGGCCCGCCAATCTGCTACGTCGGGTCGTACTTCACCCAAACGCGACCCGGCCAAGCGCATCGCGACGGTGTCGTCACCCTGCCGCTGGAGGAAGAATGCGTGAGGTGGCGGTTGGAAAGAAGGTAGGTATTTCGGACTGGGCTTGGACGAGGATGCAGCTGCTCCAGAGTGTTCCGGAGCGCGGTCAGAGCGTTCCGGGACGCGCTCTCAGAAGGCCGTGGCGCCCGAGGCATCCTCCAGAGCCGCCGGAGCTCAGAGAGCCTCGATCTGTCCTCACCCGATGTTCTCTGCGTCCTGGTTTCGTCCTGGTGGTGGCCCCTGGGAGCCCCGAGTCCTGGCCACACGGCGCGCCAGCCCCGCCCACAGTGGCCCTGGCGCGCCCCACGCCGGGCCCGCAGCGCCCCCCCCCGCCCCCCGCCCCCGTTCGAGGAGCTGGCGCAGCACCTGGCCTCCACGTTCTGTGAGATGGAGAGGTCGGCCACGCGCCGGGGGGTCGGAGGACGGTGGTCGGGAACTTGTGGGCTGCGGCCGAGGCGCCGAAAGGAGGAGCAGCTTGGGTTCGGGAGGGGCTGGATGTTCCTCGGGTCCTCCCGCGGCCGTTTCTCGGGCCTTCCTCGTGCACCCAGGCGCGTCAGGTGCCAACAGGGGCTTCGTTCCTGATTTAGCGTTCCTTAAGAAGCTGTTTTTTAGGGTCGGGCGATAATCCGTGTTATCGGGCTTGCCCCCCCTTCCCCCCCCCCAGGATAACCTAACCTTGCCGGTTGTGCACGTCCGCGGGGGGGTGGGGGGGGGCGCGGGCATATGCAGGGCTGCCCACAGCGCGAGGGTTAGGTTATCGGCCGGCCCCCTCCTCCACCCCCACCCCCCTGGGATAACCCGGGTTATCGCAGATTCAAAAATCCGGCTTCAGCAGATTGGCTGCAGCGTGTCCCTCCGCCGGTTCTGGCCCGCCACGTTTCGGCGTGGATCGCGATCCCCATGCTGGTCTCCAGGCGTCGAAGTGCCGAGACTGTCGAGGCCTCCCGCCCCGCGGAGCGGAGCGATACGCTATCTGCTCGCAGGGCATCGCGTGTCGCTGCGGCCGCCGCCGCGGTACGCTAAGCACACGTTCCTGACCGTAGGGGCACAGCTAGGGCGCGATAGGCTCAGTAGGGGACGCATCGACCCCCAATCGCTCACTGAGCGCCGATAGGGGCCCGATAGCCCACCCCGCTCAAGAGCGGGAGGATGCGCTATCGCGGGCCGATCGCCGAGTCCAGGTCGATGTTTCCCCCCTGCGCCAGTCCCACCTTGTCGTTGCCCCTCAGAGGAAAGGGGAGCCGACATCATCACCACCACCAGCGTGGCCCCCTCGAGCGCGGGGGTCCGCGGTGCCTGCCCCGAGCTTGGGACAGGGAATGTCTCGAGCGAGAGGGGGGGGGGCACATCACCGGGAGGATCCTCCCTGGCGCCTCGCGCTGGTGGGGGTGGTGGTGCAACCTTCTCTTGTTCCTGAAGAGTGGCCCTTGGCCAGAGTGACTTCCGGTGCGCGGGTGCTCGGGCAGACGGCAATGGTGGAGGGAGGGCGGGCTGCAGGCAATTGGCCCTGGAGGGGCCCTGCACGGCCCCTGACTTGCCACCTTGGGCCCAGAAGGTGCACGAAGTGTGCACGAGCGGTGCCACGCGCCATGAGGAAGAGAGCGCTTCAGAAGCAACGGCTTTCGACGGTTCGCGCGGATGCCTTGGAGCTGCGCTGGGACCCCCACGCGGCGCCTCGCGCCTCCGGCGCCGCCGCTGACGCGCTCCGCGGGCAGGGGAGGAGGGGCCGTCCCAGCACGGATCCAAGAGATCCGCCGATCCAAGAAAGGCTTGTGTTTGTTAAAAATAAAAAGAATAATACTTAAACAAGGTTTGTGTTTGTGCAGTCGTCCCTTCTTCCAGCGCCCGGATTGGAGAGCGTTTGTTATGTCCCCTGTCGATGACGGGTGTGTCCGACGGGGTCGGAGGTGTCCGATCACGTCACGATTCGCGCCGAGGCCGACTGGGAATGTGACGTGACCCGGGAGGGCGGAGGGGGGGGTCGGGGCTGGTCACGGTAGTGTTCGCGAGTGATCAGAAAAAGGGTTCCTGGCTCTCCGCCGCAGTGGCCGAGAGTGGTCGTCGTCCGAGGCACCCGCAGCGACGCAGCGATCGGCAGGTCGCGCGCCCGAGGTCACTCTGCTGCCCCCCCCGGGGGGCCCACCCCCGCGCGTGGCCGAAGAGGGAGGACAAGCTGCTCTCCAGGCCCGAGGAGCGGTGGGCTTCCCCTCCTCTCTCACGCTCGTCTGCTCCTCCCCGCTCCCCCTGCTCCTCCCCCTCGGTGCCCCTCCGTCCTCAGTCCTCTTCCTCCCTCGCAATCCTCAACCCCCTCCGCGTCGTTCGTTCCTCTTCCTGACGCTGACGGTGTTGGCATGAAGGTCGACGTCGACGCTGGCACCGTCTTCACTCCTCCTCCTTCTCCCTCTTCCTTCTCTTCGTCGTCCGCCTCATCCTCATCCGTCCCTGCTCCTTCTAAATAATTCCGCCCTGTCGCACCCTCAGACGTGTCGGTGGGGCGGGCTGGGCGTTTCGCCGAAGATCTCCTCGCCCTGTGTGATCATGAAGCTTGGCAGTTGCAAAATGGTCACGGATGGAGGGCGGGCCATTTTGAACATGTGATTCTCGCCTCAGCGCCTCGCACATTCGCTGTCCTTTCAAAAGTGCAGCAGGTTCACGGATGGAGGGGGGTTCTTTGTCAACAGGTGGTTCTCGTTATGGCGCCGCATACCTTCGTTTTACCAGTGTGCAGCAGTCTCACGGGTGGAGGGTGGTTCTTTAGCGCCGCGCACATTCGTCTTAGCAGTTTACAGCAGTATCAAGGTTTCGTATGTTCGAAGTCCTGTGCTGATGTTCTGGCATATTTTTGGATCGCCACAACGCAACAGTCATACTGATTCGCTGCAAAGTCCCAGGAATGGCGTTCTGGCACGGTTTAGACTTGTCAAGACGCAACAATCACGCATATCCGTGGCATTGCAATAAAACTACATACGCTCTGGTACGATTGAGAGATCTCAGACGGTTGCCTTCGAATGGGCCACTTCCCTCCATGAGCATACACTGTTTCAGGGACCTATTGAGAAGGAACTTGGAGGGAGGGTTTATTGCAGCACCGTTGCTGCCCCTCTTGGGTTTGCAATGGTCCTCCTCCTCCTGCTCCTCTGCCCCCTTCTCATCCCCCTCGTCAGTCCTTGTTCCTCCCTCGGTCGGCCCTCCCTCCGCACACTCCTACAAGCAGATGGGGGCACACGCCTGAGTGCCACCTGCTGGGGCCCAAGGCGGGCGGCGCTCTCCCCGCGGGGGCCACCTTCACATCCCTGCGCCGAGCCTCTGGCCCCGCCCCCCGCGGGGCCAGGGCAGGAGGGCCAGGCCTGCTCGACCGCAGCCACGGTGGCCGCGACCTTCGCCCCCGCGGCCGACGCGGCCACTCGATCGCGGCGCGGGCAGTGGCGACCTTCCCCTCCCTCGCGCAGAGAACGCAGCCCTCCTCCATCCTCCGAGCGGCGCGCGTAGGCCATGGGCCCCGGGGGCCCCACGGGGGCCGGAGCAGGCCCAGGAGCTGGCGGCTGCCCGCGGCCCCGCAGCTCGTGCGCACGGCCACGGCAAGACCGGGGTGGCCGCGGGGGGCCGACCCCCCGACGAGCTCGTGGCCGGCCCCACCCCCAGGAACGATCTGCGGGGTCGCCTCCATGGCCCAAGAGTCCACGGACGCAGGGCGCTCCGTGGAGGCGGGCCGAGGCACCCGGCACCTCGGGCACCACGGGGGCCCCCGAGGCCCAGCCTGATCATGGCCAAGCTCAGGGTGCACCACCGGCAGTTGCCTGGCCTTGGACGGTTGCGCCCCGGGGCGCAGCGAGATGGTGTCGGTTGAATTCACCGCGGCGCCAGCCCGCGCAATCCAGTGGCCGCATTTCTCGTCCAGCACCTGTGCCAAGCGATGTCTCTTGCGATAACATGGTGGCAGACGTACCTGAGACGCAGCGAAGTTTATCCCAAAGTCGGCGTGGAAATTCCTATAATTATCAGTCTCGGCGCGAGACCAGCCCACGGTCGACGGCCTCGAAGCTCAAGTGAGCCTTCACCTTTCGGACCGCCAAGCCCTCAGAATTTCTGGAGGGCCGCCCAGAAATCCTGCCAGACCTATTGGCAGCAGGACCCCCATCAGCGGCTGCGGCGCGGCTACGCTTGATGGCCTTGTCCTGGAGCTCTGCGACCCAGGCGCGCTTCTCCGTCTTCGGGCAGACTATGTCGCTGCCGCCGCTGCCCTGCCCAAGCGCACGCACAATCTCGTCCCAGGCGGCGTGGGACAGCTGGCGTGGAAGGCGGCAGCGGCGGGCGCCTCGGGCCCAGGCGGTTGCTCGGCATGCGCAGACGCTGCAGGCGTTGCAGGCGCTGCATGCGGCACGGCGGCTCCAGGCTCCGCGGCCACTTCGCCCGCGGCACCGGCTGCGCCGCCCGCGGCGGCGGGGGGGCGCCCAGCAGCGCATTTAGCGGGCCCGCCAGCGCCTCGCCCACCTGCGCCTCCCAGCCAGGATGCCTTTGCAGCACCGTGGCCACATCCTTGGCGTCCTCGAAGGCGGTACCCGAGCGCGGCGGCGGCACGTCCACCACGGCCAGGCGGTCACGCTCGGCCGTGAGCTTGGCGAGCTCGCGAATGAGCTCAAGGACCCGGGCTCAGACCTTCGTGTTTTCCTCGACCGCAGCCACGGTGGCCTGCCGACACCTCTGTAGCGCCGTGGAGGCCCGCAGGTGCTCGTCCGCCTTTTCGTCGACGGCGCTGCTGACGATGATGATGATGATGATGATGATGATGATGATGATGATGATGATGATGATGATGATGATGATGATGATGATGATGGTGATGGTGATGGTGATGGTGATGGTGATGGTGATGGTGATGGTGATGATGGTGATGGTGATGGTGATGGTGATTATTATGATGATTATGAAGATTATGATTTTGTTGATGATGATGATGCTGATGATGCTGATGATGATGATGATCATGAATATGATTATGATGATGCTGCTGATGATGATGCTGGATGATGATGATGCTGATGATGATGTTGATGCTGATGATCATACTGAGGAGGAGGAGGATGGTGATGATGATGATGGTGATGATGATGGTGATGGTGATGATGGTGATGGTGATGGTGATGATGCTGATGATGATGATGATGTTGATTATGATGGTCATGATGGTGAATATGATGATGATGACCATGATGACGATTGTGATGCTGTTTCAGATGATGACGGCGATGAGGATGAGGACGAGGATGAGGATGATGATGTTGGTGATGGTGGTGATGATTGTGATTATGATGCTGATGATGTCAATGATCATGATAATGATGATGATGATGATGATGATGATGATGATGATGATGATGCTGATGATGATGATGATGATGATGATGATGGTTACGGTTTTGAGAATGGTGATGGTGATTGTGATGGTGGTAAGTATGATGTTGATAATGGTGCTGATGTGGATGATGATGATGGAGGTGATGAGCATGGTCACGACTGTGTTTGCGATGGTGATTGTAATGGTGATGATGCTGATGCTGACGATGCTGATGCCGATGCTGATGACATTGATGATGTGGTTGTTGTTGATGCTGATGTTGGTGATGATGATGATGAGGAGGAGAACGATGATGATGAAGATGGTCGTAGTGATGGTGACGGTGACGATGGCGGTGACAGCGATGATGGTCATGATTGTGGTGATGTTGGTGAGTTGCAGGAGGAGGAGAAGGAGGAAGAGGAGCAAGAAAAGGGGGTGAGGGGGAGGATAAGGGCGTCTTATGAAAGGATGATGATGGGGGAGGAAGAGGAGAGGAGAAGGAGGAGGAGGAAGAGGGGGAGGAGGAGACGGGGAAAAGGACCAATGAGACCCGCAATCGGCGAACCGGCGCCAAATGCCAAGGAGATGTTCCTAAATTGTCCTTGTCAGGAATTTAGGGAGCCTGAGCCCACGGTGGGCTTTTATCAGCAGCCTGTGTCCACGACTAATCGCCCAACGTTTGACACTGGTGCGGCAAGGGGGCGTTGCCCTTTCACGGACTTGGGGATCCCTCGTGTCCACCGCAATGTAGGTCCTAGGGGGCTGGATGCCTTGTCCGCTGCCCCCCTGGGTGAAAATTAAGACGCAGAGGGACGAGAGGCGGTGATCGGAGTCGGGCGATGGAAAGTCCTTCGGGACCAGCGACTGGCCATAGTAAGGGGTGCTTATTCATGGTTCAATGTCTATCCCAGCCAGCGTGAGCCCAAGCAGTAAGTTATGGCACTGTGGATGTGTCTAAGCTGTGCGGTGCAAGCTATGCGGTGTAAGCTACGTGGTGCAGTATATTTGTTGCAAGCCAGGGGCGGCAACGTGGCGGCAACGGGCGCAACGCGGCGAAACGAAACCTTGCCCGACCCACCCAACTCACGAGGCGGCAATGAGGCGGCAACGTGGCGAAACCTCACGTGGCGAGGCGGCAAAGACGCGGCAGCGGGTGGCAACGTGGCGAAGCCTCTCGAGGCCCATTTTGCCGGCCGCTCGTGTGAAGCTTTTCCAGAACATTTGGCCACGTAGGCCCCTCGCAACGGCAGGGCGCGGCGACCACTCGCAGTAGGCATCTTCGATGCTCTTACTTCTGCTTCTCAGCCTTCTTCTCCTGCTGTACTCTTACGTCGTCCCTCTTCCTCCTAAGTCTCGTTTCGCACTCTCATCGCTTTCGCTCCTGTCTCGCATCCACCCTTCTACCATATTCTAGACGCTTCCCTTATCCCCACCAGCCTTTCCCGCCCGCCGTGCTCCTCGCCTACGTGCCGCTCTGACTGCTTCGCCCCACGCCGGGCCATGCTCTCTGTCCTTTTTTTTTGCTTTTGCAGGTGGCATAGCCTGCCCCTGCTTGCTCGACGTCTGACTCGGTTCGTCGTGCGGCCGCGGACCAGCAAGTATCCCCACCAGCCCATCCAGAAACGATGTCCAGGCGAGTTGAGGTGATCAGGGAAGTGCGGGAGCAAAGAGGTGGACCCCGAACCGTGCGAAGGAGGGAGGAGGAGAAGGAGGAGGCTGGATGGATGGATGAGGGAGTGGGGAGAAGGAACATGAAAATGATGATGATGTTGGTGATGTTGATGATGATGATGATGATGATGATGATGATGATGATGATGATGATGATGATGAGGATGAGGATGAGGATGAGGATGAGGATGAGGATGAGGATGAGGATGAGGATGAGGATGAGGATGAGGATGAGGATGAGGAGGAGGAGGAGGAGGAGGAGGAGGAGGAGAAAGAGAAGTGGGAGGAGGAAGGAGGAGCAGGAGGAGGAGGAGGGCAAGCAACAGGGCCAGAGGTCTCTTGGATGCCTCTCGGAGCCTCTGAGGATATCTCCTGAGCGCTTCTTGGGGGCCTCTTGGGACGTCTTGGGGGTCACTCGGCGGTCCAGGGGGGCTCTTGGGCGTCTTGGGTGCCTCGGGGGGGGCCTCTTGGGGCCGCTTGGGGTCCTCTTGGGGGCCTCCTGGGGGCCTCTTGGGGCCATCTTGGAACCGTCTACGGGCCACACCTTGAGGTTTCTTGGGGCCTCCTGGGCGCCTCTTGTGGCCATCTTGGAGGATAACGATCAACGACTGGGGGAGCTTCAATTAGCCTCCCCCCTCCGGAGCCCCCAACATCACCTCTTGGAGCGCTCTTGAGCGCTCTTGGGGCCGTCTTGGGGCTCTCTGGGGCCTCTCTTGGGGCACTCATGGGCCCTCTTGGAGCTGTCAGGAGGCCTCGGAAGGCCATCGGAAGCGAAAAGGCGAGAAGGCAACATTGATATTCCGTTGGTTTTTGAAAGATTTGGATTTCTTGGCGGCCTCCTGGGGAGGCTCCGTGGCCGTTTTGAGCCGTCTTGAAGCGGTTTGGGGGTCTTTTGGATCATCTTGGGAGCCATTTTGACGCAGCTTGGGAATAGTTTGAGGAATCTTGGACGTCATCTTGGGCTCTCTGCGGCCCTCTTGGAGCCATCTTGGACGCTCCATCGACCCGCGACCGCACCCCTCCAGGTCCAGGGGAGGGGGCAACGGGGGAGGGGTAAACCCCTCCCCGGAGGGGAAGAGGGAGGGGTGGAAGAGGAAACGCTCTAAACCACCTGCGCCCAGGAGGCTGGCGAAATTTCCCGCGGAAGCCGGCGAATGATTTTTTCCGGCGGAAGTTGCGGCAAGTTCGGCGGAAACAGCCGGAAGTAATCGTGGCGTCGGGGATGCTTCTGGTCCCCGAAGATCGCCACATGTGTTTGCACGGTGTCGCACATGATTGCCCACTGTTGTGAGCTCCTGGGGTGTCCAGCGGAGCGTGGTCATACGCAGGCTCGAACTGGTCCCCGACCCCCCTGGGCGCTGCCACCTGCGAGGCTGTCCACACTTCCGTTAGCTTCTGGGAGGTCTGGCGGAGTCCTGTCCTACGCGAACCCACACTGTGGTCGCCCTCGCTTGGCGCCGCAAGCTGCGCCTCTCCAGGACATAGGAGGAATAGGAGGAGGATGGTGAGGAGGAGGAGGCGGAGGAGGAGGAGGAGGAGGAAGAGGAGGAGGAGGAGGAGGCGGAGGAGTAGGAGGAGGAGTAGGGGGATGAGGAAGAGGAAGGGAAAGAGGAGGAGGTGGAGGAGGAGCGGCACCCAGCGGGAGAAAAGCAGCCACGAGTATGGCATGCTCCGACCCCACGGCCGCAGGTTTTCCAGGCGAGCCATCCTGATGGCTGATGTCTTTTCCCCGTCTGCGTGGCCCTGGAGGAGCGCCCGACGACATCCCCGAACACGTCCCCTCGTTGTCCTCCTCCTCCTCCTCCCTCCCTCCCTCGTCCTCCTCCTCCTCCTCCTCCTCCTCCTCCTCCTCCTCCTCTTCCTCCCCCTCCTCCTCCTCCTCCTCCTCCTCCGCCTCCTCCTCCCTGGAAGACGAGGACCTTCTCCCCTTCCAGGTGTCCCCGGGGGTCGAAGAGGTTCGCCGAGGACGTCCGAGGCGGGCCAGGAGAGGGGCCCCCGCCACGGCCGAGGAGATCGACCGCGTGCGGGCCACCCTGGCCGAGCTCCGCCGCCAGCTGAACTCCTCGGACGAGTGCTTCGTGCGCCTCGGCGCGTCGCACTGCGTGTCCTTCCGCGTGCGCGGCTCGCCGCCGGCTCTGGCCGGCCCCCCGGCCCGCCCTTGTGGATGGAGGTCCGGGCAGGTTGCGTGCGCTCGCCTTTGTCTCGCGGGCGTCCTAGAGAGCAGCGGTTACCAGCGAGGGGGTGACTATCCCTGGCCGGGGCCACGGTACCTCCCAGATTTCATGTCCCTTCCTGTTCTTAGTATTCCTCTTCTTCTTTCTCTTCTTCTTCTTCTTCTTCTTCGTCCAGTGCGTTCCCTGGCCTCCGCCTCGTCCGTGCACATGCATCGGGCAATGATTTGCGAACCCGTCTTCTTTTCTTCCACACACACACCCCTCCTGTACGCCCCCGGTGTTCGGGGCCTGCGAAGTCCTGGCCAGGACACACCCCAGCGTGTGTCCAGAGGTCGATGTTGCACACGCCATCGGGGACCCCCTCGCGTGATGAGAGCATGTCAAGCCCTGGCGGGCGCGTTGTTCTATGCCTCTCGGCATTCATGGGCTCTCACCGGGCCCTGCAGGCCCTGTGGACCGTCAACAAGAGCACTCGGGATGCAGAGCTTCTCACTGGGAGTGTCGAGGCCTCTGGGCAGGGCGGATAGGTCGGTCGCGGGCCAGGGCTCAGGAAGCCAGGGGGTTCCGAAGCAGGCCTCTGGGAAGGTGCAGCGTGCGAAGACGAAGAGCTCTGAGAGGGTTTCGGTCCACGGCTGCAGTGGTCTCGGGGCGCGCCGATGTCCTCCTCCACGGCTGCAGATCACGCGGACGTGCCGATGTCCTGGCCTACGAAGGAGTCCCCGCTCACGGGGCCCCAGGGACCGCCGGGTCGGTCGGCCAGGGCGTCCGACGTGCTTGTCGGGGCCCTCGCACGAGGACCTGCGGCAGGCGGCGCGGCGAGCGGATGGTGCGGCGCCGGTCTCTGGCGGGCTCGCATCCGGCCGGTCTGGCCACGGCCGCAAGAGGGTCAATGGGTCCAGCGCCGGTGGCGGCCTTTGGCCGTGGCCCCCTCCTGGGGCTGCAGGGGCTGTCAACTGCAACTTCTCGGGCGGGGAAGTGGATCTCTGGGGACGGCCCCGGGGTCCCTCGAGTCGGATACTGGAACATATACATTACCAGTGGCGGGCTGTTCTTCAATCCCAGGATTTCTTGAGGGTCAAGGACGACGCTGGGGTGGTGTGGTGTATACTTTTTTCCCCGATGTCGCGGGGAAACAACGAAAAATGTATACACCGGGGTCCCGTATACACCAGGATCCGTTCTCCAGTGCGAATTCTAATGCAGGGCCAGAAGACGCGTCGGTGTATGAAGTTCGATTCCCTATTGAGCCCTCCTTCAGGACCCCTGCTTCCCTCATGTCGCCGTGCCAACATGGAGGGCCCCCCCCGCGCTTTGCCAAGAGAAGGTTGCGATGCGGGCTGGGATCCAGGCGGCGCAGCACAACACCGCAGATCTTGCGTCGGGCTCCCTCTCAAGAGCCCATCGGAGTGCGGTCCGCCGCCGCGCGACCCGGACCAAGGAGACCTCGTCAAGCAAGCATGTGTTTGAGGGGTTTTCACCTTCTACGTATCGATGGGTCGGCATCTCGCCTCTGGCGAAGGCCAGTTTGAGGCCGCTATAGGGGCGGTGGATGTAAAGCATTGGCAGTTCCGCCCCTCCCACACAGAAGCACACGGCCCACAATCCACAACCCAAGAAGCGTCAAGGCCGGCAGGCACAAGGCTTAGAAGTCGGCCACACCTGGCTTCTTGCTGGCCTGCTGGTGCGCAGGGGTGTGCATTCCTCTCTCTGGTGTGGTGGGTCTGGGGGCAGGGTGGAGATATGTCGCCACCAGTCCAGGAGCCTCCTAGAACTCGTACCCTCGTCGTCGTATCTTTTTTCAATGCGGGGTCCTTGGGCTTGTTCCCAACCCCTTCCTAGGACAAGGTTGCCATCCTGGATTGGTCTTCGACAGTCCCACTGCCTGATACTGGCCGCCGAGGTTTCAACTTAGTCCCCCCAAGAAAAGTCGTCCTGATTTTCTCATGACGTTGTTTTTGGCCCGCCCCCGATCTCGATCTGAGTCCAGCCCGAGGCTCGCTTGATGTTCCGCCCAGATGTGGGGCGTGGTCGGTCACGTCCACGCGGCCAGACTTCCTCGAGCTCTCGGATCCCTCCTTGCACCCATATCTGTGAGGTTGTACCCTATGCACCCCCCAACCTGACGCCGAGGGGGACTAAATCCGACGCTGGGCTCCGCTGCGGGCGGGCATGGAGGACTGGTGCTTGGCATCACTCGAACGTGTGCAATTTTTCTCGGCGAGGACGATCGAGGAGCACTCTGCTCACCTTGGGAAACAAAAAAAAACCCACGAAACCGACACATGCAAAGGGAATGGACGTCCGAGCGATGGCGAGGGTGGCGTGCAGCTTCGGAGAGTGCGTGTGCCCTGTCGAAGCAAGTTGTGCTCCCGCTGGAGCGCCGGCCTCACTTCATATCACAGAACAGCGGCCCGGCCGCGGCGGTGGCCAGAAGCTTGGTATCGCTCGGACGTGTCCACTTTTTCTCGGCGGGGACTATTCAGGAGCATCCTGGATCACCCTGCGAAAAAAACACGCACGAAACCGAAAAAAGCACGGGAATCGACGTCCGAGCGATGGCCAGGAAGTGTACCACATATATTGCCGCAGCGGGAAGTTGCGCAGACAACGTGCTAGATTGGAGGTCCGCGCGAATTTCTTAATTCGGCGTTGGACCCACCTCCCAGCACCCCTGTCGGCGCCTCCTGCGCCGCCCCTAGGTGTTTTTCTCCAATCAGTGCCTGCACTGATGGGGTCCTAGCAGAAGTTGAAATATTTGGCGAAAGTGTTCCGCCGATTTTGGTAGCAGGCTGGGTTCCCGGGTTCCCGGTTCTGGGTTCCCGGGTTCCCGGATTCCCGGTTATTTGTTCCCGTCCGATTTCGGTGGGTTTTCGGTCCCCGGGCTCCCGGTCGATCTCTTCAAAAACCATCCTTTTGATTTGGGTTTTTCTTTTGCGTAAGCTTGTTGGTTGGGGGGGGCGCAGACATCCAGGCTTCGCCAACGGTCTCGAGACTCTGAACATTTTCTTTGGGTGGAGGGCAATCTGAAATGCCGTTTCGATTGCTCCTCTTGGCCTGACTCTGCAAAAGGTGAATCGCAAGACGGATTGATTTTCGAGGTGCAAACGCCCATATGGATTTCACTTCACCCTGAGCCCTCCACCCTGAGGAGATGCTCAGAGGCTGCTGGCCCTTCGGAGTTTTTGTTGCTGCAGGCGTCCGAGAGGCCTCTCTCTTGTGTGGCTTGGCTTGTCCACGGCGGGAGCCGCCGCGCCCGCGGCGGGTGGGCCCCGCCCGCTCTCTCGCGCCCCAGGCCCGCGAGCTCCGTCGCCGAGGCCCCTGCGGACGCCGACTGCGCTGCGGCGCCGACGCCGCCGACGCCCACGGGCGGCGCCGACGCCGCCGCCGCCAGCACGACCCCCGGCACTCCCCAGCACGCTTCTGCTTCGGCCGACTCGGTCCTCGAGATCCACGACCCCCTTCCCCCCCCCCCCCAGGGCCCGTTCCGGAGGGCCGCGGGGCCCCCCATGTAGCAGCAACGGCCGTCCGCCGAGGCCGAGCTCGGGGAGACACGCTTGGATGGATCACACGCAGCCCCTTCGGCGATCTGGGACGGCAGGCGGGCTGAGCGGCGGCGAGAGCAGTGCCCGAGGCGGCGCTGCCCGCGCTGGCCGCGGTCCCCGTGCCGCTGGTCGACCTCGCCGGGGAGCTCTGCCGGCGCACCGCTGGGCAGGCCTCCGAGGCGCCGGCGGTCGCCGTGGGCCAAGCATGGGGCGAAGCGTCTTGGCTTGCCCACAGGCCCACCCGAGAATGTTCGAAGAGCCTTCTGCGTTTTGCACGACCTGTTCCTGATTCTTAGAACATGTCTTGTTGAGACCCTCGTGTTTTCAACACATGGGATTTAGGATCTAAGAATGTTGTTGTTGTGTTTAGAACATTCATTTGTTTTAAGAACAAGCACATGTCGTGGTAGGCCTATGGGAATGCCGTGACGGTCGGTCCCTGCTCAAATTGTGGAAACGAGTCCGAGGGGAAACGGGTCCTGAGGTTTTCCGCCGTGTTCGGGCTCTCGGGACCCGCCAAGGGCCTCAGGAGTGTCAGAAAATGGCTCAGGATGAAGATCTCGTCCTGGGGGAAGGCCCCGGGGTCCAGGACCGTTTCCCACAGGACCCGCTTCCCTCATGCTAAATGTGGTCGTGGGGGGGAGAGTGTGCCGATCGATGAGATTGAAGTGTCAGTAGTCTCGGGGTTCTCGTGCGCTCTCGGCGATTCTCTTCAAGCCGTGGCAAAGCGTCCTGACCTGCAGACAGGCCCACCGAAGGATGTTATGATAGCCTTTTGTTATGGTTTGCACAACGTATCCTTAATAAGCATGCCTGGCTGAGACCGTCTTAGCTTACTTCACCTGGCTTCTGGTCTATGAGCATTGTGTTTGTTCTCAGAGTCTTCTGCTGTCCCAGTAACATTTCGTGGCTGGTAGGCTTGTAGGAGTGCCAGGAAGGTCGGTCTGTGCTCAATCTCTGGCATCGGGATGCCCTCCAGCGGCTGCGCCTCGCTGATTGCGTTCCGGGGTTGCCCGGATTGTCCCGAACGGCCGCTGGAGTGCCACGTTGGGGGGGATAGGCTCAGCGGGGGGCAGTGCTCGGAAGTCGTTCGATAGTTTTCGACGCTATAGGTGGTCTTAATCAGTTGCGCCTCGCGGGTGCCGGAGCCGTCCCGAACAGCCAGCGGAGACAAGACTTCTGAACCGGAAATTTCGCGCAGGAGGAGGGGAACTGGATCAACTTTCGGGGGAGATTCGGAGGTTCATAGGCCTCCTACCCTGACACGTCGATTAGCGAATTGGCCGTTTTCGGTTCGCGAAAGGGTGTCGCTGCCGTCATTTTTACGGGTCCAGGTCCGTCGGTTTCGGTCCTAGGCTGTTTTCACTAAATGGAGGTTCACTAAAGGGAGGTTTGTCCACCGCCGAGAGATAGGCGCAGGGGGAATGCCCATCGGCACGATCGAAGCCCAGATCTCCGACGATGCGTTGCTGGTATCGGGGCGTTATTTGTTTTCGAGTGCGGCCTCTGACGGCCGTTCTTCGGCGCTGGGGCCATCACAAACAGATCCAGAGCGAAAAGCTCACCTTAAGTCGGGCCTGTTCCTCTACAGGGGGAATGTTCAAAGATAGTCAAAGAATTGTCTGGGAAAATGTTTCGACTATGTTTGACATTTTTGTCGGGCTATTTGTTCGACTATGCTAGATTTCTTGTCCAAGATCCCCGTTGTAGGGCGACAGGCCCGACCTAAAGCTAACCCCAGGGAAGGGGTCGGGACCTCTCGGGCCGCGCATTGATACAGTCATACCGAGATGTCAGGGGCAACGATAGGGGGGGGGGGGGGAAGGCTCAGGCGTGGGAGCGCATCGACCCCCAGTCGCCCAATTACTGATCGCCGATTTGGGCCCGATAGCCCGCCTCACCCAAGAGCGTGCGGTCTCGATATCGAGGGCCCATCGCCGATCTATCGGCGATGTATCGCCGATTACAGATCGATGTTTCTCCGCCTTGATCCCGCCCCCCCCCCTGTACCGTTGCGCTTGAGGAGAAGCGCATTCCAGTCTGTACGTGCGATCGAAGCGGGGATGGAACAGATCAGGCGTTGCAAAAAGGGCCTTGCCTGCGCGGATCGGCCAGAGTTGCCATGTTTTCCTCGGCGGAAGGCGGCGGATGGTCGCTGGAGGGCGGCGGAAGTAACACGTGTGTGGCACCGTTGGCTGAGAAGCCGGCGGAAGCAAACGTCGACCTCCGAAGAGATGACCGCATTTTTGGGTTCAGGGTTTCCAGACTTTGCCATATGGGGACGAGGAACGACATCGGTCTCCAGTTTGAGCAGGGTGTGTTGCCGGTGCCGCCGGGGGCGTTGTTCATTTCGAATGAGCGCCGCCTGCCCAACAGCGGGACAACGTTTGCTGTTGGCCAATACCTGCGTTTTTTCCTTCACATGCCGGGCGTGCTTAACCGATACACGCGGGTCGTTGAAAGTAGGTGTTTCTGGATTCACAGATCTGAACATATTTCAGGCGACTTCCTATTTCAAACATCGATATGGTGTTGCCGTGGTTTGTTATTCTCTGGGAGGGCCTGAACCCAATCTACTTGATCCGCCTTCCTACTTTATATTTCTACCTACTTCTTCCGACCGACGGATACCGATTGCATACCTTCGTTGTCGTTGGTGGTGGGTTGAGTGTTTCATCGTTTTCGGCGACTGGTACACAGTTTTTCGAGGCCCCGGGGCTGTCGGAAATCGATCCGTGGTGAACCACTAGCCAGGTTGGTCATTGGGCGGGGTCCGTGGACAGATGTTCGTCCGATGTTGGCCGGGAAGGGTCCGAGAAGAGGAAGACATCTGACATACGGACGCCAATGCCCTTCTTTTTGGTTTCGTGTCTTTCGGCCTCCCGGGTTTCAGTGTATCTGTGTCCACTGCCTGCCGAGGCCTCCCAAGATCGACCCCCCTTGGCGGTGGTCATGGAGAAATCCCCACCTCGGACGGGGGGGCATCGTCGCCCACGGCAGGGTCCGCCCCGAAATCCTCGTCAGAAGGCGTCCTGCGGAGAGGGCTTGGGAGTGGCGGTGTCGGTGCAGTGGAAGCCCGTGCCAAGAAACACCCTGTTTTCCTCAAGGATGCCCTGGTTTTGCTGTGGAGAACGTGGCATTCCCACACCAAAAGTCGATGGACGACCTGGAGTCTCAGGGTTGGGTGTCTTGTGGAAGGTGTCTTGCGGTCGAGCTCCTACTGCACAGTGCTCCCCCCCCAGGCGGCAGCGGCCGGGGCCCCCGCGCCGCCGACCTTCGCGTTCGAGTCGCGCCCTCAGACGCTCCCGATGTGGAGGATCGATCTTTTTCGTTGCTTGGCGCTTTGGGGCATTGTTCGAGTAGGGGGTCGACTACAGAGTAGATTAACCCCAGAGTTGATGTTCTCGTCGAGTCTACGAAACAGACGTAGAATGCCTGTAGATCTACGAAGCATTCTACGCATTCGCTTGTAGATTCGACGGGGAAACCATCAAGTCTGCAGTCGATCCCCTGCTCGAATTGTCTGGCCTTCGGGGTGGCGCCCTCGCGGCCGCGGCTGGACCCGCCACGGAGTCTTGGGCAGGACGCTCCGAAGCGTGTCCGCAGTGGCGAGTGTGGGATTCGTGCCGCCTCGTCCCCAGGGGGCAGGAGGGAGGCGTTCGACCGGGTTGTGGCGCCGCGAGGTGGCGGCAGCTGCGGCGTGATTCCCCGCCTGTTGAACACCCGCTCCTTCTGATCGTGGGTTATCTCGTGCCTGGGCTGGGGCGGAGGTTGCAGTTTCCATCGCTGCCCTTCTCTGGCATCCATGCCCCCCCCCCCCCCAGCGAGGACCATTACCGGCCTCACCAATGAGGACCGCCATGAGGCCTCACCTCACGCCGTCCGCAGCTCCCATCCTAGGGACGGTTTGGGCAAAGCCCCGCGAAGCTGGCACCGTAGGTGCAGTGCCAGGAGTGGCGGCAAGTCCCCCGGTCCCACCATCGTATAGATCTTATGGAGGATGCAAAGGCCTTGGAGATAGGAAGGGGTTGGCACGGGTGGGCATCATAGCCCGCCAAAAGGCATGATAGCCTCATCCTTGACCGTTTGCGCTGGCATCCATTTCCTGCGTAGCGGCATGCTCTCCCCGACGTTGGTGTCTGTTGCTCGCAGCGTGGGCTTCCACTGGCCTCTGGGACAGGGCGTTTCGTCCTGTGCCGGCCTGTGGCGGTCCCCACGGGGCCGAGAGTCGAAAGCCCCCCCCGACGTGATTTGGGCTCACGACGCCAGGGGGTCCGAGGGAGCAGGGGGCCCCTTCTTCCCAGACCTCCCGGCGGCTCCGGCAGCACAAAGCGCGCCGGAGGCCCCTTCCACTTCTCGGCGGTTCCGGGGGCCGATCCCAGGCACCACGGGGCCGTCAACCGCAGGACGGCCCTGCGAGAGCCAGTCCCAGGGAAGGGGCGGAGAGTTGCAGAGGCCCGCGGTTCGCCAAAGCGCAGGTCGTCGGAGGTCCAGGAAGCGCTTCCTGGCAGGTTCAATTCTGAAGCGGCGCTGGTATAACCCTGATCGAAAGCTGGCCTAATCCTGCATCGTCACGCGTAAATCCTGGCTCAACCCGCTTTGGCCGGATCCATCCCGCTCAATCTGGCTTACTCCCGGGCTCAATCCAGCTTCGTCCAGCTGGCTCAATGGCTCCTGAATCGGGCCGACGAGTTAACCCGTCGTCGTTCTGACGGAGATTTCCCGTGCCTCCGAAGTTTGGGGAGAAGGGCTATCTGACGTCTCTCGCAGGGCCTTTCATGAGGGGCACTCGTCGCCTTTTGCCGAGCCCGCTCCCCGGCGCCGCACATCGGACCGCGCCTTCGAGCCCGGACGCCCAGAGTCGCCGTACGGAGACCAAACCCTCGGAATCGTCGTGCCGCTTCGTGCGACTTAGGACCACAGAGGCCGTTTCGTCTGAGATTTCTTTACATATTAGAGCCGCAGGAGCCGTTTCATCAATTGGACCACAGAAGCCGCTTCTCCAAAGTGTTCGTCGCACTTTATGACCGCAGGAGTCGTTTCGCTTGAGACTTCCTTCCAAGGCAGTGTGACCATCCTCATCACCATCGCCATGGCATCCTGATCATGATCAGCACCTTTGCTGTGTTGGGGCGCGTTTGCGAGGGGCCCTGGCTGGACCTCGGGACCGTCAAGCAACTGCCCAGGATGACATCCCGTCCTGGGGGAGGGGCCACCAAATCTTGAGGCCGACGTTTTTGGAAAACTCAGGACGTCGGGGGGTCTGGGAGGTCTGGGGGGCGCCGCGGAGGGCCCCGAGCCCATGGGTTCTCCGCCACCGCCTCTGCGAACAGCGCCGACGTCGCACACCTTGTCCCTGAACACGTGCGAGTTCAAGCGGCTTAGAGAACCGCATACGTTCTCGGAGTAACGGGTCAGTGTTTGGGTAGAGGCGCTCGTGACGAGCGGTTCAGGTCCAGGCGTCATGACAATCGGGGGTCATGGGGCCTTCAAGTGTGTCAGACACGCCCCTCCTCTGGCTGTTCAGGGCGGCTCGCGTGAGAGGCGGATGAAACACGAGGTCGACTCTGCGCCGCCATCCGCGCGCAAGCGTCCCGCGCAAAAGGTCGCGCGCGTAGGCGCCGTCGCTCCCCTGTGCGAAGTGCCGCGCTGGCGGCCCGCGTGAGCCACTTCGTGAGGTCGTTCTGCCATCTTGGCATCGCTCGAACGTGTGCATTCTTTCTCGGCGAGAACCATCGAGGAGGAGCATTTTCCTCACCTTGGGGGAGGGGGGGAAAACGCACACACACACACACACACCGACCGACACACACATACACACACACACACACGCACGCACGCACGCACGCACGCACGCACGCGCGCGCGACACACACGCGCGCGCGACACACACGCGCGCGCGACACACACACACACACACACACACACACACACACACACACACACACACACACACACACACACACACACACACACACACACACACACACGAAACCGACAAATGCACACGGAAAGGACGTCCGAGCGATGGCGAGCCATCTGGCGTGAGTTTTTTCCGTCGCTCCTATGAAAGGCATGAAGAACAGGAGGCCGACTGCGCGGGCCTTCGTGCGTGGGGCGCCCGCTCCTGCGCGCGGCGTGCCTCGACGTCGGCCCGCGGGGGCCACCGCGCAGGGTCGCCGTGCTCTCTCTCTCTCTCTCTCTCGCCGCCAGCGCGGGGAAGCGAGTGCCGGCGGGCAAAGGGAGTGCGGGAGCCGGGCGCTGTTTTTGTGTGTTTTTTTCGTTTTCGGCTTCGACGACTCGGCACGAGACACTGGTCCAGGAGAAGTTCGACAATCCTCAGGACGCGTGTTAGCCCGATGTGACAGTATCGTTTAACCGACCCCCATCGCCATCCCCATCCCCTTCGAGACCCCCACCAAACCACCCCTCAGTTGGGGATACGCGCTTCGAAACCCGAAGGAACGGCCTGTATCCCCATCTAGGGGGGTCAATCGGCCAGTGGGGCCCAGGCCACGCCGCTGGGGATGGGGATCGGATAAAAGATGCTCAATGTGTGCTTACCCCGCTCAGCCCCACCAGCAGATCATTGCACCACCTGCGTCGCACTGAACATTGTCACCGCGCGTTGGCGATGACACGCTTCCTAAGGGCTTTCGAGGAGTGGTCGAAGTCGAGAAGTCGGGGGGGCAGTGTGCCACAAAGAACCGAGACGCCGGATGCTTTGGGGAGTGCGGGGGCGATCGGCGGGGACGGGGGCGCTTCTGGGGACCTCCGGGGCCCCGAGAGTCAAGCAGTGGCGAAGGTCCTGGTTCGCCTTTCGGCCCTCCAAAGAATGTGCTAAGAACCTTTAGTGGTCTGCACGAAATGTCCTTAGAACATTTCTGGCTGGGACTGCTCTGTTTTAACACAGCGTGTTTATGTCATTCGAGCATTGTTCTTAGGACATGTTGGTTGGGGTTCTGAGAATATTTCCTGGTAGGCCTATAGGAATGCCGGGACGGTCGGCCCCTGCTCAAGAGAGGGGCACGACGGTTGCACCTCTCTTCCCCACCCCAACCGGCCAATGCCCACCATCGAAGAACAACACATTACATAAACATCATTCATCGAAATAAAAAGCAGGACATGCAACATATAACTATAAACATGGATATATACTACGGAATAGAAAATCTATTTGGAGTCAACGCTGGCTGATAAGAAACACTAAACATCATTTATCGCAGTTCCGCTGAGATCGCTTCGTGATCCGCGCGGGCCTCCCCTGGCGGCGCCTCCAGCGAACGCCGCTGGCCCGCTCCGCGAGCCAGGGAGGGGGGTCCGGCGACGATCCAAGGAATCTGCGCGGACCTCCAAAAGTTTCTGTTTATGCCGTTTTCTGTTTCTCTACCCCCCCATCCCAGGCCTCCCAGTCGGAATCCGAACATATGAGGTCGGAGGACCGCGCCGCATCGCTGGTGCATCGGAGATGCGGCTCGACGCGGAGCCTGATTCTCTCCGCGCCGGTGGCGGCGATGCACCGCGGATGCATCGGCGCGATGCATCGGCGACGTCGGCGCCGTCTACCCAGACCCGAAAATTCGGGAGACGTTTGACTCGGCAGCGCTGGAGCGAGGTAGCCGCCAGAGTCGGCAGAGCTGACGAGTGACGCACTGGAGTCAAGGGAGGAAAAACCACCCGGACTAGACAATTGGCGTTTACTAAACGGTTCTGGGCGTTTACTGAACCGCGCTGCCCTGCTCGATTCCTTCTTGTGGCGCGTTTGCTGAACGGCTTCGCGTGTCGGGGTGGTTATTGTCGGGGTGGATGTTCTGCTCTCCAGAGTGGCGCACTGGAGGACACCACGCGGAGGCAGAGCTTGCGCGACTCCGCCCGCGGGCCCCTCCCGCCCGCGGGCACCCTCGGGGATCGCCCCCCGCGGCTCCTCGCCGCTGCCCGACCGCGGCCGGCGCTCGCCTCGCTTCGAAGGCGTAAGTCGGGCTTATCCCTCTACAGTCAAGCAGTGGCGAAGCGTCCCGGTTTGCCTATAGGCCTACCAAAACATGTTCTAAGAACCTCTTGCAGTCTGCACGAAATGTTCTCAGGACATTTCTGGCTGGGACTGCCTTGTTTGAACACATCGGGTTTATGTGATTAGAAAATTGTTGTTGTTATTGAATCGCTTCGCTCATTCCGCCGGCCCGTGATATGGCATCGCTGGTTTTTGTCTGTGTGTTCGTTGCCCATGTTGCGCTCTTGGGGGCGGGTGTCGTTCGGACGCGTTGCGTGGGGAGTTTTGATGGTGAAGCAGTTCCCTGGGGGTCGTCTCTCGATGGGGCGAAATAGAGTCGTCGTCAAGATGCTTCTTTGGGGGGCCTCTTGGGGTCTGTTGAGAGGCCGTTCGGGGGCGCCTGGGAGACATGTTTGAAGCCTTCTGGGGCTTCTTTTGGGCCTCCTGGGAGTCTCCTGGGGCCTCTTGGCGACATCTTGGGGCCTCTTGGAGGCCTCTTGGGGCCTCTTTGGGACCTCCTGGGCGCCTTCTGGGACGGAGGGCTCCATTTTTGAGTTCTCGGTATCCCTCCTGAGTCCCTCTTGGGCCCGTCTTGGGGCCTCTTGGTCCGTCTTGGGCGGCACTTGGGCCGTCTTGAGGGCTCTCTTGGGTCGTTTCGGCGCCGTCTTGGGAGCTTCGTGGGCCGTCTTGGAGCGGTCTTGGGGGCCTCTTGGGCCGTCTTGGAGCGTCCGGAAGCCGAAAAAGCCAGAACACAAAAAACATCGAAAAAAACCAATGAAAATCAACGATTTTGGCCTCTTGGGGCTCTCTTCGGAGGCCTCTTGGAAGGCTCTTGGGGCGTCTTGGAGGCCTCTTGGGCTGTCTTGGGGGCCTTTTGGGCCGTCTTGGGGTCATCTTCGGCGTCTTCGAGCGCTCTTTGGGCGTCTCGGGGGCCTCTTGGGCAGTCTTGGGGGCCTCTTGGGGCACTCTGAGCGCGCTCTGGGGAGCCTGAGAGGCCGCACCCAGAAGGAAAACCATCTCTGAGTAGCTTTGGTCGGGCGGCGGTCGGGCGTTGGTCGGGGTACTTTTCGCCGGGGGACCCCCAGGGGCCGCCCCGCGCGCGCGAACTAGAAATACTGTTAATACTGTTAACCAGTTACCGGAGATCTTAGCACGCCCTGGCCCGTTGGGCCGGCGAATTAGAACATGTCTGGGTTCTAAGAACACTTCGTGGTAGGATTATAGGAATTCCGGGACGGTTGGTCCCTGCTCAAAATGATAGTCAAACAACAATAACTGTTGGACGATGTTTTGAGCATGTTTTGACCTTTTGGGGGGTCTTCGTTGAATCGTTTTTTTACATGTTCGTCCAAGATCCCCCTTGTAGGGGGGACACGCCCGACCTAATTCTGAGGTCCGATCGCTCGAGCGTCGGCGGGGCCATCTTGGCATCGGCGCGCGAGGCGGAGCCACGGCGGACCCAGCTCTTGGGCGGGCCAAGGGCCCGGATATACAAGCCGCTCCCTAAAGCGCCCCCGAGCGCTCCAGGGCGCCCCAAACTCGCAGGCCCAGAGGTTGCTACCAACACCAATTTCGGCGGTGTGCCTCCACCCAGGGAAGACGATCCCGATCTCGGTGATGGTGGTAATATTCTGGCTTCCAAGGTGGCCGAAATATGACCACCAACACCGGCATCTAGGATCATCTTCCCCCTTTGGAGGCAACCCCTTGTGTTGGTGTTGGTGCCCTTTTCCAGGCCTCCAATCAATCAAGGGAGGAAAAACCACCTGGACCGGACAATTGGCCCTCACTAAACGGCCCTGGGCGTTTACGAAACAGCCCTGCCCTCTTTGATTCCTTCTTTGGGCGCGTTTGCTGAACGACTTCGCGTGTCGGGATGGTTCTCATGGGGCGGGATTGTTTTGCTTCAACTAAAGCGCTGTGGGAGGGCCACGGCGCCCGGCAGTGGCAGCCTCTGCAGAACCGCCGGGTCTCGGAGGTCCCCGGTCTTGCCCGGTCCGAGGTTCTCCTCTTTCTGTCGGGCGTTCCGCAATTGGGGGGCGATAAACGGGGGTGCGTCGAGGGTTGCACGAAAGGGGCTCTAAAGGGGCCCAAAACGAGCTCCCTAATTAGGGCCCCGACGGGGTACGAAAGGTGTACCTTTCTTACCCCCCATCTATCGCCCCCCCATTAGTGAACGCCCGATCCTGGCTTCGACTTGCGAGCCGCAGGGAGTGTGTCGAGGATGCACCGCCTGGATCGGCATCGGCGCTGGCACCTCCGTGGTAGAGAGCGGGTCCAATCTGGCACACTCCAACCCAATTGGGCCACTGAATCCTGGGCTCCTTCTGGGCCAGTCCGGCTTGATCGCCCCCTTATTCGGACTCGATGGCCGCTATCCTCGCTCCCAGGAGGACCTCCGATTTGCCTCCCAAGGTTATCTCAGCGTCGGCGCGAGGTGGGTCCACGGCGGACCGATCGCGGGAGGGGACCAGCGTACCAACGACACGCCGTTCTGGGGAGAGCCCGTCCGCGTGTCATCTCTTTTCTCGTCGTTTCTATCCACAGGGCTGGTGCTTCTTCCGCAGCGTCGCGCTGATGGGCTCCCCACGGTGCCGTGTGTCATATATATATATACACATATATACATATACATATACCCCCCAACTGGAGAGGGGTCCATAGGGAATGGCCCATCCATCTTCGGAGAGGGTCCCATGGCCCGCCCATGATCGTGCGGGCTCGCTCTGTGGGCCCTGGCGCCGACTTACCGTCGATGCATCGCCGGTTCCAGCTCAATGCTTCGTCCTCAGACCACCCCCGACATCATGATTGTTGCCACGGGGTGCACCCCTGGAGTTCTCGAACCCGTTCCTCGGGACCTGCTTCTCATCCTGAGTTACTATTTGACGGTCTTGGGGCCCGTCCAGGGCTTCTGAGTGCCCTGAATGGCAGGAAATTGCCCGTCGCGATTTCTGTTCCCGACGAGACGAGGTCTGGCTCAGTCAGGGTCATTCTGGCAGTGCCCTGTCAGAACTGCCTTCCAGGGGCCCTATGCGGCTGCACGCGCGCGCCTGTGTAAGGCCAGACCTGGCCCTCACACACCTCGTGCCGTACCTCGACGGGCTGCGCAGCCCGGCGCTCAGTCTGCCCCGCGCTGGGCAGGGCGGCGAGGGCGAGTATCGCTACGGTTGGGATGCTGAGGCAGCGTATCGCGCCGACAGCTCTGGCCCACCTCGCTTCGGCGCGACACGCTCTCCATGTCCTTGTCCCCAAGCACCAACGTCCCGAGCCTTCTCTCAGGTTCCCGTTCTGCGAAGACACAACGTTTCGCCGTGGCCGCCGCCGCGGCACGATAAACAGAAGCTCCCGACCAGGAAGATTCCTTTGGAAGACCGTCCCGCGGCCCATATAACGGATCTGTCCGACTCTAGTTCCTCTCAGGTTGGATTTAAGCTGGACTCCAGCTCAATTTAAGGTCGAGTCGAGTCGGCGGACGTTCGACGCAGCATCGACGCAAAAGTGGAGCGAGTGTCTCCAACGGTGCCGAGAACGAGCATATGGGTATCGGGTCGAGCGGAAAAAGGGATGGTAGGGAAGGGGGGGTATACGAAATTTGCTGCAGGCATCCTGTTTCGGCGCCTGGCGCCTTCCCTTGTACAGTGGCACCTCTTGCGCAGGGAGGCGTTGGGGACCGACCCGAGGGTACAGTGGGGGTGCGCATCAAGGCAAGAAGCGATAATTTCCAAGGGGTTCTTCGCTGCGCGCGCCGCTCGATGACTTCCTGCGAGCTTCGAAACGCTGCTGCGTTCAGCCTCTGATGTTACTCGCGTTCGCATCCTTAGGGTTTTTTTTTGTTCGTGGGGTTTTGCGGCCGCATCCGCACTGCTATTGTTGTTGTTGATGATGATGCTGAGGAGGAGGATGAGGAGGAGGAGGAGGAGGAGGAGGAGGAGGAGGAGGGGGAGGAAGAGGAGAGAGGACAATCAAGATTTTGAGACGTTTCTACCTTTATTTGGGCCTCTGGGGACCTTGAGCTCCCTGGGTACCAAGTGTGAGGCAGGACACCGTCCCGCTGTCGTGTCCTGTAGATGCACGCCTGCATAACAGGATGGTGTGACCTAAACAAATATGAGGAGGGCGAGGACGAGGAGTAAGATGCAGAGGATGTTGAGGATGGTGAGGAAGGGGAGCAATCACGAGTATGAAGGAGGGCGCTCGATTCTGCATGTCGGGGAGCTGGGCATGAGAAGCTGGAGTGAGCCATTACATCGCAGCGCCCTGAATTTCGGGCTCTGCGAGACCTCCCACTACTCATCGTCTCCTTTGAGTGGACAACCCCTGGTGGTCGCCCCCGGGATCGGCACGAGCTCCCCAAGAGGCTCCCAAGACGCGCGAGGAGGCCTGAGAGCCCAAACCCAAAGGCACCGTCAAGATGCCCTCAAGGTGGCCAAAAGACATCCATCAACCCTCCAAGAAGGTTCTAAGCTGCATCCGAGAGCTGGAGATGTATGATCAGCCATGAACTGTTGAACATGTTTCGTCTTCGGACGTAATCGTCATACCCTCGATCAGCCTACGGATGGCATTGGAGGGTCCCCATAACGTCGAGAGAAGGAAGCAAGAGGTCCCACTGGGCCAAAAGGGGCCCCCAGGAGCGGCTCGAGAGGCCCTGAGGTGCAAAAGGCCCCCAAGAGACCTTTACAAGGCCCTCAAGAGGGCCCGAAGAGCCCAAGGCGGCCCCTGGGCTCTCGACCAGAGGTGTGCTTCTGAGTCGCCAGAGGTCACGATTCAGACCCGCTAAGACTGGTGTCCCGGGCAGCCAGGTGGCCGTTTCCCCTGGCACGTTGGCCCTGAGATGCACAGGAAGAGCCTCTCTTTTTCTCACCCTGCTCCTCTTCGGTGCCAGACAAGGCTTCGTCTTCGGTGCACCTCTCCTGCGGCGGAAGCCGGCGGGAATTTTGCGGCGGGCCCGCTGGCGCAAACCAGTAGAAGGGTCGCGGAAGAAACAGTGAGACGTCGACGCGTCCGGATTCGGGGGCATCTCCGGCGATTTCTCGCCCCAAGCCCTCGACTTTACAACGACAAATCAAGCCGCTCAGAGAATGAGAGGAACTCGGGGACATGCCCCACGGGGCCAATCGCACGCACCCATATCGAGGATTGATACCCCCCCTGTCCTATATCCCCGAGTTCTGCGCCAAACTTCTGGTCTATTCGAAAACCCCACGAAGCCTGGGATGAGCTGGATCTGGATTTCACGAGCCCCATGCCGATGCCTCATCTTTCCCTTCGGTGCGTTCCCCTCTCTCCTCGCCTCGCCCCGTACCGTTCCCCCCCCATTCTGACGCTCGGCTTCACTCCGTCCCTTTGCACGTCCCTCGGAAGACGAACAGGTACCCATACTGCTACCCTTCCCTCGTTTGCCCCGTCTTGGGCCTCCTGGGAGGCCCTCGTCGCCACGGCTAGATTCGCCTCGACATTCTGGTCAGGACGCACCCTCGGCAGGCGGTGGATCTGGATGTGCGTGTCTTGCTCGCCGGTGGTTCAAAGAAGGGTCCCTGAGGGATGGGGCCCACAGGGAACAGGGAAGTGCAGCACAGGTTGAGCCGCCTCGACCTTTTCGAGGTTCTCGTCCTCATGGGCCCCGTGCCCCAGGGCCCCACCTCTGAGCATCCGATCTCCGTCCTCTCCCAGGTATCCGACGCTGCAGAACTGGTTTTCGGAGCGCGGACGCCCAGCGGTCTGTGCGGCCGGGCACGCACACCCGCACCCGCTGCACTTGCTGGCTCGCCCGGGAGCTGGCTCGGGCCGAAGCGCCCGCCCCGCAGGACGCGGCCCCACGCGAGGCGTCTCTGCGCCCCTCCCCCCGGGGGCCCTCGGGCCGCCGCCCTCGCGCGCGCGCCCTGCTCGCTCTGCCTCGGGCTCCCTCGGGGCCCCCGGGGGCCTGCGGAGGCGCCTGCGGAGCGGTCACCCCGGCCGTGGCTCCGGATCACATCGGCGTCACCCCAGCAGAATTACTCATATACGATGTGTGCGTTACCCACCAGGGGGGCGACGCGCGCACCGAGAGATCTTGCAGCATCTGCGTCGAGGCCACACCGCTCGGGAAACGATGTACTACAAGATGGGTATACTATATGTTCGGGTCGGACGCGCGCCTCCAAGGAGGACATATAGTATTAGTAGGTCCCGGTGCGTCCCATCCCATCACAGCTTCGCGGTCAGGCTTCTGCAGCTTCTGCTCCCTGCCATCGGCCCCTCGGGCCCCAGGAGTCCCTTGGCCCCCGCCTCCCTCACGGGCCCCCTCCCGAGTTTGACCGTCCTGGGGTGAAGCCCCAGGGTCCAGAACTCCCTCCCCCCCTCCCTCCCCTGCCTCCCTCCCTCCCCCTCCCATGCCTCTCTCCCCCGCTTGTGGACGTCGTGGCCGTTTGTTCACGACGTGCACACAGGCTCCCGACGTCGCGATTTTTTCACCACGTGGACCCTTCAGAGGTGTCGACCCATTTCCCCGCGACCGGTTTTGCATCCTGGGTTGTCCTTGACGCTCCCGGGGCCTGGTGAAAGCACTTCCCGCCATGTGATGTTTGTCGACGCCAGGGGGTCTCTGCCAGGGATTGATTATTTTGCCGATCGTGAGGGCTTTCTGGCAGCAGTTATAGTGGAAACCCATTCCAAGAAACACCCTGCTTGCCTCCAGGGTGCCCTGGGTTTCTTGGGTTTCAATGGCTTTGCTTCGGCAAGCGTGATGTTCCCACGCCAAAAGTCAATGGACGTCCTGGGGCTTCAGGGTTGGGTTTCTCGTGGGAGGTTTCTTGTGGTCGAGCTCCTGCTGTAGGGCCTCCGCCGAGCGCCTCCGCGGCTGCGCCCCGCAAAGGCGTCCTGGACGTGGTGGACGCCAGCGGCGCCGACGAGGACCTCGGCGGCCGCGCTCCCGCCCGCGCCTGCACATCTGCCGCGCCTTCGCGGCGGTCTCGGACCCGCCGGGTCCCTGGGGTGCTGCCAGGCCTCAAGCCCCCAGGCAATCCGTGCGCAGATTTCCCTTTGATGTTCAAAACATGCGCGCCGTCCTTTTTGTCGCTCCCTTTGAGTTTCAAGGACTGAGCGTCGTCGTTTGACAGACCCTCAGTTAGGGGGTTGGACCCCCAACATGTTCATTTTAGAATCATGTCCGCTTCGTCGGTTTGATCAGGGCTTTGGTTCGATATCATTGTTTCTCCCGCGATGATCTCCGGCCGTAGGCTCTGCCCGTAGGACTTTTTCAACCCGTGTTTTAAGATTTCGGCATCGGGGGGCCTTGGCTGCGCCCGGGGACCATCACATATGGTTTCGGAACGAGAAGCTGGCCCCGGGGAATTGGTCAGGACGACCTCTGGGGTCACGGCTGCATCCGGCCCAGGTCCATCCTGACCCCTCTCTCCAGTGGAGAGAGGGGTCAGGATGGACCCGGGGAGGGGTCCAGAGGGACCGACTCTGAGTGGAGTTGGGCCAGGCGGGGCAGAGCCGCCGCTGTCTTAGCTTACCTCTGGCGGAGTGACTCTGGCGTGCGGTTTTCGGGGCGCGCGTGGGGGGGAGGGGTAGGGGGGCAGACCCGGGCATGCGGGGCCGCCACTGCAGCATCGCTTGCAGTGATCGATGGGCAAGCCGATGAAGGTTGTTGTCTTTGCCTCTTCTGGGGGCCTCCCTTTGGAGTGCTCCAGATGCTTCAGTGACTTACTGGTGATCTTGAGCACGCTGGAAAGTGCGAGTGAGATGTCGGCCTCCTGTTTGGAGGAAGGTCTACAATCATAAATGGTTGGTTTGGCTCCCGTCCGGAAACAAACGGCATGACCACATGGAACAGTGAGAGGGCTCACGAGGATAAGCATGCGTGTTCCCGTGAGTTCTTAGGTTGATCGGTGCATTGTGGTATTGTGGTGGACTAGGGCCCGTGCAGATTCACCACTGCGATTGCATCAGGGAGTTTAGTTTTTGGATCGGCAACCCAGTGTCGTTTTCGCTTCCACTTTCAATTTTAGCAGTTGTTCTAATTGTTGAAGTCTGCGCAGGGTCGTAAATATCAGGGCTGCCATTGTTGGTCAACCTGCTGCCAGACTTACGATTCGCTCTCGTTGCGAGGACACTGTGCTCATTTGTCTGCGGCATTTGCTGCACTTCGGACTTATCGCCATGATCGACGCCATCCGCCCAGAGAACAGGTGCCTTGCATCTCTTTCTTGTTCGGGTGTGGGCGTTGGACATCCTTCGAGCCAGCCGAACTACAAGACATTGCTTCGAGTTTCGGGTAGGGTCCAGATTCTCTGCGAGATCTTGCAGATCGAGACCCTGAGTAAGCATAGGGGAGTGCCAGGCGCGCTCACCAAATTGTCTTGTGGTGAGGTTTGCTTCTTGCAGGAAGCTGTCGTACGATTGCGATGCGTGCTCCACGTCCCAACGATAAGCACTCTCAAGCACCAACAGTTGCCTCACAATATCGTGGACCCGCCCGTCGGATTGTTCGGCGCGCGTTCGTTGCAGCTCTACTGCCATGTGACTCTGCGCTGCTGTCTCACGGGCGGGACCATACCTCTAGGCCTCCCGCATGGGGTCCGAGCAGCTGGGGTCGGAGGTTCGCGCCGTATCGCCGATTCATCGGCGATGCGGCTCGGTGTGGAGCCCGATTTTCTCCTCCGCGCCCACGTCGCCGATGCATCGCCGACGTCGCCAGTGCATCGCCGATGCATCGGCGATGCATCGGCGATGCATTGGCTTTGCAGCGCGATCCTTCGACCCCATCCAGTACAGTGGAGACCCATGCCAAGAAACATCCCGTGTCTGCAGGGTGCCCTGGGATTCCTGGATTTCGATGGTTTTGCTATGGGAAGCGTGACGTTCCCAGACCAAAAATCACTGGACGTCCTGGGGTCTCAGGGTTGGGTTTCTTGTGGAAGGTTTCTGGTGATCGGGCTCTTACTGTACTTGATCCTCCTGGCTACGCTTTCTGGGCCCTGGTCTTTGCCGTGCGCTCTTGTCGAGAAGGGTCGATGAGGCAGGTCGCACTGCACGGCGATGGATCGCCGATAGCCCTCAGCAAATCCAGGCGCAGCGCGGATCCCTCGAGGAGACACCGGAAGTTCGACGGGGTGGGGGGGCGGCGGCAGCGGCTTCCTCCGAGCAGGAGACATCTCCGGAGTGCCGCCGCGCCTCCCAGGAGCATCGTGCTGGCAGGCGCCTCCGGGGCCGTGCGGTGGCAGGCGTCGCAGCGCCCGTGGCAGCGTGCAGCGGCCGGGACGCGCTTCGGGCCGTCTGTCGGCGGGCTTCGGGGGCGGGGGCCGGCGTGCGCTCAAGACGTCCTCCGACACGGATGTGGCGCTCCAGGACGGGCCTCGCTGTCGATGGATCGAGGGATTGACCTCCCTTTCTCGGCGAAAGCTGGCGGAAGTGGAACGAAGGCGTCTCGTCTGGCGCAAGCCAGCGGAAGCCAAGTTTGCCCCCTGAACGGGATGACGCATTTTTGGGGGTTCGAGGTTTCCGGGGCGGTTCATGCGTGGCCCACCATCTTTCACAACATGTGGGCTCCAGCTCCAGACTGTTTGTTTGTCTGCAAATCAGACGTGTGAAGGTGGTCGAGCTTGCTGTCTGTTCGCCGCGCTCCTGGTGGTTCGAGCCCTGGTATACTGCGTGCTGCGCCGTCGTTCGCACAGGAGGGCCACGCGCTGCACTGCCGCATCGCCGCCTCCGCTGAATCCTGGAGCAGTGCACCTCGCAAGGTCGTTGCGCTTGATCGCTCCTCTGGGCCGATGTGCCGCGCGAGGTCGCCGCGGTATCGTGCGCGAGACGCCTCTCTTCTCTCTCCCGCCGCTCCTATGGCAGGCCGCCCCCGGGGGCGGCGCGAGCCGCAGGGCGGGCAGAGCTGCGCCTGCCTGGGCCGGACGGGGCCATAGGACGAGGACAGATTTGTGGAGTGCCAAATCATTTCCAGATGTCTAAAACATGTGTTACACATGTTTCAAGCATGTAAATCAAAACATGTTGAAGCCATGTTAAAGGACATGTTCCGACATTCTAAACGTTTTAAACTCAATGATCGAATTGTTAGGGTGTCCGTTGTCGTGACATCCACAAGGATAGATTCTTGCTGGAGCGTGCCGGAACGCTCCCGGAGCGCTCCGGAGCGCTCTGAGCAGGCGGCGCGTCCTCCAGAGCCGCGGGCTCCCAGAGATTCCCGACCTCTCCTCAGCTTGCAGATCAGAAGCGGAGCGCTGCGAGTCAGAGCCGAGATAAAAGGGCACACACAAAAGCCGCAAGTATAAGAGCCCTTCGTCTTGGCGGTTGGCTGTCCTCGCCCCGTAGCCTCGTCTCGCGCGGGCCCCCCGCCCTCGACAAGGTACAGCCTGACGCCCGAGTTCCACGTTGCCTTCGGCCGGCCGGAGGCGCGCGCGGGGCTCGCCGGGGGGGAGGATCGGCACGAACGGCATGGGTACGGAAAGATAATGGGCACGATGTCCAGCAGCAGTTCCTGCTCATTTTGAGCAGGACTCGCCGTCTGTGTCGCCGCGGCCCGTGCACATTTGAGACCGGAGGCCGCCTGCCCATCAGCGGCCGCAGTTGGTTTGGGACAGCATTTGTGGTCGGGCAGGCCTGGCGGGGCCAGGGCCGGGGTGAGGCTGCATACAGTAATTGCAGTCAACCCGCATAGTAAGGACGGACAACCTTCCCAAGGGTACCCTTGCATCCTTGCTTTCTCGGCCCATCCTTGGCCGCTCTTTCGTTGGCCGCGGCCCGCTCGAGAGAAAGCTTCGAAACGGGCGTCCAAGGCCCTTGCATCTTTGTCGCGCATCCTTGCTATACGGGTGGACAGTACAGCTGGCACGAGGGCCAAGAACAGCCCTGCCGCCCGAGGGGTATGCCCTCATCATGTTCTTCGGGTTTGGGCTCGCCAGCGTGCCGCGCTCTGCACGCTCTTGGACGCCTCCGTGGGGCCTGGGGCCTTCGGGGAAGGAGCTCGTGTTCTTGACCCACGGCGATGGGCATGTTTTCCACCACCACCACCACCATAAGCTGGAGGGGGAGGGGGTCCTCCTCCTCCTCCTCCTCCTCCTCCACCACCTCCTCCTCCACCTCCTCCTCCTCGTCCTCCTCCTCGTCCTCCTCCTACGTTCCCCCCTCCAACTTATGGTGGTGTTGGTGGAGAACAGGCCCATTACACGGTCTTGAGGGGCAAACCGACACAGCAAACAACAACAAACGTATTGAGTCTCACTGCAACATGGGGAAGTCGGTGGAAGTGGTGGAAGAGAGAGGAGCACTCGTGCAGAATGTAACAAAGTATGGGGGGCCCTGGAAGTCGTGTGGATTCGGTTGCGCTCCCCCAGGCCCCCCGCACTCCTGGGTTTTCCAGAGACGCTACACATGCATGACTTGCCAACGGTCCTGGTCGAGGCAGAGGAGACAAGTTAGAGGCTGGTCAGTACCGCAACCCAGTGACGCCAGGGACCCACGATTATATTCCTGCACGACCAGGGTTTGCCGAGGACCAGGTTCGCCGACCCAGAAGTCATAACTGCACGACCAGGGTTTGCTGGGACAAATCGTCCCATAGCTAGCGTCCTCGCGCGCACTGGAAGGGCCGCAGCGCCCGATACATCTTCCAGAACCGCTGGATCCCCCAAACCCCCGATTTGTCCCAGCCCGACTGTGTCCTGGTCCTGTCTTCGTCGTGGCAAGGGCTTCCACCCAGGTTCCAATCGTTAGCACCTGGGCCAGCGTTGTGCGCATTCGGAGGGTCTCGATGTGTGTACCGAGCTCCTTCGCTGGAGGAACACACTGCATCGGAGGTCTGCGCGGAATTCTTGGATCGCGCTGCATCCCTCGAGCGCGCCAGGGGCGGCGCTCAGAGGGGCCGCCGGGGCGACGGCTCCAGCGCCGGTCCCAGGAATCCGAGCGGAATTCCGAGAGTCTGTGCCTGTGCAGTTGTTTTTTTTCCGGCTGGTCGATTGCCCCCCCTCCCTGGCTCGCTCCGCGCGCCAGGGAGGGGGGCCCAGCAACGGTCCCAGAGGTCCGCGCGGACCTCCGGGCGTTTCTAGGTTCACGTAGTGCGAGTCGTCTTCGACCCGACGAAGTGTCGTGGTGCCCACGTCGATCGGTGGCGAAGCCCGAACCCTACCCCCGCCCATCCACGATTCGGGCAACTCGATGGGCGGCGGGGGCAGGTTTCGGAGCTCGTCGAACGCGTGGCGACATGGGGACCCGACCCCCGCCTTCCGTGGCTTCAGGGCAACTCGAGGGGCGGCGGGGGCAGGATTCGGAGCTCGTCGACCGCGTGGCGACCTCCGAGCCCGACCCCCATGGCAGGGGGTCGGACCGCGCCTCCAAGGGGGACAGATCTAACATCGGCATGCCTCTGTGCGCCCCACTTGGTGTGCGCCGCCAGCGCAGCGTGCCGACGGCCTCCCGGTGGACTCGGTGGCTGGCGGGGGTCGGACCGCAGCGGGGCGCGGAGGAGCAGCCCGCGCGGCCAGCGCTCGGGAGGAGCCCTGGCGCCCTGCCAGCCCTCCTCTCTGCGTGGCCCGCACCGGGCCGCCGCCCGCCCCAGACACGCGCCACCGCTCGGCGGCTCGATCGCGCCGAGCTCGCGGGTGCGGCTCGGCTGCTCGAGCTTGCTGCGGGCCCGCTGGGTGCCCGCTGCTGCTGCTGCTGCTGCTGCTGCTGCTCGAGCATGCTGTGGAAGCCGGGGCTCACGCACGTGGGTTCGGAGTCGACTCGGCAGGCCTGTCACGAGGTGGGCTGACGCGTGATTTCATTGATTCGTGCTTCGATTAATGTAGTCCACGTTTCAACACCTACGTTTCTTTGATTCGTGCTTCGATTATGCAGTCCGTATTCCCCTCCTCCCCGCCGAACCAGTCCACCCCTTTCGATCCCTCTCGCGGAGGTTCTCGCCGAGGTCGTCGAGTACGTCACCGCCGGGCGGGTGCAGGAGGACGTCCAGCTCGTCCAGGTGGTGCAGCTGCTGTATGCCAGGACCGCGCGTGGCTGCCACGGCCGCTGAGCGTGCCCAGCAGCGATCGAGTTCGATTTGGAGGCTTCTGGCAAGGAGTATTTTCAGCGCGGCCTCTGAGTGTGTGCCTAGCACCGAAAGGTTATGAAATTGGAGGCTTCTGGCAAGGAGGTGCCATGGCGCGTCCTCTGCGAGTTCCCAGCTGCGGGCGATTTCGATTGGGAGGCTCCTAGCAAGGAGGAGCTGCAGCGCGCCCTCTGAGTGTGCCCAGCAGCGATCGAGTTCGATCTTGAGGCTTCTGGCGAGGAGAAGTCTTGGCGCGCCTTCTGTGAGTGCTCAGCAGCGAACGGCTTCGAGCGGGTGGCTCCTAGCAATGAGGGGGTGAGGAGCGGCTTGCGGCACGGAGCGCACGGCGGAGGGCGTGACCCCAGGTGTTTGCGTGCCTGTCCTGGGTTGGGGGGTCGAGGTTGGAGGTTTGCGAGCGTCTCCGTCGGCCGCGGCGGTTTACTGGGTCGGGGGGTCGAGGCTGGAGGTTTGCGAGCGTCTTCGTCCGTTGCGGCGGTTTGCCACCCTCGGGATGCGTTTCAGCGGCTGCGCCTCGCCGAGAGCACTCCGGGGGTGTCCAGGTCGCCCCGAGCGGCCGCAGGAGAGCCGAGTTCTGACCCGAGAGCCCGGAGCAACGTTGGGGGGAGGTTAGGCTCAGGGGGGGCGCATCGAGGGTAGCGCATCGACCCCCACTCGCTCGTGCACATCGCCGAGGGGGGACTGATGGCCAACCCCGCCCAGGATCGTGCAGATTCGCTATCGGAGCACATCGCCGACCGATCGGAGATGTATCGCCGATTCCATCTCGATGTTCCCCCCCGCGCCAGTCCTCCCCTATCGTTGTCACCCATCCTGTCTCAGCAGAGACGGATTACCACGACGCCAAGTGATCCTGCAAGTTCAGAAGATAGGTTGGGCTCGCTCGGACGAGCGCCATGCCAACATGAACCGCGGTGACACACCTGATGCCTTGATGTCATGCGCATCCCGCGCTCACAGGATGGATGGCTGGTCGCAGACGTTGGATCAGTTCCAGCAAGAGAACGCTTCCATCCTCCAGGATTCCTGCAGCACGGGTTGCTGGGTGGCCTGGGCGCACGTCAGACCCACCTTGCAATGGTACGACCGACAATGGTACGGAAACGACGGGGACGGATACCGACAGCACTTGTTGTCCATGTCGTTGTTTGTGTCGCCGCTGACGCTGCCCAGTTCAAACGGAAATGCGCCTGCCCAACAGCCGCCGCTGTCGTTTTCGGACGACGTTTCGTTGCACACCCATTTCGGTCGTGGCATGTGCAGTGTTTCTGTATACACAGTCGGAGCCGACTTGTATTGGGGAAGAGTGGGGGGAAGGATTCCAGTGATTGTTGCCAGAAACTACGAGGCTGTGTAGACTCGCCCGCGAAGTGACAAATATCGAAAACTACGAGGGTGTCAGATATGGTACCAGTTACTTTGGGAGCTATGAACCAGATCCGATCCCTGCTGTTGCGTAGCACGATGCGTGATAAATCGCGCAGGAACGAGCCGCACATCTCGATGTTTGGTCTGAGTATTTCTAGTCTGGTCGATAATGGTTTGTCCTGTCTGGAATGTTGCTCGCGAGCCTGTCATGTTTTGTTGCGATCAGACTATATATGTTTAAGTCCTCTCTGGCTTGTTTGTGCGCCAGCTTCAGATGTAGGTCTAAGACGGCGCCGATATCCTGTGCCTCCGGTACTTCTATCGTGGTTCTGAATTGCATGTGTGTCTTGTTAGCAGCGGTGCTACCGTTGATACGAAGGGGTGTTTTGATTACATGAATGCGTCATTGTGTCAATGATCCCGCACCCAAACATCTTTATAATCAGCTGGACTGTTGATCAGTTGTGCTGCTCAAGGCGGTCATCAAAGCGTCGTGGATATATTATGGTGCCTTGTCTTACGGTACGTCCGTTTGGCTTTGTCGTTATGTTGAGCCAGCCCTGGAGGCGTGTTTGGTTTTCAAATTTTCACGTGCCGCTGTCGGTTCGAACTAAATTGTTTGAATAGGACACCCCCGAAAGTGGACGTGAAGCAGGCGGCAATGTAATATCACGCATTCAATATATTGATACATAGCGCATTGCAAACGGAAAGGCATAGGGGCAAGTGGGCAACGGAGCGAACCAATGCTTGAAAACATGACACGCACGGCGCCAGCATAACACAGCACAATTGACTTCACGTAGTAAGTGCACCCGACGTTTTTTTCAAGTTTGCAGGACTTCTGCACTCGAGTGAGCATGTTTGCCACTGTGGACCACAACAAGTGCGTTGTTTGACTGTGGAGGTCGAGTATATGCTGTGGGGGCAGTGCAGCGCAGGGCATGGTGTACAATTGTTGGGTGTGAGCTATGTGTTGCAAGCTCTGCGGTGCGAGCCATGTGGTGCAAGCCATGCTGTGCAAGCTATGTGGTGGGAACTGGGTGATGTGAGCCATTTGGCGTAACCCACCTGGCGTGCGCCATGCGGTGTGAACCATGTGCGGCGACGGACGGAAGCGGGGCCGCCGGGCCCGCAGTTTGGTTTCAGATTTGGAAGAATGGGGCCGCGACGGACGGGAACGCAGCCGCTGGGCCCGCATACGGGCCCAGGTCCTTAGATGGAGTGTAGTAGCCTTTGAGTGCAGTGCAAGAGCTGCTCGGGAAGTTTGATCGTAGTATTCAGCCGCGGACCCCGCACGGTGATATTTCACCATCGTCGCAGTGCGGTATAGGAAGTGCAATCCGCGCGGTGCGACCTACAGGCTCAGAAGTGTTTCTCCGAACGCCACGCCAAGGCCCGAATAGCGCCCCGAAGACAATGAAATGCTTCCGCGCCCGATCCCGGCCGCATCAGCGGGAGCGCTGGACAACCCCCCTTGTCAGAATTCTCACCAGGCTTCCGCCTGCTGTGGGGGAGCCCTGGGGGTGTCCATTCCTTTAATTCGAATTTTCTTGAGGAGAGTGGATGGAGCCTGGTTATGGCGACTCTGCATGGGACGTCCTCAAAATCTGTCTGGTTTGGCCCCTGGTTTGGCCGCGCGCCCCGCCTGAGGCATCCTCAGGATCCGCCTGGTTTGGTCCCTGGTGTGGCCTGGTTTGGGCTTGGCTTCGCTTGAGACATCCTGAGAAGTCGACTGGTTTGGCCCTGGGTTGGCCTGGTTTGGCCTGGTTTCGCCTGAGGCATCCTCAAACATTTGTTTGTTTTGGTCCTGGCGTGGCCTGGTTTGGGTCCACTTTCGCTTGAGACGTCCTCACAAGTTGGCTGGATTGGCCCTGTTTTGGCATGGATTGGGCCAAGTTTCGGTTGAGGCGGTCTCGCAAGTAGTTTGGGTTTGCCCTGGGTTGGCGAGGTTTCGGCTCCGTTCCCCTCGAGCCTCTTCACAATTTGCGGTGATGATTTGAGCTAGCATTTTGCATTAGAGACACCATGGCAATTTGGCCGGTCCTGGGTGTAGGCGAAGATGGTTCCAAGAAGCCTCCGCGAAGCGAAATATCCACGAAGATGATTTGCATGGTCAAAGTAACATCCGTTTTTTCGGGCGCCATGCGGTCTCAACATAAGGATGTGCCACGTGTTCTTCGACACTAAATGGATCATTGGCAGACGTCGTGGTGGGTGCGTACGAGCCGAATTATTGGCACAAACAATACCCATCGTGGTCCACATTCAACGGGCTGGCGGAGTGGGCGCGGACATTCCCAACACGTTCTGGATCGAAATGGGCGTGTGCGCCGGCGATGGGAGAATCTTTCCGAGATTGTATGTGGTGCAGTCCATGCTGAGCAGTTTATGTGGCACAATGCAATGTAAAGCAAAGCAATGCAAAGCCATGCAAAACAATGAAACGCACTACAAATCAATGCACAGAGATGCAAAACAGTGCACCGTCCTGCAAAGCCACGCCAAGCCCTGCAAAGCAAAGCAGAGCCATGCAGGGCAACGACACGCACTGCAGCGCCGTGCAGAGCAATGCGAAGCGACGCGCTGCAATTGCAGTGCGACGCAGAGCAGTTCAACGCAGCGCAAAGCAGACGGAACGCCCTGCGATCGCGACGCGATTGCATTGCAGCGCGGCCACAAAGCAATGCGCTGCGATTGAGGCGCAGTGCGCTTGCAATGCCATGCGCGGGGGGGTGCCATCGGGTCGGCGGCGAGGGGCGCGGGCACGGGGCCGCAAGGCGGGCTCGTGATTTGGAGGAGTGGTGGGGCGACGGACGGGAGCAGGGCCGCCCGGGGCCGTGAACGGGCCCAGCTCCATAGGAGCGAAGCAAGATTTTTTCTCCTCCTCATGCTCCCCCTCCTCCCCCTCCTCCTCCTCCTCCTCCTCCTCCTCCTCCTCCTCCTCCTCCTCCTCCTCCTTATATTGGCAGGTTCTCTAAGTTCGAATGCTCAGCACCACTTCTGACTTCTTCCTGATCTTCCACTACTTCCCCTCGGGATTCATGCTACATCCTTGTTGTATCATACCGGGCTTTCCGCTCATCTTTTGTTATGTCTTTTGAGTTTGCAGTTTCTGTCGTTCTTCGTGGTGCCCACATGATGAGGAGGATGATGATGATGTTGATGCTGATGATGATGCTGATGCTGATGCTGATGCTGATGCTGCTGATGATGATGAGGCCGCTTCATGTTGCAGTAAGTCACCTATGTGATCACGAAAATGTTGCAGTTGCTGGTCAGTGATCATCTTTCCACAGAGGATGGCGGCCTGAAGACGCTGGCCAGAATGCGTTAGTCCTTCTGCGATCGGACCTGTCGATGCGGAGCCCCAAGGGGACACAGAGTGGCAAACTGGGCCGGCACAGAGGCGCACCTGATCTGACATGCTGCAGTGGCGCCCCCCCGCCCGGAGAAGTGCTCGTTCTCCGTGGGGAGGTGCGTCCAGCCACACATATCCCTGGAATTCGACCTCCTCAAGGGTCGGGGGCCGTCTTTTGCGCCGCCTGGTCCACCTCCTCCTGCCGCCTCTGGCCCTCTCCCTCAACCTCCACACCCTTATCCCTCCCCGCACGCGGTCGAGGGCAACTCCATGTCATCGGCGTCACCCCAACATACTTATACTGTATGTCGTCGCCCCCCCCCAGTGGCGACGCGCGCACCGAGAAATCTTATGGTATGTGCGTCGTGTTCTGGCTACACCGTTCGGGAAACGATATACCACAAGATGTGTGTACTATATGTTTGGGTCGGACGCGCGCCTCCAAGGAGGACATGTAGTATTAGCTTGTCCCTGCGCGTCCCATGTCAGCCGCTTGCCACGCGGAGCGGGCCGTGGCGGCCTGTCTTGCCAGTCCTTCCCCGTGCTGGGCCTCTTCGCACGCGAGTCCGCCCGCCCTCGCGAGTCCGCCCGCGCGGTGGCGCGAGCCCCCGCGGCCCGGCTCGGCTCCCTTGCTTTGGCCTCCGACCGCTCTGGCGGGCTTCCGCATCGACCGAGCCCGGATCGCCGCTATCCTCTTGGATGTCGTGGGTGGACAGACCTCCTACCCCGACACGTCGGTTAACGAATTGGCAGTTTTCGGTTCGCGAGAGGGCGTCGCGGCCGTCCCTTTTGCGGGTCCAGGTCCGTCGGTTTCGGTCTTAGGCCGTTTTCACTAGAGGGTGGTTTACGAAGGGAGGTTTGCCCACCGCCGATAGATGGGGTCCGAGTAATTGGGGTCCGAGCCCAAGGGGCCTCCCAGATGGGGTCTGAGCAGATGGGGTCGGAGGATCGCTCCGCATCGACGATGTATCGGAGACGCAGCTCGATGTGGAGCCCGTTTTTCTCCGTGCTCACGTCGCCGATGCATCACCGAAGCATCGCCGACGCATCGCCGATGCATCGCCGATGCATCGGCCATGCGGCAATATTCTCCGACCCCACCTACTCGGACACCCTTTCAAAGGATGTCCGAGTAGGTGTGGTCTTAAAAAAGACCGGCTGCGCGAGTTGACACCATTTTCGGACACCAGTTCCAAAGACACCCTTTGGGAGGGCTTTCTTCTCGCAGCCGGCCGTTGTCCCCTGAAGCCCTGAGGCCCCCCCCAGGAACCAGGCCGCTCAGAGAGCGGAAGCTCAGGGATACACCCCCTCCAGTGGGGCTCTCGTCGGGCGCACCCCCTGTCGAGGGTGGGCGCCCCTCCCAGCACGTGTCCCCGCGTTCGGCCCTATTTTTTTTCTTCGCTGGGCCCAGCCGAAGACCACACACAGAGACGGGGAGCTGGGGTCTCCATGGCCCCCCCCCCGTGGCTGTCTCTGTGCGCACCAGGCGCCCGCGCCTCCCACTGCCGCCGCCTCTCGTGCCTCTTGGCCCCGGCTCGCGCCCGCCGCCTCCGTGCGCACGCGGCCCCGCCCCCCGCGCGTCCTCCCACGCCGGCCGGCCGTGACGAGCGCGCGGCTGACCAGCGCGTAGCCGAGCGCTCGTTGCTCCAGAGTCTGGGCTCGAGGAGGTTTTTGGCGTGGTTCCGTCTCTGGGGGCCTTGCTTCAAGCTGGCCGAAACATGACCTTCAACACCGAAATCTAGGATCCTCTTCCCCCTGTGGAGGCAACCCCTTGTGTTGGTGCTGGTAGCCATTTCCAGGCCTCCAAATCCCGCCCCCCTTTTGATCGACGTTCCTCGGGCCCCATGCACCGTCAAACACAGAGCCGGAGTGAAAAACACTGCGCCAGATTGACCCCGGGGAGGTGTCGGGGCACCTGTGTTGACTGGATATTCGCCTGCATTCCGCCCCCTCCTTTTGATCGATTTTTCCTCGGGGCCCATGAGCTCAGAGCCCCCCTTGCCGCCTCGATGGGTGCTTCTCCCTAGGCACGCCCGCTCGCCTCTCCCACCGCCCCCACCACTCGTGCCACGGCGACTGCACCGGGCCTGCGGAGGAAGAAAGTGCGCACGGGCTCGGCAGCCAATCGGGCCGAACGAAAGGGGGGGGATAGGGAAAGGGGGGGTTACGAAATCTGCTGCATGCAGCTGGTTTTGGCCCCGCCGCATTCCTCGATACATGGGCGCCGGGAAAATCAGCTACGTGAGCTGATTCTCTACCCTGCCCTTTGCTCCCCCCTTTCGTTCCCCCCGAGCCAATCATGGGGGCCTCGCATGTCCTCGCAATTCCGTCGTTGATCGGCGTGCGGTAGCGTCTGGTAGTCGATGAGGGCTCGCTGATTTAGCGTCGATCTAGCGTCGATCAGCGCGGACTAGCGTCGAGTCGCGTCGGCCAGCGTCGGTTAGCGCCGGTTCGCAGGAGCCAGCGTACGATGCCATGGGAGGCTTCCGTGAGTTGCCGCAGGGCACGGGCCTTCGCGCCCGCGTTCTGGGGCGCTCTCCGCCATCGCCTCTCGCGGCGACGAAGTACGAAGGGTGTGGTTACGCGGGGGTGTGGTTTGCGATCGGCGCCGTTGAGGCCTACGGTGGGGACGACGCTGTCCTCGTCGGGGCTCGTCGGTGCGCGGCGGAGAGCTCTATCGAGGTCCCCACCCGCCCCCCAGGGTGCCCCCCGGCGTGCGCAGACCACACCCTTCCCCCCCAAACATGCGGTGTCTCCACTTTTGCAAAACGCGGTCCCCGGAAGCCCCGACCCCGGCCTTTCCTGGGACCGGCTCATCCCGAGTCGTTTTTTGACGGTCCCGGGGCCCGGCAAGGGCCCCCAGAGGCCGACAACGACAGAAATTGTTCGTATTGCTTGTTTTGTTACGACGCGAGTATGTCTGGGCCCGAGTCTCCGGTTCCCGTGCGCAGCTCTTCGGGCGCCCTCCGCCCTCCGCCTTGCCGGGCGGCGCAGGAGCACGGCATATCTTGCAGGCACCTGGTCACCTACGGCCTGCTGCGCGGGCTGCTGGAGCGCATCGGCAGCTGCGACCAGGAGCCGCGTCCGGGCGGCGCGCCGCGCCATGGCCGGAGGCCCAGAGGAGGAAAAGGTGCCCATACCGCTACCCTCGGGTTGCTTTCCCTTGTTTGGGCCTCCTGGGAGGCCCTTGTCGCCGCCGCCGGATCTCGCGGAGCTCCGAACGGTTCTGTCTATGCGCTGTCCTCTTCTTCTCTGCGCGCTTCGGCTCTGTCTGCCCTTCTCTGTCCAGAATGCTCGGGGGGTCTCTGCGGAGTGCCAGGGGGGGGCCCGAGAGGTTCTCAGGGGGAAGGGGGGGAGGAAGAGGCGGAGAGGGCGGAAGGGGCATAGGGAGTGAGGGAGGGAGAGTAGGGGGGAGGCGGAGGGGGAGGAGGAGGCGGAGGGGGAGGCGGAGAGGATGAGGCGGAGAGGGAATGCGTGGGGAAGGGGATTCTGTGAAGTGCCAGGGGGGAAGGGGGAGGGGAGGGGGGAGAGCATGGGGCGGAGAGGGAGGGAGAGGGCCGGGGGGCATGGAACGCAATGCAGCACACTGCCCCCTGCAAGAGGCCATGCAGCAATGCAGTGCAATGCAAGGGCTGAGCCCTGGCCCACACCTCCCAACGGAGGTTCGGACGCTGGAGGCCGCAGACGCTGTGGCCTCGCTCCAGGGAGGCTCCGCCGAGGGTGAGCGACCGCGGGGCGGCAGAGCGGGGCCGCGGGCGCGGCCAGGGCGGAGGGCCGGTACGGGCCGAGGTGGCGGCCGCACCGCCTGTGTAGCGCCCACGCGAGGGGAAGGTCAGCGCCCCTTCGTGAGGGGCAGGGGAGCGGGAGACCTGGCGGGAGGGGGGGAGAGGGAGTGAGCCCGTGCTCCTGCACTGCCCCTCGCCCCTCCCCCGTCTGCTCCCCGTGCTCCGACGAAGGCCAGCGGGGCGAGGGTGGAGGAGGAGGAGGAGGAGGAGGAGGAGGAGGAGGAGGAGGAGGAGGCATGATGAGGCATGATGAGGAGGAGGAAGAGGCATGAGGAGGAGGAGGAGGAGGAGGAGGAGGAGGAGGAAACGGAGAAGGAGGCAGGAGGCAGTTGGGTGACGGAGGGGGAGAGATGAGAAGGGTGAGGACGAGGGAGAAAGCCAGGAAGGGGGGGTGAGGGCGGGGTTGAGGGGGGCCACCGGGGCGAGGAGCTGACGCACCTGGAGTGGCGGGAGCTGGAGCGCCTCAGGAAGGACACCATCCCGCGCCGCAAGAACGAGATGGTGGCGCGCGGCATGCCGATCAACCAGGTGAACAAGGACCGCGGGGCGCTGCCAGCCCCTCTTGCTGTCACGTCTGGTCGCTTGTGTTGAACTCTACTTGTACCCATGCGGTTGACGCTCTCCATCCGCATGCCGACCTCGCAACTTTGCGTTCGCCAACGCGTCGTGTCGAAAGCACGGGCGAGCGAGCGAGCTCTGGCCTTTGTGGGCCCTGGAAACGGTAGGGCCGTTTTTACACCGTTTCCAAAAAATGTCCATTGAAAATGGAAACGGCAAAAAAACGGCCACAGAAAACGGCAAAAAAACGGCTCCAGGATCGGAATTGGAGCCGGAACCGGTCAAAAAACGGCGACGGAACCGGTAAAAAAACGGCGTCGGAACCGGCAACAAAAACGGCAAAACGGAACCTGTGAAAAACGGCCCTGTCGTTTCCAGGGCCCACTAAGGCTCTGGCACGACATGTCATGACCACGGCCCAGTCCCCAAGCGTCCACGTCCCGAGCGCTTCCTGGCCTCCCTCCTCGCGGAGCGGAGCGAAGCGCTATCCTTTCGCAGGGCATGGCCTGTCGCCAGGGCCGCCGCCGCGACATGCTCAGCAACAGCTCCTGACCACAATACGAGTGCAGCGGCTTTCCAAGGCTTTCCTTGTATAATCGGCCTCTCTGGTAACCGTCGCTGCGTCCCCGCCGTCGGCGCTGCTGGCCGCCGCCAGCGCCGGCGACGGCGCCGGCGAGGGGGGGGGAGGTTTGAACGCCCCCCACTCTTATTGCATGGAGACCAGGTGAGCATCTCAGCACCAGAGGAAGCCTCGGCCAATATCGTTTACCCCGTCCTGGGGTAAGTGCTCGGTCGGCGGGGCACCCTCGCGGTCTCGCGCCCTGGCCTTGCCCGTCCTCATGTTGCGCGGCCAGTGTTCGTTTCCGCAGGGTTCGCGCACCGAGCACGGGGCTGCCTGTCCCCATGCTGTGGGGCGGAGGCGCTGGTCTGCTCGTCTGTCGATCGCTCCCGCTCCCACGCGGTCTCTCTCTCTCTCTCTCTCTATTTCTTCTCGGGTCGCACGGCAGGGGGGGATAGGGGATAGGGAGGGAAGGTGTCGGGGGGGTGTACGATATTTGTCGCGTGCAGCTGGTTTCGGCCCCGCCGCCGGGCGCTTCCCTCGACACAGGCGCCAGGGGGCGCCTGGCAACTAAAGCCAGTTGCGTGAGCCGATCCGCCCGGACCCCTCCTTCACTCTTCCCTTTCCCTTCTTCTGGAATGCACCTGCTGGGAGCTTAGTTCTGAATCGGCGCTGGAGTATCCCTGGTCGAAAACTGGCTCGATCTGGTTTAATCCCGCTCGTTACGATTAATACCGGTCAATCTGGCTTGATACCGTTCAATTCGGGTTATATCTTGTGTTTTTATCCGGCCTGATCCGGCTCAGTGGCTCCTGAATCGGGTTAATTCGCCCTAGTAACCATTATGACAAAGACCTCCCATGAGATGCCTTTTAGTTTCTTTCGCCCCGACCCCGATCTTCAAACACCCGTGCCGTGATAGGGCCAGGACGAGGGTAAATCGGTCCCAGAGCGTCCCAGAACGCTCGCGGAGTGCTCGGGAATGCTTCGCGAAGGACGCGTCGCCCGAGGCATCCCCCCAGAGTAGCCGGATCTGAGGTCAGAGATGCTCATTACCACCAAGACAGGAAAAACCACCCGGCCCGGTTCGATTGGCGTTTACTAAACGGCCTTGGGCGTTTACTAAACAGCCCTGCCCTGTTTGATTCCTTCTCTGGGTTTGTTTACTAAACGGCGTTGCGTGTCGGGGTGGTTATTCTCGGGGTGGATTCTCTGCCCCCTGCCTCCTCCTGCCTTCGTCTTGCTCGGAAGTCCTGTCGCCGGGCCCCGGTCTTTACAAGCGGCCTCCGTATGCCGGGCGGCCCCCGCTCCGCCAGGGCGAGGCTCCGTTCCCCAGGGGAGAGACCGGCGGCCTCTGTTCTCGCCGCCGTCGGCCTCGATGCGTTGGGCGCATCTCTTCTGCGGTGAAGTCGGGCCTGTCCCTCGACAGGAGGGATATGCAGAAATAGTAAAAAAAATGTCTGGGGACGATTTCTTGGGTAGGTTTTGGTATTGTGGGAGCATTTTCTGAGTATGTTCTGCGTTTCGCCCAAAATCCCCTTGTAGGGGGGGGACAGGCCCGACTTAATTCTGCGGCGGAGAGAGCGCGCGGAAGTCAAACGGGGGCGCCCCCGCCAGCGGAAGCTCAGCGGGGGGGGAGGTACCCTTCTGGGCCTCCTGGGAGGCCCTCGCCGCCACCGCTGGATTCGCCTCGAAGTCGAAGTTCTGGTCAGGACGCACCCCATGGAGAGGTCCGGGGAGCAGCGGCATCGGTACCTCTTGGTTTCCCCCGAAGAAACGGGGGCTGTTCCGCCGGCGGAAGCCGGCGGATCCAGGGAGGCTACTCTTCAGGAGGGAAAAAACACACAGGCACAATTGATCGTTGAGAACCCGAGAAAATATGGGAAAACATGAGAAGTGTGGGGGGAAGACAAAAACCAGAAAATATCAGAAAATCTGGGGAATCTTGTTATTTGTGTGTATTCACTTGTGTGTCCCAGGGCCCCTTCAGCTCTCGCTGCGCCGCTCTCGCAGTGGCGGGGGTGCCGCGGGGGCAGGACGGTAGGTAGGCTCTCCTTCCAGCACGCGGTAGTGCAAGCCGTCGTCCGCCTCGCGCGTCTTCGCGGGCCCTCGCGCATGGATTACAGGCACGATGGTGCCGCGATGGCGGTAAGCATCCAGCTAGCCAGCTAGCCCCTCTCAAGCAGTGGCGAAGCGTCCTGGCGTGCTTATCGTCCTACCAAACAAGGTTCTAAGAACCTTTTGTGGTTTCCACGAAATGTTCATAGAACATTTCTGTCTGGGACTGTCTTGTTTGTCACATCGGGATTACGTTCTAAGAACATTGTTTTTGTTCCTCGAGCATTTTTGGGTTCTACAAACATTCCGTGGTAGGACTATAGGAATGCCGGGACGGTCGGTCCCTGCTCACTGTTCTGGCAATCTCCCGAGCTTGACGCAGCAGGGGTAGTGCGAACCACAAAAAAAGGGTCGGCCGAAATAATCATTGCCTCGTGATCACCAGACACCCCCAAAATCAGATTCTTCTGATAAATTTTGGTGTCCGGCGCGCTGGCGCGCTCGGCGGCGACGCGCACGCGCGCAATTGTCGAGCTCGTGTGGCTTGCATGTCGGTGCTGTCACGGGCACGGCGGGGTAGTGCATTTCCCTCGCTCCAGGTTGATCGCGGAGGGAAATCATGACATATATTTGTATATATTTGTTTGGGACGGTGCTCCCAACATCTGGCATTCAGATTGCCCCTGTCTGAAACTCAGATTGCCCCTGTCTGAAATTCAGATTGCCCCCCCCCCCGGGGACTCGGGCGAGCCCGTCTGCTTGAGACTTCTGCTGATAGATTATTCAGATTGGCCAGGTCTGAAATTGAGATTGGCCTGGTCTGGAATTCAGATTGGCCCGGTCTGAATTTCCGATCGCCTTTGTCTGAATTTCAAATGTGTTGCTTCCGCGTGGTCGAATTCTTTGGTTTGGTGCCGCTGCCCTTGGGACGGACGTGGTTGACGTTTGCTCTCCTGCGTGGTTGCGACATGGGACATGAGGATGCTGTTGCACGTCTGTTAAGGTAGCTGGCGCTTGAAGCCCCCACGTGCCCTTAGACGTGGCCCGCCTTGCGGATTCGAGCCAATGAGAGGTCGATGTGTCGTGGTTGGGGGTGTCTGGTGATGACCACGTAGTCAAACAAGGAATGCGCCTCCACAGAGCTGGCCAAGGCTTCCAGTCCAATGTATCCGGAGTTTGGCGGCGAAATCGGAGCCCTATTTCCGCGGTCAGCAATTCAGACAGCTCGATGGGCGGCGGGGGTAGGTTTCGGAATTCGTCGAACGCGTGTCTAATTCCGAACCCTACCCCCGCCTCCCATCGATTCTAGTTGGTGGGTGCAGGGTATGGGGTCGGATGTCGCCACCTGTCGGCCACGCGCAGAGTGAAGTAGGGGGAAGGGGGCAGGCTTCTTAGAATCGTCCCTGCTTCTGAGAAGGCGCGGGGCCTTGCCTTTGGATGAGAGGCCCGCGTGGGATGAACGTGTCCGGCTGGCACCGAGGGTGGGATGGCCTGTGCCTCTCTTCTCGTCACGAACGAGTCGAAATGGGTGCGGAAAATATGGTTACGAAGCTCAACAGCAGTTCTTGCCTATTTTTGACAGGACTCGCGGTCCGCGCCGCCGCGGAGGTTGTCCATTTGAGACAGGGGTTGCTTGCCCAGCAGCGGCCGCTATCGGTCTCGGATAATATATGTTATTGGGCATCGTGCCAGTTGTGATGTACGAATTTCGGGCGTCTAAATCCTCCCCCGGAGGCGGCCAAAGGCGGGGGGTGATGGTGACTTGTGCGTCATGTCAGCGTCGCATAACATAGCCGCAGAAGGTCTCTGATGCTCCCAGGGGCTCGACCCCAACTAGACTACAGTCGGGTCGCTGAAGAAGGAACCTTTTTCGTTGGGGAGGGGCTCCGTGTTCCTCAATTGTTTCACAGTTGACCTCAGGTTTTCCTTATTTTTCGATGGGGAATCGAAGTTATCGTATGGAAAAACAGGGGCCTCGTTCCTTATTTGGGGTTCCTTAGGTCAACGCCCAGGCTGTAGCCCGCGCAACTTTTTGTCCCCAGTATTGGAGGGGAGTTGAAGACTTTTTGCGGTGACAGTCGAGCAGATGATGAAGAACCCCCCCGAAGAGCCGGGCCAGCGTTTCTTCACCAGTTTGGTGGGAAGCTGGCCCAGTCTCTTGAGCATATTCGCCCCTGGAGCAGTGCAGACAGAACCGGGCCTGGGCTTTTTGCTTTCAGAGACTTCGGGAGGCTGGTCCAGAGTTCTTAAATCATGCTCTGATCATAGGTTCGTCTGTCTGTATTCGTTTGCAGCCATGGGTCAAGGCTCGTGTATTAGCGACGGGTCGCGCTTCCACACCAAGTCGACGCGCTCCGTCGCCAAATCAGGTGGCACTGGTGTCACGCGACGAGGTGTAGTCCTCCCGATCCGTGGATCTTGCGCCTACGCGACAGATCCACGGATCCCTGATCCTCGTGGGCGATGTATTCGCGGGGTCGCGGCCAGGGGCCCCCTGGTCGCGACCCCGCGAGTATGGAGCGTTTTTTGGCAAGTGCTCCGCGCGGAACGTGTCCGTGCGAACGCGTACCCGCGGGATCGCGCCCCAGAATCCAGACCGCGAGGGCGCGGATTCTAACATGTTCGCCGGTCATGGCCTATCCCCATCCCCACCTGGGCATGGTATCTCGGAGCGACCATGCCACCCCCCAGTTGGGATGGGCCCCTAGGGGAACAGCCTATGTCGCCGTCGCCATCTAGTGGGGTACATCGGCCAGTGGGGCCAAGGCCATGTCAGTGGGGACGGGGATCGTTTGAGCGATGCTCAGTCGAAGGGGGAGGGGGAAGTGCTCGTTGGCTCTTAGGGGTGTTCTCACCTCGGGATGCTTTCCAGAATCCGCGCCTCGTCGAGAGCTTTCATCGCCCCGAACAGCCGCCAACTGCCAGAGTTGAGACCCGAACGCCACCATGCGTCGAAGAGGAAGGTGGCGGTGGATATTATGGCTAAGTAGGGCCGTGAGATCTCTCTAGGAATCCACGGCCACATCTTTTCATTTCGATGCGTTCCTTGGCCCATTCTGGGCCGCGGACGTGCCTCGGGCCATGATTTGCAACCCCCCCTTGTGGACGCTCCCCTTGGACGCCCCCCTCTCGTCCTCCAAAGATCTCCTCTGGGGCATTGGTAGGGGGGGATACGCTCAGGGGGGGATGCATCAGCCCCCGATCGCGCATTGATCGCCGATATGGGCTCGCTAGCCCACCCCACCCAGCGCGGTTTCGTATGGTTTGGCGTTATCAGGGGCCTGTCGCCGATCTACTGGCGAGGTATCTCCGAGGCATGCTCCATGTTGCCCCCACCCCCTTGAGCGGGTGTCCTCCTCTCGCTGCCCCGCGTCCTCCCCAGACCTCCATCGCTCTGGTTCTCTGGCTGGCCCCTTGGATGTCCTGTGGTTGTCCGTGGGACTCCCGTGTCGAGACAGAGAGACATGAAGGCCGCTTGACATAGAATGAGACAGACAGCTACATGTATGAGTTGTAAACATCAAGCGGCATAGGTAGTGAGACGAGCAGATCGTGAGACCGATTGGTACGTTGATGGTTCGTGGGGTCCGTGGGTAGACGTTGAGATCGATAGATAGAGTGAACGTTCGATAGAGATCGATATCGGTAGATTTATGTATCGAGATCCCGATCTGACGCCAATCGCAACCGATACTTGTATCCCCCATCCATTCTTTTCATTTCCCGAAGACTGATCCCATGGGTAACACTTGAAAGACAGCTTGCTGGATCGAAAGACGGGTCGATCGACATTGTGGCAGCGCGGTCGATGCATAGATAGAGTGACCGATGCATACTGATGCTTCTCGATTCCGATCCACAGCCAGTCGCAAAACGAAAGTTGCACCCAATGGGTGGTCATACGGGTAGTGTGTTTGCAGGCTCCTGTGCAGTTGCAGCTGCATGTGCAAGGGCGTAGCTTTATATTCGGGATAGGGGAGAAGGAGGAGGAAGAGGAGTTCACCACTCCTTTCCTCCGTATCGCTGTACTGAGAGTGTGGTCCCTCCTCCCTTGTCTTACCATACGACGGACTGTATACAATGAATGTTTCCGACGTCGCGGATGCCTGCCCCCAGGGCGTCTGGAAAAGTTTCTACCCCTGGCGCCGTAGGGGTATCATATTTGCAGCCGCCCCAGGAGCAGGCGTCCCCGTCGGCGGAACAAAAATCACGTCGCACCGCTCTTCGCCTCCTAATTCTCTTCGGCGGCACATCCTAGCAGCCTCGTGAACCCACGTCCTTCTGTCTACAGTGCACCATCGTCGATCCGCGTCGGGCAATCGATGGATCCCCCCGCCCCTCTGGCCACTCCTCGTGCCCAGCCCTCGGGCCGCTCGCTCTTGCCGCCGCGCGCTCCCGCGGGCGCGCGGTGTGCGTGGCGCTGGGAAGCGGGATCGTCGTGGAGCGCCTGCGCGGCAGGCGGAGGAGCGGCGGGGAGGAGGGGGACCGTGAGGAGGAGGACCGTGACAATGGCGGGGGGACGATCGAACTGGGTACGGGACGAAAGGATACGAAGACCGACAGCATATCCGGTCCATGTTGAACACGACTAGCTGTTGGTGTCGCAGCGGGGGCTGTCCATTCGAGACAGAAGGCCGCCTGCTCGACAGCGGCCGCTGTTTGTTTTAGACGACATTGGTTGCCGGACACCTTATTCATTTCTTTCGTACCCATCGCGGGCATTCGAAATGGCGAGGGTGGGGAAGATGGGGGTGGGGAGAGTGAGAGCGAGGGGGAGGAGGAGGAGGCGGAGGAGGGGGAGGAGGAGGAGGAGGAGGAGGAGGAGGAGGAGGAGGAGGAGGAAGAGGAGGAGGAGGAGAACAGCGACGATGCAGCAGGAGGGTGCGGATGCAGGAGGCAGGGCGGAGGAGGCAGGGCGGAGGAGGAGGAGGAGGAGGAGGAGGAGGAGGAGGAGGAGGAGGAGGAGGGGAGGAGGAGGAGGAGGAGGAGGAGGAGGTTGTTCGGCGCGTGCCGGCGCGCGGGGCCAGAGGACCCGCAAGTCAAGGCGATGGTCTCCCGCATGAACGAACTGAAGGACCGCGAGAAGCTGGGCGCGGAAGGCCTGTGCACCGCCGCCCCCGCGAGGTTCTGGCCCTCCTGCCGCGCCTCTCCCGCCAGGCCTCTGCAAGCCTTGCGTGGGCATGCCTCCCCCCTCCCCCTCGCCCGCTCGGGCCTCCCTCCAGGCCTCGGGGACGGGGCCCGAGCAGATGGGGCCAGAGGATCGTGCAACATCGCTGATGCATCGGCGACGTGCTTCGATGGGGGAGCCGGTTTTTCCACGCCGATGGCGCCGGCGCCTCGCCGACTTCGCGGATGCATCGCCGACGCATGGGCGATGCATTGGCGCTGCGCCGCGACCCTACGGCCCCGTCTACTCGGACCCCATGTGGGAGGCCTCCACTCCCTCCGCAGGGCCCCGGAGCTCCAGGGCTCGCCCCGAGGAGCGCGCTCTCCGCCGGCGGCGGGTGGCAGCTGTCCGAGCCGCGGGGGTGGGCCTCTCCCCGCCCAGGCCTCTGGCCATGAAGGATAAAGGAACCCCTACCCCCTAGTAACATGGTGAAGACGTGGCTTCACACGTCCCCGTCAGTGCATTAGAGATAGTATGCCTGGGAAGTTTGGTTCGATACACCTGCAGAAGAGATTCCCTGTCCCTACTGTTTCCGGGCCTCCTAACTTAATTTGGTCCCCTCCCAAAGTTAGGTCCCCTCCCGAAGGGTTAGGGGTCCTTTGTTGGTCCATCCTTGGGTTCGCAGAGGAGGTGCGAGTTCGCCCAGGCGCGTGCAGATCCGCGCTCGGGGGCCGATCGGCGACGTCCCGCCGATTCCCACTCGATGTTTCCTCCCCGGAGCTGGTTCCCCCCCACGTTACCCCTCGGTAACTCGCGCACCTGACGGCGGCGACCCGTCTGGGGAGGCGTCTTTTCGCCGTTGCGCTCGCCTCTCTGTCGTGCCTGCAGTTCCCGCACGGTTCCGCCATGCCGGCGCTCGGAGCGAAGAGTCTCCCAAGTCAGACGCGGCGACTGTTTGGCTGGCACCCCTGCCCAAATTCTGAAGCAGGGAATCTGGAATTCCGTTGCAAGCGGGAGAGTATTCGACCAAACCCACGCCAGATTGCATAACATCAGACGAATTTAGAGCCGCCCGTGTTGTTGTTCCTTGGGCGTGTTGACGCGGCGCCCTCGTCGACAGCAAGTTTTGTGCAAATGCAGGGATCGGTGGAAGGGTGAGAAGTCAAACGAAGAAGAAGGAGGAACACTGGGGAAGGAGACGCACGGCGGCGGCCGGAGGAAGGAGCAACGGGCATAAAGTGGAAAGAGGAGGGTCGTCGCACGCAGGCGTGACACGAGGTGTGTTTTGATGGTTCGAGCCGACTCGAGGGAGGAAACAAGGAGGGAGATGCAGCAAGTCGCGGGTGGGAAGCATATCCATACCTCCATATCCACGGCCCCTCGGGCCGCGCTTGCCCTGCGTCCCCATGGACGCGCGTCGTGCTTGTTCGAGAATGCCCCGCGCAGAACGCCGCCATGCGACGGCGTGCCCACGGGATCGCGCCTCGACGTCCAGACCGCGAGGGAACGCAGACATGTTCGCCGATTGTGGGCAATATCTGAGGGAGGACCGAGGCAAGGACGCGCGGCGCAGAAGGGTGGGCGCAGGCCAGGGGTGGCACACGATGAGCACAGGAGGAGGAGGATGAGGAGGATGAGGAGGAGCAGGAGACGGAGGAGGAGGAGGAGGAGGCGGAGGCGGAGGAGGAGGAGGAGGAGGAGGAGGAGGAGGAGATGATGATGAGGAGGAGGAGGAAGAGGAGGAGGAGGAGGAGGGGGGAGGAGGAGGAGGAGGAGGAGAGGAGGAGGAGGAAGATGAGGAGGAGGAGGAGGAGGAGGACGATGAGGACGAGGACGAGGAGGACGAGGAGGAGGAGGAGGAGGAGGAGGAGGAGCAGGAGGAGGAGAAGAGGATTTCAGGACTGGGACGAGGGGCGGAGCCGGCAGGGCAGGAGCACAAGGAACACATGTCCCAGAGGCGCGCTTCGGGGAGAGAAACATGTGGCAATCCAGCGGCACCAGCGGCTCGTCGAGCGGAGAGCCCAATCCTGGCTTCTCGGCGTGCCTCGGGGCGTGCCATCAGGGGGAAGCCGCCGTCAGAGGGGGTTGCCATCAGGGGCGAGGACGTGGAGGGAGGGGAGAGGTGGAGGAGAGGGACGTTCCACTTTGGTAGAGTGATGGCGAGAATGAGCTTGATGATGATGATGATGAGGAGGAGGAGGAAGAGGAGGAGGAGGAGGAAGAGGAGGATGAGGATGAGGATGAGGATGAGGATGAGGATGAAGATGAGGATGAGGAGGATGAGGATGAGGATGAGGATGAGGACGATGATGAGATGAGGATGAGGATGAGGATGAAGCTGCTGATGATGATGATGATGATGATGAGGAGGAGGAGGAGGAGGAGGAGGAGGAGGAACACGGTGGCGACGGGCGATCGGAAGACGAGGGGGAGGTGAGGGGTAGCCTGGAGGTGAGGTGAGGGGAGGGGGCCGTAGGGTTGATGAGTTTTCGCGGCTTGCAGAGTGACAAGAAGGAGGAGAAGGAGAAGGAGGAGGAGGAGGAGGAGGAGGAGGAGGAGGAGGAGAAGGCGGAGGAGGAGGAGGAGGCGGAGGAGGAGCAGGAGCAGGAGGAGCAGGAGGAGGAGGATGAGGAGGAGGAGGAGGAGAAGAAGAAGAAGAAGGTGGAAGATTAGCAGGAATCGTGCGGAGGAGGAAGCGCACGGAGGAGGAGGAGGAGGAGGAGGAGGAGGAGGAGGAGCAGCAGGAGCAGGAGCAGGAGCAGGAGCAGGAACAGGAGCAGGAGCAGGAGCAGGGCGGACAGCAGGTGCACCCTCTTCCCCCGGGAGGAGGAGGACCCCCCAGGGGCCGGGAGGAGGAAGGCCCGTGTCGAGGGCAGCCGGCGCGGATCAAGCGGGAACATCGGGCAGCGGAGCCTCGGGAGCGGGCCACGGCGGCGGGAGGCGGCGGGCCCCGCGGCACCGGGCGCTTCCGCCCCACGCGCGCCCGCCCCCCGCGACGAGGCGCTGCGGCGCAGGAGCCGCTGGCCCGCGACAGCTCCCGAGACTGCCGCGGCCTCGGCGGCCGCGCCGCTGGAGCCCTCGGCCGCCCCGCGGGCCTCGGGCGTCGGGCTCCGCGGCTTCGCTCGGCCGCGGCGCGGCCCCTCTCGTGCCTCGGAGCTCCACGGTCCGTCGGCCCTCTCGGGGGGTGCGGCCTCGGCACCGAGGCCGCGGCCTCGTCGGCGGCGGCCACGGCATCTCGGCCCCTCGGCCCCTCGGCCGCGGCCGCGGCTCAGAGGAGGAACAGATGCCGATGCCCCTGCCCTTCCCTCGTCGCCACGGCTGGCTGTGCTTGGAAGTTCTGGTCATACCGCACCCCAGGCGAGAGGTGCACGGAGTAGCGGTATCGGCGTCTCTTTGTGTAACCAGCGGCAGGTCGTGATCCGAGGTCCGCGCCATCATCACCCAGACATCCGCTGACTTGATTGTTTTTCAGCCCGGGCCCAGAGCTCCCGACCCCTTCCCCGGCGGCTTTTTGTTCATCCCAGATCCATTTCTGATGCTCCTGTGCCCGATCACGGACCCCAGGGGCCAAACTCGATGAGACACGCCCAGATTGAATCAAGTCATATCGTCGGAGATCTGAGAGAGCGCGCTCCACCGCCTCTTCACTGTGGAAAATTCCCACCTCTCTTCCTCTGGAACCTGGGAATCCCCCCCCCGAAAATCCCTCCCCTGCTCGACCCCTCCCCCCCTCCCTTCACCTGGCAAAAACCCCCCTCCCCCCTAACCCCTCCCCCTCCGGAAAACCGAGGGGGGGTCATTACCGGTTCGACCCCCCCTCCTTTACCCTCCAGAAAACCGGAGGGAGTCCCACTCGCCGCCGGCAAACGACTCCGGGGTACCCACCACCGTCCTCACCGCCGCCCTCACCATTGTCGCCACCACCACCATCCCCACCACTGTAGTGTTCCCACCACTGTCCCGACTGTCCCACCAGTGCCCCCACCACTGTCGCACTGTCCCCACTGTCCCCACCACTGTCCCCACCTCAGTCCCACTCCTCACTGTCCCTACTGTCTCCACCACTGTCCCACTGTCCCTTCTGTCCCCCCCGCTGTCCTACTAAGCTGTCCCACTTTTCTCACCACTGTCCCCCCCATGTTCCCACAACTGTCCCCACTGTACCACTGTCCCATTGTCCCACCACTGTCCCCACCACCACCCTCACCACTGTCCCGACCACCACCGTCCCAACCACTGTCCCACTGTCCCCACCAATGTCGCACTGTCCCCACACCAATGTCCCCACCACCACCGTCCCCACCACTGTCCCTCTGTTCCCACCACTGTCATATTGTCCCCACTGTTCCCACCAGTTTCCCCACTGTCCCCACCAGTACCCCCACCAGTGTCAAACTGTTCCCACTGTCCCCACCACTGTGCCCACCACGGTCCCACTCTCCCCACTGTCCCGATTGTCCCATCCACTGTCTCAATGTCCCTCCTGTCCCCACCACTGTCCCCACCGCTGTCCCACTGTGCTGTCCCACTCACCACTATCCCCACACCACTGTCCCCACCACCACCGTCCAAACCACTGTCCCCACTGTCCCCACCACTGTCCCACTGTCCCCACACCGCTGTCCCACCCACCACCGTCCCCACCACTGTCCAACTGTCCCCAGCACTGTTCCACTGTCCCGAGGTGCGAGAGTCGTTTGCCGGCGGAGGGGGGGGGATTCGAACCGGTAGCGACCCCCCCCTTTTCATGATGGACTGGGGGGGGCGGGGGGTCGAGCTGGTAGTGACCCCCCCCCCCGGTTTTCGAGGGGGGGGGACGGGTTGGACCCCCCCGTGACACCCCTCGGTTTTCTGCCAGCGGCCGCTCTCTCGGAGATTTGGGTACCACCCTTCTCCGCCCCCCTCGGCTCAGGAGCGAAAGGAGCACGTGCACTGATATCTTCTTTTAAGAGAAACTCTTTCCCGCGAAGCTGGATCTCACTTTCTTACTGGAAGATGTTTTGGCATGAGTTTTTTCTGCGCACGAACATGAGCCCACGCTGCTCTCGAACAAAAAGTACCCACTGCGCGAACGTTGGTATCACCCTGGGAAGCAATCAGTAAACCCCCCTCCCCCCCCCCCCCCTCATCAGAGGAAATTATAACGCTTCCGGCACCGGGGCCGGGGCGGAAGCGATATCCCCCGCAGGTCACCAGAGGTCCGCGGAGGGGAGGTCCCCAGAGGTTCCCAGGAGGCATCCAGAAAGGCCTCCACAAGCCTCTGAATGCCCGGTCCCCTTGTAGTCCAGAGCCCAGCGACAAGGCACACCTGCCCAGAGTCGCTTCCTGTGATTCTGTGCGTTTCTGTGAGATTCGTCAGAGATTCCTCTGATACTCCGATTGGCTTCTTTTGAGATTCCTTGCCGTTTCCATTGTGATTATTTTGGGGCTCCTTTGAGACTCCTTTTGTGTTCCTTTGATGTTATTCTGGGGGTCCCTTGAGGCTCCGGTCATATCCGTTTGATACCCCATTGCTTAAGAGAGCATCACATCGACATCCGAGACGGTGGATTATTTTATTTTTAGTGCATGTGCTAACATATCGCGGGGGGGTTCGCGGAATCCGTCTGCGATATCTCTCCGTGGACTCTCCCATAGGGTTCCCTGAAATAATCAATTTCCCTAGTGCGGTCGCAATAGGGATTCCTTATGTCCACGCGAACCCGCGTTTTCCAAATTCCTTAGATTTCTTTGTGGTTCGTTTGAGCTGCCGCTTAGATGCCTTTGCGATTTCTGTTGGGCTCCTTTGAGATTGCTTTGAACTTCCATTGGTTCCTTCGATATCGTGCGTGGGATTTATTGTGATATTCTTATGGGATTCCTTTGGGGGTTCTTTCGGGTTCCTCTGACGTTCCTTCGACAATCCCTGAAGGGGGCATCCCATCGACCTCTGACGCCTGTGGATTATTTTAATTTCAATAAATGTGCTAACATATCGCGGGGGGGTTCGCGGAATCCGTCTGCGATATCCCTCCGTGGACTCTCCCATAGGACCCCGTGAAAAAAATCAGTTTCCTTTTTGCGGCCGCAATAGGGTTTGCTTATTGCCACGCGAGCCCGCGTTTTCCAGATTCCTCAGATTCCTTCGTGGTTCGTTTGAGCTGCCGCTGGGATCCCTTTGCGATTTCTGTGGGGTTCCTTTTTGAGATTATTTTGAATTTCCAATCGGGGTCCTTTGAGATTCTGCGTGGGCTTCCTTCTGAGATTTCTCTGGGATTCCTTTGGGTGGTCCTTTCAAGTATAGTTGCTTGCGGTGATTTCATTGTTTGTCATTTTTGATTTACCTTTGATTTCCGATGCGCGTCAGTTTCCCAGTGTTCTAGCAAGGCGGGAACCCATTGGCAAGCGTTCGTGCGCGTTGGTTCTTCAGGCTGTCGCCTCGCGTTGCCGCCAGCTTCGGGCCCGGGGGGGGCAAATTAATTCATTAATTATTTTATTTTATTTTTTATGTGCTAACGATATCGCCGGAGGGCGCCGCCCAAAATAATTATTTATTTTTTTCTGTGCTAGCGATATCGCCGGGGGGGTTACTGTTTGCTTGCCAGGGTCAATCCATCGTCGATTCCCTCAGGAAAGATGGGAACATATGGGAAGTGGGGGGAAGACAAACACCCAGAACATATGCGAACATATGGGGAATCCTTTTATTAGTGTCTACTTATTTGTGTGTCCCAGGGCCCCTTCAGAGGCTGCACTCGCGGACTGGGAGGCGGTATTCGTGGTTATGCGGTTGGGCGCGTGCGTGCGCTGTGTGGGTTCCCTGCTGACAGCGCCGCGCCCGGTGCGCTCCGCACCGCCAGGGCAGCGCGTGGGGCTCAGGGGAGGGAGGAGGGGGAGGAGGAGGAGGAGGAGGAGGAGGAGGAGGCGGTAGGAGCGGAGAGGAGGAGGAGGAAGAGGAGGGGGAGGAGGTGGAGACGGGAGGAGGAGGAGGAGGAGGCGAGGAGGAGGAGAGAGGAGGAGAGCGGAGGAGTAGGATGAGGGGCAGGAGGAGGAGGAGGAGGAGGAGGAGAAGGGGGAGAGAACGAGGAGCTGGAGGAGGGAAAAAGGAGAAGAGAGCTGGAGTAGGAGGAGGGGGAGGGGAAGGAGGATGGGGAGGGGGGGCGCGCCAGGGAAGGGGAGCGGCGGGCCCGCCCGCGGAGGCCGCGGCTCCTGCCTCGGTCGTGGTCCCTCCGCCGTGGTGCCTTCCCCGGGCCCGCCCACTCCGCTGTCCTCCTCCCCCTCCTCCTCCTCCTCCTCCTCCTCCGCCGCCGCCCTCGCGTCGCCTGCCTTCTTCGGGCCCTCGCCCGGACTCGCTCGTCGCTGTGCGGCGGAGCGCCGAGGAGGGAGAGCACTCGTCTCCGACCCACGTCCTAAACGGCAGCCCGCCCGCGGAGGGAGGGAGCACTCCGGGTCGGGGCCCCGCGGGAGAGCGGGGCCCTCCTCCTCCTTCCTCCCCCCCCCCTCCCCCTCCCTAACCCTCCTCCTCCTCCTCCTCCTCCTCCTCGTCCTTCCCCCTCCTCCTCCTCCTCCTCCTCCTCCTCCTCCTCCTCCTCCTCCTCGTCCTATCCCTCCTCCTCCTCCTCCTCCTTCTCCTCCTGCTGGGTCTGGGAGTGCTTCGGCCCGTGGCCGCAGTTCTCGTGGCGTGCTCACGCTCACGCCTTGGGGGGAGATGTGCAGCAGCCCTCGGGTCGGCGCTGGGGCCCCTCGCCCGGCGGCGCCTCCTCGCGCCAGGGAGGGGTTTCAAGAGAGGAACCGAAGCACACCCCGACCCCCACGAGTGGCGTTTGCTGGGCGGCCCTGACCGTCGTGGTCGTTCAGACCAAACATGTAGCCGGCGTTGAGGCGAACGCACGCTGCCTGAATACATTGCAAGGCGGGCTCGGGTGAACTGGCGACCGGATTGGGAGATCTCGGGATCTCCCTGTCCCCTTGCGGGTTCTTTCCGTGCTCTTTCACCGCCAGTAACTAGATCCTTCTAGGGAAACGCTCTGAAGGAAGGGTCCGGGGGTCAGAGGCCCCCCCTGCAAAATGGCAGATTTCAGCAACCATGGGTGGCAATTGGTTGCGTTTTTCTCTCTCTCTCTCTCTTTCTCTCTCTTTCTCTCCCTCTCTCTCGCCCTCTATTGTTTTTTATGTTCGCTCTCTCTCTCTCTCTCACTCTCTCTCTCTCTTTCTCTCCTTATGTCTATCTCCCTCTCTTTCTCTCTTTGCTTTTTCTCTCTCCTCCTCTTTCTCTTTTTGTTTTTTTCTCACTCTCTCTCTCTCTGTCCGTTTTTTATATATGCGTGTACCAGTCCTCCACCTCCTGTCCTCCCTCTCCTCCCATGTCCCCCATGAGAGAGGAAGCGGGGGAGGAAAAGGAGGAGGAAGAGAAAGCTGAGCTGGGGATACGTAAAAGGAGAAGGGATACGAGAAGGACAAGGCTGAGGAGCAGCAGGATGATACTGATGAGGAGTAACTCCACCTGCTCCCTCTCCTCCTCCTCCGCCTGAGTATCATCAACTCCTCTTCCTCCTCCTCCTCCTCTTCCTCCTCCCCCTCGCCATCATCCTATCACTTCTTCTTGGCTTCTCCTGTAGGATTAGCAGGGGCAGTGCTATGAGGAGGAATGCTATGAACACGGGGAGCAGGAGGACGACGATGATCATGAGTAGGTTGAGGAGTAACTCATCCCCTTCCTGTGCTCCCATCAGTCATACGTTCCCTCCTCCTTCCCTCCTATCACTCCTGGCCTTCTCCCCCTACCCTTCCTGTGAGAGGAGGAGGAGGTGGAGTAGGAGGAGTAGTGACCCTCTAAATCTCACCCTCTCCCTGCTCATGGTCATCACCCTCATCCTCCGCGTCATCCTTTTATCAATAGTACTCCTTATCATTTTCCTTAACATCATCATCATCATCATCGTCATCATCATCATCATCGTCATCATCGTCATCATCACCATCAGCAGCAGCATCATCACCACCAGCCGCGGCATCATCATCACCATCACTATCATAATCATCAGTTTCAGCAACAACATAGTCGTACTCCTCATCATCACACGCATCATCATCAATATATTTATCCTCACCATCATCACCATCACCACCACCGTCACCGCCATCGTCATCAGCAACATACTCACTATCACCATCATCATCAGCATCTGCGTCATCATCATCATCATCATCATCATCATCATCATCATCATCATCATCATCATCATCATCATCATCATCATCATCATCCGTATCAGCATCATCATGATCGTCATCGTCATCATCATCACCAGCCGCGGCATCAGCACCAATCGCATCACCATCATCATCAGCAGCAGCATCATCATCACCACCAGCCGCATCATCATCATCATCATCATCATCATCATCATCATCATCATCATCATCATCATCAGTATCAACATCATTAGTATCACCTGTTCTCACCATCACCACCGTCATCATCATCAACATCACCATCACCAGTATTAACATCATTCGTATCGCCTTTTCTCATCATCACAACCTGCGTCACCAGCTGCAGCATCAGCAGCAGCCGCAGCATCATCATCATCAGCATCATCATCACCATCATCATCATCAGTATCACCATCATCATCACCACCAGCATCACCAGCCGCAACAGCAGCATCCTCCTCATCATCACCATCCTCAGCATCCGCATCATCTTCTCCCCCGCCCCTTCTCATAAGAGATAGCGTGTTGAGAATGATTGGCAGAGGGAGGATGTGCGAGATTAGACGGGTGGTGTGCCAACAGGAGGAAGAGGAGGGGAGGAGTGAGTCCTCCTCCGCCTCCTCCTCCTCCTCCTCCTCTTCTTCCTCCTCCTCCTCTCCCTCCTCCTCATCCTCCTCTTCGACGTCATCCGGTTCCCTCTCCAAAGCTATTCGCGGATCACCACACACATTGTTCCCTCTC